TTTTGAATTTGTTTGTCTTTATTTTAATTTTATATTCATTTTTAATAGATTGTAAAAGCTATTTTTTATAATAATTATCATTATTATTAAAAAGTTTATAACTTTCAAATAATTACCTAATATTTATTATTGGTTATTTTAAATGTTTAGTTATTAACAGTGTTTTTTTCGAAATTTAACTTATAATAAAATTATTAACTTAATGTTGGTAATTAAATTTATTTTTATAATTAGAATTGTATCAATAAATATATTATAATTATATATTTAAATTTTACATGATCTTCTGTTTTTTCAAGTATTTTTGGATATTTTTAAATTTTTTGTCTAAATATTTTCATTAATAGCTTTATATGGTATTTTTATGTTAAAACTTATTATATTTTTATTTTTTTGTTATTTTTACTTGGATCTTTTTAATTATATAATTATAATTGAAATAATTAAATTTTAAAGACTCGTATCTTAGTTAAAAATGAATTTTAGAATTTAAAAAGTGTGTTTGTTAATAGTAACATGTCATTGGATAACAAATGTTCCAGTGTAGACAATAAAAAGACTAAAAAGTATTATTATTTAATTTTATTGGATTAATTTAAACTAGTACAATTATAACAGATTTTTTTTTGCCAAAAACTTGCTCTGTATCAAATTTTTCTGAATTCTCAATAAAAGATCAATTAGTTAAGGATAATAATGAAGGTATTATCAATATTTTATTAATTTAAATGAATAATTTTTTATACTAGAAATTTTCAATTTTGAAAATGAACTAAATACTGAATTTAATTTTGAAAAGTCAAATGTTGAAAAATTAAAGTAATTTAAATTTTAAAGAATATATAAATCATTGATTTTACCTTATCTAGAAAAAAGTCTATTGATCCTATTGTTTCAGAATATTGTTTTTCTCTTGAAACTCTTTTAAAAGATCAAGAAAATAGGAAAAAAAGATATGAATCATTCAATCGTGCTCAGGAATTATCTAAGGTGGAAGTAATTAATTTAGACGATATAACGTCTTTTGTTGGTTCCGAAGTTGAAATTGCTCTTAAAAAAGAAAAAGAGAAAAGAAAAGAACTTCAAACTGTTCTTAATGAAACTGATATTTTTAAAAAACAAATATATTGGTCCTTTTTTGTTAATGAAATAAAAAAAATAGATTTAGAAGACATATCTACTAAAGAATTTGAATTGCAATGTGATATGTTGATGTTGGGTAATTAATGTTGCATTTTTAAATTTTAATATTAATTAAAAAAGAGAAAGATAGATTTTCGTTTCTTTTAATTACAGGATATTTTTTGGATATGACAGACTCTGGCGATAAGTTTTCTCCAAAATTTGTACAATGGTTGTTAGATAATCGTATGATTTTAATAACTTAATAATTATGTTTAATATATTAATATATGTAGTTTGTATAGAAGAAAATGGAATGTTGCTTTACGGATATTTTTCTATCCTTTTAAAAATATATGTTTGTTTTTATGCGTATGTTGTTGGTTTTATTAATATTTTTTAGAGTTCAGTTTTTTATCAGATGCATGTTTTATCTGAATTTCAAATCAAGAGAATTTTTTTACTTCTTGGTGCAAGTAGTGAAGCAATAGATATTCAATCATTTATTGAATTTGAAAATATAAAAAATTATAATAGTATGTTTTTTTTTTGTAAAAATAAAATTAAATTATTTTTAGATGATATAAATAACATTTTTTTTTCAAAAATAGTGAATCTTAAACTGGTTTTGATTTTTTTAACGAATGCATTATTGTATGATTTTATTTTAGTTTGATTTTCGTTTTTTATAACATGCAGGCTAACTACACTTTAGGCATAATCGTATAAAAAAGCGTCAATGCATCTTACTTATTTTTTCAATCATACTTAAGCTTTACATGGATCAGAATTGTGCGCTCTATTTAAGTTCTTCATTATATTTATGTTATTTTCAGCTTTTTAATAATATATCAAATCTAGATTTTCAATCTATAGTATAAGTTTAATATTGACAATACTTTTTTCTGATTTTTATCTAAAGGCATTTGATATGTTTAGTATTGCTTATAATATTACGAAAGACTCGTTTATGAGATTACGTATTTTACAATCATTTCCAGTAGAACATATTTATGGGAGGGTTTTACGTTCTACATTAGCGTTTTCAATGTTACTAAATACTCATATTCCGCCGGATAATTTTCCTGATAATGTTTGTTTTTTTTTGTTTTCATATATTTCCTAATCTGGATATTAGCCTAATCTTTCTTTTTCAAGAATACTTGATTATATACAGTCATCTCGACCATTCTTTCCAATAGATTCTAATACTAACTATTTCGAATTATGTATTGCCATATATATGTTGGATTATATATTATCTCAATCCTCATGTCAAGATATTCAAATTGTTGAAAAAATATGTAAATTATTGAAAAATGTAGATGAAAAAATATTGAACTCTAGGAATGCTTTTGTTGTTAGAACAGAGGTATAAAGTATATAAATTAGAAATTATATTAATTTTTTAGGCTAAAGTCAGGATTCAAAGGCTTTTGTTAAGATTAACTCATACGTTTGGCATTTTTTCAAAGATGCACCAATCTACACTTGAATACCACTTTAATAAAATATGACTAAAATGTAATTAAAATGCAACATCGAATTAAAAAATAGGACTATATTAAGATATATTCTAAGTGCATTATACGTTTACAATGAAGTTTATAGAATAATATTGGAATTGAGATGAATTAAATAAACGTATTATTTAGAATTCTTTTTTAATCATAAAACTTACGATTTTCCGATTGACTAAAAATATATAAGAATGTGTTAATAAAGTTATTATTTTTACCCAAACAGTATTAGCCGAATGGTGGGAAGGGCTTCTTTTTTTAATAATTCTAATCTTTCTTCGAATGTATTGTTAATGAAAATATTTTTAGTTGCTTCAAAAATAATAATCCCACCAAGTCTATATATTATCAATACAAGCAGTATAATAAAAGGGAAAAAAACCCATCTGAACAAAGGTATTCTTTGTCAATTTGGACGTCTATATTCGTATGTGTTTTATGTTTGAAGACATCAACAGCATTATCAATAGCTTTTTCAATGATTGCAGAGTCTGTTTCACGAGCACGGATTATAATATTTTTTTCCATTAATTGATACAGCCCCTAAATGTTTTATACGGCTTTGTATTTAGTTGTTTCATACCTGTAAAATTAAAACTTTCAAAAGTTCTTGATAGCGTTCTTTGTCTTCAGTTAGGTCCTGAATTATTCCCTTAACCTCTTCAAAAATTTCTTGTAAGATTTTTTCTTTTTCTATCAATAATTTTAGTCTTGATGAATTCATCTTGTTTGATTTTGATATTTGTTGGGTCATGGCTGCTTTTTTCATTTTTTGTTTATATAATTCATCAATTTTAGCCATTTCTTGCTGAACTATTTTAGCCTTTTCAATAGCAGAATCTTCATTTGACTGAATAAAGTTTTATTTTCTTGTTTCTAAAGATAATCCGTTTACCTTAATATGAATTTCTCTAGCTTTTTCCATTGCTTCTATCTTTATAAAATTGATTAATCTTTGCATTTCAGCATTCACTTGTTCATCTGAAAGTGCCATTTTTTGCTTTGAGAGGTCTTTTATTAATTAAATATTGCCAGATATTATGTTAATTATATAATATTAACAGATATCGAGTTACGATAGTTATATATATTTGAAAAATTATTTGAAAAATCCATAAAAAAGATTACACATAAAGGAAAAAATGTGTATTTCTAGTCTACTGTTTTTATTGATTCTATGTGATTTTTTGTAGTCTAAGATAACCCCTTTATAGATTTTAATCTTTAGATTTTTTGTTTTTAACTTTTTAACAAAAGAATAATCTTTACCTATCTAATTCTTTGTATTTTTGGCATTTTTATTCCCTTTTCTTTATATGCCAGTTAATAATATTATAAAACATTTGTAAATTCCAATCAGAATCTCCACGATATATACTATCAAATATACTTATCTATATCATAAATAAAAACCCGCCCTATAAAAAACCCATTCAACCTTTGTTTTAAATAAATACAAAATAATCTTAATACTATGCTAAAATACAAAGATTACACATCCAATCTTACATCGATAGATTTATCTCAATATACACCGTTTCGAATCTTACATTATTGCCACTTTTTTGCTGTCTCTGTTTCATAGATAATATTTACTAAAATATTAAAAATAATTATTCTCTTGTTAATTGTTCTTCCTTGTTTTTAATTTTTGCTTTGTCCTAGCCCATTCCATGAAATCTTCCCCCTTCTAGTCCCTCATTTTTCCTCCTTTTTTAACACCTATATTCTTTTTAACTACATAATTGTTCCCTCTTTCTGCCTTCTTTTTCTCTTCTTTTTGTATTATTTTATTTATGATATTCTGCTTTTTTGCCTATTAATATAATTTTTTTGTCGTATGATTCTTCACCTCTACGATCTCACTCCCAACTTTGATTCGTAGCAATTCCGTTTTCTAAGGTATGTTTTCTCCTATAAAGTATCTTTTTCTCTTCTCTGCCACTTTCTACTTTTTTTTCTTCCTTGTTTATACTCTTTTTTTCTTTTATTTCCAGTTTTTTTTACTTTTTCTTTACTTCCTCTTTATTCCTTCTAATCTTCTTCAGATGGTGAAACCTAAGGAAAATTCTGACTGCAACTCCTCTAAACACCCTCCTGAGCCTGAGAATGATTCTTCTTCTTCTTCTGACACTGATCCTGCCAATATTCCTTCTGATATTCCTGCTGGCTCCAATATCCAGGTTTTTTCCCGCTCCGAGGCCAAGGCACGTAAACAGATCCTTAAACATGGGCTCAAAAAGATTGACGGCGTCCTCCGTGTCACCTTTACCCGCACAAAATCCGTTTTTTCCCTTTTTTTTCTCTTCTCCACTCACTTTTTAGACTCTCTTTGTCGTCATCAATCCTGAGGTCTACAAAATGCCTTCTTCCGATATATATATTGTTTTTGGTCAAATCAAAGTAGAGGATATTGGTTCCCGGGATCAGCTTACTGCTGCACAGCAGCTTGCTCATTCTGCCTCTGTTCCTCCCAAGGCTTCTCTCGATACACCTAAGGACTCTTTGCCTGAGGACGACGATGCCGTTGATCTTGACGACACTGACCTTTCTCCCAAGGATATTGAGCTTGTCATGGACCAGACAAAGGTGTCTCGTGCGAGGGCTGTTAGAGCGCTTCGCGAGAACGACGGCGACATTGTCAATGCAATCATGTCTATTGCCATCTGACTGGGTCCCGCTCACCTGTCTCGTTGCCGTGGTTACCGTTGCTGTGGCAGCATATCTGTTTCTACAGAAAGACCCTCAATCTCCAGCTTAGCTCGAGTGCACTGCCAGCCAGTTGTGCCAGAGACGGCATGCACTGCGCCCTGCTGCCTGCTAAAAGCACGTTTTGCTCTGAGTGTCCCTGCTCGGTTTCCGTGGCAAATAGTTGCTATGGTAACACAGCCGGCGGTAGGTGTTGCTGTGGAGCGGCGGTGCTCGCTCGAGTCCTGGCTGTTCAGACAACGCTCCCTTGTTTTCGCGGAAACAGCCTCTTGCCGCAGCGCTGTGCCTAAAAGATGTGCTTGCGCAGATGGAAGGCTCGCCTCACAGACGCCTTTGGAAAGCATTTTCATCTCGGCTTGTTGTCAGGGTAACAGTAGCCATGACAACAGTTGTCCTAGCGATGACCCGGTGCCTAGAAAGTCCGAGGACACGAGAGGCGTCCCTACCGGCCTCCTTGGCCCTCGTTTTCATGTATCCTTGCGTCTGTACGGCACAGCACTGTCTCGGTGCCGGCTTTGGCAGCCAAACACCGCTTTAACTGGCGCGTCAACCCTAGCTCTTGTAACCATGGCAATGCTCAGTCCCGAGTTCCTAAGTCTTCGTATGCCAATCATTGTTGCCATGGAAACAATGTAACCAAGTTTTGCCATCTCTGCTTATTAATCGGCGTTTTTCAGGCGCTGTGTTCTGACTGTGACTTTTGCCGCAATGTAATAGATACAATTTCTCGTTGGCCATTCTCTTGTGCTGCATCGATCTCGGACTTAACCTCGTTCGCCTCGCTTTAAGAGTGCTTCGCAAGGCATAACCCTAAACCCTAACTTTAATGATGGTTGCCATGGTCTCATGTTGCTGTAGCAACTCTTTCTCAGTTTATTTTCTTTTGGTTTCTACGGCAACCCCTGCGCTTTTGTTGTAATCCTATCTGATCCTATTATTAGCCCTAACGCTGTTGCCAAGTGCAATCTTATAACACATATAACCTATACATATGATCAGCCTATGCCCTAACTCTACTATGTTTTCAGCTTTAGCCCTAACACTGCTCAACTTGTATCCGTCTTGAATCTGCAGCTCTACAGCTTATAACCCGCATTGTACTATAGCCATGTATCTTAACTTGTACTTTAACATTAAGGCATATTTTTAACAGTTTTAGCATTTGCTTTTAACATATGCCTTTATACATTACACTCAACATGTACTTTATAACATTGATATATAACTCCAATATACAACACTAGCACAACACTAAGATAGCACTAAGATAGCACTAACATATATTCACCGCGCATACCCTGTGTCGTGTAGATGTTTTTTACATATATACTGTACACTATACATACAGCACACACTATATATTGTACAGCGTATATGTATGATATACACATACAATGTACATACACTCCGTATACATGGTGTGCACGCTGTACATATACATACATATACACAGACATCCACGCATATACTATACATATACAGCGCATACAACGCGCATATAAAGCATGCAGCGTGCATAGTGTATAGCATATAGCGTGTATAGCACACATGGCGTGCAGTACAGCATATGGGCGTATGTGCATATAATATATCCACTGCACATGCACTCTGCGGTGTATGCACTGCGACTATGCTGCTGTGCATACTATACATATACTGCGTATACACACTGCACACCTACGGCGACCGCTGACACAGTGCACCGCATGCACTGCGCATATATACATGCATATACACACAAATATACACAGACATACAGACTACGCGCATACACATGCATAGACACGCACAGACGCCCACTGGCACGCAGCGCGTGCATCGTACAGTGTAGCAGTGTATGTACTGTATATGTTTAGTGCATATATTGCTACACAGCACGGTGTATATGCTGCTGCATTGCGGGTACACTGCGCATACACAACGCATACAACGCATACAACGCATACAAAGCATAGTGTATACATAGCATACTGTGTGCATAGCATATAGCATATATAGTGTATATAAGTGTATATAATATAGCATACATAGCATACATAGCATACATAGCATACATAGCATACATAGTGTATATAGCATATACAGTATGTATAATATGCACAGTATATATGGTGTGCAGTGTATATGCAGCGTGTAGTGTGTGCATAGTGTATAGTGTGTATGTATAGTTACAGTGCACATAGTGCATATAGTGCATATGGCATATGGTATTTATGGTATTTATAGTATACTGTGTATATGAATGTATAGTGTATATGAATGCACTGTATCATAGGTATAGTATGTATAGTATATATAGTATGTATAGTATATATAGTATATATGGCATACACGGTATATATAGTTATAGTGTATGATTATAGTGTATGGTATGTATAGTGCATGGTATGTATATACAGCGTGCATAAGTGTACACAACACACGCAGCGTGTATCACTGCACACTGCACAGGCTGGATAGACAGCTTTGCAGCGCACAGCGACTGTGGTCTGCTGTGTAGTGTATAATTTAACATGTATATAGTATACACTGCAGTATGCACTGTGCGGTGTAACCATGCTGTGTATAGTGTGTGCATATACATGATGTGTCTGATGTCTATGCTACAATGTGGCATACACTGCGCTGTAGCTGTGGTATATCCAAGAGCATGTCTAGTGCATCTATCGTATACATTGATGCAACTGCAGTATATGTATGCATATATACACATATATAGACATATATACGCACAATATACGCATATATACATGGTATACGCTGTGCGGTGCACACCGCCCATGCACAGCGCGTACGCTGTCCGCTGTCCACTGATACACGCTGCGTATACACCATCCGCTTATATACCATCCGCTGCGCATACACTACACACGTTACACACTACACATTGTACGCAGCACACTCACCCCCACTACACCGTTCTCATCGGCACCACCAGTGGGTGCTCCTGCGCTAGACGCGTCACCCCCCACACCACATACACCGCCACCACCGCCACCACCACCACCACCCGCACCGTCTCTCCCCCTCGCCGCCACACCACTCCCCCCACCACTGCCACTACTGCACCCACGGCCGCCACTATGTTCATCTTGCCACTCCTCGCTTTCGCTCCGTGCACCCGCTTCCTATCCCGCCTGCACACCCCCTCTTCCGCATGTCGCTGCACGCACTGCACGCACTACACGCCTCACACGCCCCCAAAAGGGCTCTTTTTCTCCGCGGCCCCTCCTCCTCTCCGGCTCTCCACCGCATCCTTGCCGATCTCTCTGCGCTTGCTCCCGACTCTGTCTCTCTGTCCCGCCCGAACGCCCTCTACCCCTTCGACGACCCTGCTTCCCTCGAATTCCTCGCACACAAGAACCACGCTGCGCTTGTTGTTGTTGCTTCGTCCTCCCGTAAGCGCGGTGACGTCCTTATCTTTGCCCGCCTCTTTGACGGTGCCCTCCTCGACATGCTCGAACTCTGTCTCTCTGATGCCCACCCGATGCACCTCTTCTCTGCCAAGTCTCCTTGCGGCCTCCGCCCGCTCCTTCTCTTTGCTGGCGCCCCCTTCGACGTGTCTCCGCCGCACCGCCTCTGTTCCTCGCTGTTCCTCGACCTCTTTGGCGGCCCACTTCCGCGCATCCACGCCGACGGCCTCCAACACGCTGTCTGCCTTACTGCGACCGACTCACACGCGCACCTGCGCGTCTACACGCTGTGCCGCGGCGCTACCAGCGTCTCTCTCTGTGAGGCCGGCCCGCGGCTCGACTTTACGCTGGGCCGCGTACGCGAGGCGTCTGCCGCGCAGCTGCACGCTGCAACGGCGCCGGCAGCTGTACCGCGGCCACCACGCAACACCTCCCTCAGCAGCCGTGGCGACCGCGTCGGACGCGTGCATGTTGCACAGAGGCTGAGTCTGCAGACACGCAAGTTCCGCGCGCTACGGGCGCGGAGGACCGGCGGCTAACGCGGCGGAGCATGCAGTGCTCGGAGAGGAGCGTTGTGCGGCGGTAGGCGATACGCACAGCGGGGACGTTGGTGCGGTGCTCGTCGGAAAGGGCGGCGCCGAGCCAAGCACGCTGAAGGCGGTGCTCGAAGCCGCTCTGTAGAACAGAGTTACGTGCAAGCTCGCACATGTCAGCGGCAGAGAGGCTCCACATCTGCGGGTAAGCAGGCACAGCAACGTGGGGACGCCAGTACCTGTGAGGCGAGCGAATACTCCTCGAGAAGCGGATCGTCGGTCAGGTGGAACAGGAGAGGGTCGTCGGTCGAGAGCGACACGTTGAGCCCGCGACGGAAGAAGAGGGGGAAGGGGTGCTTACAGAAGGCGAGGAAGAGCGCGTTGTTAGATATAGGCGACACGGCTATGCCGATCTGCGCGAGGTAGTAGAGGTACTGGAGGAGAGGCGTCTCGCGGAGGAGAATGCCGTGGCTGATAGAGTGGGCCGTGAGGAAAGAGGCCGCAAGGTGGGACAGCGAGCCGGCCTCACCAGAGTGGGGCCTAAACACAAAGGTGTTCAGGCCTCTAGCGCTCCTGAAGCGATTGAGGGAAGCGAGGTTTGCATAGAGGTAGTATGTCCAGTAGGAATAAGGCGGGTTGTCGGGAAAGTCCCAGGCGAGGGGGGGAGGAGGATCGAAGTCGAGGTCGTTCTCGGGGACGGACTCGTCGTCGACGGTGTCAAAGCCGACGACAGCCCGGAGGAAGATGTGGAGCTTGGGATTGCGGGAGGGGTTGGAGGTGACGTCAAAGAGGGGGAGGAAAAGGTCTACGGAGGTTAGCATGGCGGGCGGCGGCAAGGAGAGTGCTTTTGAAGAGCTGGTGCATGGACTGGAGGGAGCCATCGGCCCTGAAAACGCGGTAGATGCGGGGAACCTGGACAAGCCAGCGGAGACGCGGGGAGAAGAGGCTGTGGTCGACAGCCCAAGCGGCAAGGGAGTCCCACTCGTCGGGGGAGCTGTAGGGTGAGCAGGGTTAGGGGAGGGTTAGGGGAGGCCAGACAGTCCAAAGTGAGTGATTCTGTGCTCGGCGAAGTGACACTTGGTGGCCTCGAGCCTGTCGATTGCCTCTGGGAGGATGAGAGGAGAGGGAGGAAAGGGAGGGGAATACCGCGGGTGAGCTCGGCAAAGTACCTTCCGTTGAGGTGGTTGTTGACGCAGAGGAAGACGGAGCGGAAGGCGGGGCGCCCGAAGGGGTTGAACTTTGAGTTGAAAACGTCGAACCGCTGGAAGGTGTCCCTGTACGCCTTGAGAGTCAGTGCTGTGCTGTGTGGGTGTGCAGTATGAGTGATGTAGTGTGGGTGGTGTATAGTATGGTGTATAGTATGGTGTATAGTGTGGTATATAGTGTGGGTGGTGTGATATAGTGTGTGGTGTAGGTGGTGTGAGTAGTGTGAGGATGTGGGTGTAATGTGGAAGTAGTGTGGAGTGTGGGGGACTTACATGCATGCCGAGGAGGTCGACAGTGAGGTCGTCGGGGGCCAGGCCGGGGGACGGCCCCAAAGAGTCAAACAAGTCTCTTAGTGTGAAGGGACGCCCATCCTGGACAAGGACAACGTCCTACAGAGGTTATACGGGAGGTTATGCGGGAAAGGGTGGGAAGCAACGTACATTGGGGTGGTCCTTGAGCTTGGACTTGATGAACTGCAGCAGGTGCCTTTGGGTGAACTACCGACATAAGGAACGGGCATTGGTGTGCAGAGACAGACCGAAGCATCGTGGTGAATATGGGTATCGACTTTTCTGACAGAGTAAAAGTCAGTGTGGAGGATGTTCTTTTGTATTTAGTGTAGTGTTAGCGGTGATTGCAAGTACCTTGATTCTGCGAGACTCTTGGTGCCCGAAGCGCAGTGAATAAATGTCCCATGTCGAGTCCAGATACGCCAGCCGGTCGGCGGCGAATGTCTTAGCCGGGCCGTCGTTTGAGACGGAGAAAACGCTCTTGAGGTCGGCACAGAAATCGTTTACCGTTGGTATCGACAGCATTGGCTTGTTGGCGTCCATGTCTAGTCGGGCCGTCAGCGTCAGAAATATCGCCAGAATATTGCCAGAAAAGAGTGCAATTGCTGTCGTTCTGACAGATGCATACCCTCTTTGGACGCATAGATCTGGAAAACCCCAGACGGCTCAAGCCTGTATTTTGTCTGAGTATCCTCGGACGGTATTTGCCAGTTTTCGGGGTTCTGGTTATCATTTGGATATATTTCCCATGTATCCTGGTGTCTCGGGTTGTCTATAGGACGCTGAAGAGACAACCGTAAATACTTGAAGCGAAGCTCAAGGCACTTTTGTATTGAGGAGCATGTTGCCTTTAATTCCTCCAGAGACGCTGGATCCACTGTCTTGTTAGAAGTGACTGTGAATATGCAAGCACTCTACAAGTGTCTTCACAAGGCATTCCGTGGTTGTTGAATACATCGTCTACTTGAGGCTCCAATGTACAGTATTTTTCAAAGTGATTGACGTATAGGCATTCGTCTATTACAAGGCGTTAGACAAGGTCTTTGAATTTGACTTTAAGAAACATGTTTCGAAACCATCAACATCTACTTTGACTGGTATTCCGTCATTTGGTAGCATAGACTCATCCTTGACCTATTCAATCAATTGAAAAGTTAATCATTATACGTGTCTAGATATACATGGAAATGCATACTTTTTTTTCTTTCAAGGCACAAGGTGAATCTTTAAAGAAAGATGGGTTAACGCGGGAAGATTCATTGAAGGAATCATCTTTTTTATACAAAAAATCTGCCTTAGATGAGTTCGACGACATCCTTTTTTTCTATACGGGGTATACGATTGAATGGTTTAGAATTTTATACATTTCACGATAAGTTTTAATGAATGTATTATAAAAATATATTGTAAACAATGGAAAAAGACAAGTGCTTTTGTCTTTACGACTTGACAGAGACGTTTCATTCGTCCAATATAAATATGTATATAGAATATAGAATAATTGAAAAATACATACTTTTATGCTTGTAATGAATAAAACGTAGAAATACAACAAATTCTTCAAATACATAGTAATTGACTATGCGTATATATATACAATTGAAGCCATTTTTTGTTATTCATCCCTAGTTTTTTGTTCTTTATTTTCATCTTTTTCCATTTGTTCTGAAAACCGAATATTTTCTTTTATTTTTTTTAATTGATGTTTTTTTTTATGGTTTAGAAAATCACGATACGTTGAAGAATCATAAATCGTAGTGACAAAAATGGTGCCTGCATTGTTTTCCCCATTATTTGGTTTTTCGGTTTCTTCAGGATGATTCAATAATACCAAATATTCCTGACTTCCCTCTTTTAACGATCTAGTTACACGTTCATCCTTCCGATTATTCCTACCATGCAAGCCTTTTCCCTTACTTTTATAAATATACGAAGATTTTTGAACATTTATTTTTTTCAAAGAACTTTTTTGAACAAAAATATGATTATGCGAACCAGGATGCAAAAAACCTAAATGTTGAGAATTAGTTGTTTTCGGAAACATGACATTCATCCATTTAACATATTCATCGTCATCCAATATTCTTTCACAATTAATCACGTGCGCATTCTTACTAGTTAGTTGATTAAAAAAAGGTTCTTTGCATAATCTTGAAGTATGAACTACTATTTTATAAGAACATGCGGAAATTTCTGTAACAAAAACAATTTTATCATATGCATCGGGCTCACACATATACTAAAACATCGTTAGAATCATCTTTCAATAGTTTGTAGAAACGAAAAACTATGCACCTGAATTTCAACATGCCGATTTTCTTGAATAAAATTACAATATGTACCACCGCCAACTTTTTGACTAATATAATACGAATCTCCATTATACTCTATTTTGGAAGAAAATGTAGATATTCCTTCTTTTATAGATGTATTAAACCTTCCCAGAAGGTAATAAATTTCACTTTGATTTTCCAATATACGAAGACTTTTTTGAGAACCATCCCAATCCAATGGGTGAAATTGTTTTGCATATTTATTATAGCACAAGACATACGTCCACCATCCTTCTAACTGTCTTTTTATTATTATAATTAAAATAATAAAATGGAATCCTTACATAATATATACAGCTATTCTCTAAGGGAGAAATAAGTTTTAAGCCGTTTTCAAGAGCTTTTTTTGTCTCATTTTCTTTTTTAGCCTTAGCATCAGGCGTTTCTTCACTATCTATCGGTTCATGCTCAACTTTAGGTGTAGTACAAAAATATTTTTCATTATTTAACTTTAATATTTCATGATCTATACTTTGATTGTGTGTATTACTATCATATAAAAGCCGATCATTTGCTATTTGTGCTGAAATAGGTATATCTTTAAACTTGACTTGATAACGCGGGCGACTTAAAATCTATCTTTTATGAAAAACATAAACACTAAACAATAAAAACTTACATCATCATATACTGAAAATCCATAAATAGACAGATAAGGGAATATAAACCATAAAATTTGATTTCTTTTCATTTTTTATATCGAAAAGAAACTCGATTGATATTTATAAAAACGTAAAAATACAAAATATTATGTAAACAATGGTGTAAAAAAACATGCTTCAAAGCTTTATTTTTTACAATCAAGTAAATCTATATGTTTACCATTAAAAATAAGATGCATTTTCTAAAAATAAAATAAATGATTCATAATAATGTATGTAATAATAAATAACTCTGACAAAATTGCCTTTATATTTAATATCCCTATAATACTTTCAAAAATAAAAAAAAAGTCCAAGTTATGCATGGAATATAAGTTAACAACATAAACAATATAAAAACATACAATTCAAAAACCGTAAGATACTTCATTAATGTATAATATAAACAATAAAACAGTGCCCAAAAAATATTTTTATACAAGTAAAACTGCATTAACACACCCTAAAAAATAAGTATGATGTATAAAAATAAAAGCATTTACCATCATTCTCAGGATTATTCGTTATTTGAGCATACTATAAAAATATAAGATAAATGCCTCTAAAAATCACAATTTAATACTTTTCCCCATATTACTTTCCCACCAGATGTTACAAGACCCATTTCGCTTACATTTACTTCAATAATCTATTTGTATTAGAAAAGTCATACATTCTCCTTTAATATACCGTTCCCTTTGTGAGAACACCCAGTTGTGTATACATAGGAGATTGAGGATTTTTTTTTACACCAAGAATTGGAAACTGCATAGTTACAGCAAGCTTTGGATGAGTAACATTTGCTTTCTTTTGCCGAAGAGCCATAGGTCTTGATACATGAGACATGTATTAAAAAAATAAAAGCAAAAAACCTTATAAATCTCTTTAAAAAGATCAGGTATTTCTTGAAAAGCAATAAAAATATCTTTACCTCATATTTTACAGGTTTCCGTGTAAATCCTTCTCCAACAAACGTTGCTTTTGTAATTAAACGTTTCCATGACTTTTTCTTACTTTTCCCAGTCTTAATAACTTTAAATATCTCTTCTTCGGAAATTCCACGAACTCTAGGAAGAGGAACACTGTACTTCTCTGCCTTTTCTTTTCGTTTTTGCTTCACCATATTTGAAAGTATTTTAGCTTGTTTTTCATCTGCACGGTCTAAGAGATATGCAGGCACTGCACCATCTGGAATAACATTAGGAGCTCTTTGTTTTACATTTCTTTCTTCATGTGCTCTTATACTAAACCAAAAAAGTTTTTAGTAAATATTTAAACCCAATAAATAACCATACGTCTTTTTAATTTGAATTTTTTCATGTCTTCGTCGTTTATTGTAAATCTTTGCCTTAATTCCTGTCAATTTTCTTGCATACTCAGATCCCCTATGAAATGCCCGAGCTTCTCGTTTACGTCTAAACCATTGTTTTAATCTTAATATTTTATAAAACATTAGAAAACTACTTTCTTTCTTCAAAATCAAGACGACGACCATATCTTTTAATATGAGCTTCAATATAATCACCTTGAGGCTATTAAACTTAGAAAAACCTAAGAAAAAGAAAATCAAAATACCATTTTTCAATTAAAATTTAAAATAAACTTTTTCAAAAATTTTAAACGTTAAGTAGATCGAAACTTAATATCATTAATTTTACTAAAAAAGTCATTAATCTAATTCATAGAAAAAACACATCAAATGAACTTACAGAATACATTAGACTTAATCAAAAAACAATCTTTTATGTTATCTCTTAAATATAATTTTTTTAAAGGTAAATTTAAACCAAAAATTATAAATGTTCGCGAATTACTAAACTACTTTTTTTATAGAAAAACTACATTTTAAAATACAAAATAAACATTTTTATTCTTCATACAAGACTAGACCTATATTTATATTTCCAAGATTTTTTTTTTTTACTACTCAATTAACATCTTTCCGAGTCATCAGTACTTTTGAAAAATTCAGACTTCAATCTTCTTATTACGCTATTATTCACATATATGGTCGCCCATTTATTGTTACAGAAGGGGACATTGTAACTCTTCCTCAAAAATTGCGTGATGTTACTCCTGGTGATATAATTAGATTAAATTGTGTCTCTAAACTGGGCTCAAGAGATTACACATTAAAAGGACAACCATATATAGACGAAAAACTTTTTACATGTAGAGCAAGGGTTTTAGAGCTAACAAAAGCTCCTATGTCATACTTCATAAAAAAAAAACGTCGCCATAGACGTATAAAAATTGTAAAAAATAAACAAGATTATACAATATTAAGGTAAATACAAAAGTTTTAAAGAAAATTTTAACGAAATTAGAATTTCTGAAATTAAAATACATAAAACACAAAAGTAGAGTCACATATTTGTCGTATAGAATATTTCACATTAAAATGATATACCATTTACAAAATTGAAACTAATTTTGATTATTAAATTTATACCTTTGATAAATATTCAAATTTAAGAATTTTCACAAATATTTTATAAATCACCATAAATTTTATTTTTAAATATAATCATTAATACTTTCATTCTTTTAGTCTTGTATCTCTAACAATTTTGCGAAGGACTCCTATAAGATTTTAGAATATTAATTTTTTTAAAAAGAATATTACACTAGTTGCAGCCCTCAATTGGTCTATATTATACTTCCCCGATTTCACTGCATCAGCTGTTTGCTCAACTAATTGAATCATTTGCTCTAATGTTAATCTAACAGTTGGACCATGACTTTGAAAATGCTTTTCTGGCCGTAAAAACCGATCTTGTAATAATTCTGGAATCGATTTCCTTTTTGTCGGATCTCTTTCAAGACAACTTTTCATAACCCTTATTAAATTTTTATCAACCTTAACACCCTCTTGTTGATTTTGTTCATTATGCGAAATAGGAAAAGCCATAATTGGAAAACTAATAAAGTACTTAGGATCTGGTATTGCTTTGATTTTTTGAAACATTGTTAAATGAGCAAACGGTGTTTTTCCATACACCATTTGATATAATATACATCCCAGACTCCATATATCACTAGCTCTTCCCAATTTCATTATTTTTTGACCACCTGATGTAGCAGAATGCACTTCAGATAACGCTTCAGGAGACATATAATTTATAGTTCCTATTTGCGAATCACGATGAATGTTTGTTGTGTCATTTCCAATTGCTTTAGCAATACCAAAATCTATTAATTTAAGAGATCCTTCGACAAGTAAAAAATTTGCAGGCTTTAAATCAGAATGTACAATCTTTTGCTCATGAACAGCTTGCACAGCTTGAAGCATTTGGTCCCAATATAATCGAACAAAATTTATATCTAATGGCCTTTGATGTTGTTTTGCAAGTAAATGTGATAAATCAATCTCACCAATTTCCAATATCTACAAACCATATAAACAATTAATTTTTCAAAATCATATTTTACCATTGTTAAGTATCCTTTTGCATCATTAATTTCAGAATCATATAACTTAATAATCCTTTCATGTCCTGAAAGTTTCTTTAATAATTCAATTTCATCTTTAAAATTAACAACAGCACTTTTATCCTCTTTGTCAAAATGGACTTTTTTAAGAGCAAACATTTTGTTATTTTGATCCATTACACGAAATACTTTACTACTTCCACCTCTTCCAATAAGATCTAATCTGTTATAAGGTCGTGAATTTACCTATAAAATATTAAATCATAATATCAAATATAGATATATACAAAGGTAATAGATTTAGATTTTACTGGTATTTTTTGCAATAAAGATGAACCAGTTTCTAAGTTAGAAGAAATATTTATTTGAGGTTTAACATCATTATTTACATTAGTCGAGTCTTCTTTCTCAGATTTTAATATCAATGACGAATGGCATGCATTATATTCTTTGATAGAACGATTTTCAAAGCAATTTATTTGTACATCTTTTTGTAAATTTTCAACAAGTGGAGGTTTTATTGTACATGTTGACAGAGTAGAGTCATTCTTTTCCTAATTTAATAAGTAATATACTGAAAGAAAAAAACTTACTATTTTATTTTCAATAACTAAATTCATATTATGAGGACTATTTATTGGATTAATTAACATAGGCTGCATTTTTTTGAGTTTTCCTGATGAGATTTCCTGATTTTTTATTGGAGAGACAGATTTTGACAACGCCTGAAAAAGACATGATTTATTTCTTTCTGTTGTAATATATTCTTTTGGTATATTCTCTTTATCATTATTGAAAGTTATTGAATTTTGCTTTTCTGTATCAGAAAAATGTTGTTTTGAATCCTCGTGTTCAACTTCTGTAGTATTTTCGAACCCTTCTGCACTTTCAGAAGAAAGTCGTTCAGCACGTTTTGGTGGACCTAAGCCAGTACGTCCAACTCGTTTCCAACGTGCTGAAGATGATGTATTAGTTCCCCAGCTACATAATTATAAAAAAATAGTTATAAGAACAAATTTTATATACCCTTGTTTTAAAGCAGGCGTCTGAGATACAAGTGGTTCTTGATTATGTTGATAATTTATTTTGGTTTGTATGGTTATAAGTGCAGTAGAATTCGAACAAACAGATGAATCAGCCGACTTTTTAGATATAAATAAATCCCTAGAAATAGAATTTTAAAAGGTTATACCTGATGAAATGTTGGCTGTAGCTCCTCATTATGTTTAGTATCCCAACGTGGATTTAGATTTTTTGTTGACATAAAATGAACCTAAATCCAAATAAATATAATAAATATAATAAAGTAAATAAAAACATACCTTTTTGTCAGGTACATGATATTGATTGGTATCTTCAATATTTGTAATTGCTTGTAATGCAGAATTAGATTGATGTATATTTTGTTTTAAAGTTTGGCGCGGAAACTCTTTTTGTTTTTCTATAGATATCATCTTATCCATTTTTTTACAAACACTATACTCGTTTTCAGGCATGGACGCTGTTTCAATAGAATTAATATCTTTAGAAAACAACATTCTAGCATATGCACTTTCGAACTGCAACTCATTATCTGAGACCTCTTCTGTTGATAAATCAGTGAGAGATATTCTAGAGACATTCCTTGGAATTTTATGAGCATTTGTCTGTATGGCCCATGGCTATTTTTTTAATTAATATACTTCTGATTTATTAAAAAGATAATTTCATTGCAAACCTTCATTTTAAGTCTTTCGAAGACAGATTTTTACAATCCTTTAAACGGTTGAGAAATGAATCTCGTTATACTTTAAATTTACTAATTTACTTTTTGTTCTTTTTTAAAAAAGATTTATTAAAACACTTGCTGATAATGATTTTCTGTAAGTCGATTTATATCACGTGAATTCTTGAATATCAACATCTGGCGTTTAAAAAAACATTGCTATTTGACGTGATTTTTTTTTAATACAATGTTATTAGATATATAGGATATTTTTATTGATTTCCATAGGTAATTTTGGATTTTTTCAGACTAATTCAGTGTCAAAATAAGGCTTTTTGTCTGAACTAGAATAAGGAGTTAATAAATATTTAAAGAAAATGCCATTAAAAAGACGAAAAATACACAAAAGCCCAGATAATGCTTCTAAAAATATCTCAAAAGTTCTTAAACATCCAAAAAACTCTAAAAAACATGAAATTATTCCGGTATCAACTCTACCATTATTTCAATCTAAAAACAAATATCTTGAGTACGATTCTATCATCATTGAAACTGAATCAGAAGATGATAAAGAATCTATACGTTTACATAAAAATATTCATGGAAAGTGCCAAAATATGATGGTAACATTTCATGCTACAAAAAAAAGCAAAACAGAAAAAACAGATAAACAAAATGGTGCATTTATTATTTATAATTTAATAGAAATATTTTTAATAAAACTAGATGAAATATTGTGGTCTGAAAAATATAGTCCTTTAACTGTTGATGATTTGGCTGTTAGCAAAAAAAAAATTTCAGAAGTTCGATATTGTTTACAAAGAGTATTAAAACATAATTCTCAAAAAGTTAGGGCAAACTGATTATATATTGTTAATAGTTTAACAAATGTAGAAACTAATTATTCTTACGGGTCCAGCAGGTTCAGGCAAAACGTCTACAATTAATGTTTTGTCTAAAGAAATGGGATTTGAAATTTTAGAATGGCAAAATCCAATGTCTTTATTACCAGAAAATACAGGTTTTTATATTAAAATATAGTTTCGAATACTTTATAATAATTTAATTAGATTTAGACTATCAATCACTATTTTCAAAATTTGAAAATTTTCTTTTAATGTCAAAACAATATTCATCTTTAGATTTTGATCAAACGATTAAGAATTCTTCTGAATCAAAAATAATCTTAATTGAGGATTTACCAAATATTTATACATCATTTTACGACATTTCTAAAGAAAATGATTTTCAGTCACTTATACTTCGTTACATTACATCTTCTAGAAATAAATATCCTCTTGTACTTATAGTGACAGAAGTAGATTTTAAAGGATTTGATGAAATGGATACTAAGGAGGTTCGAGGATTGAGTATAAAAAATTTATTAGGTAAGACTATTATTGAATCAGAAAAAACTGTACAGATTAAGTGAGTGATTTTTTATATAAACACAGTAATAACAATTCTATAGTTTTAATCCAATAACAAAATTGTCTCTTCAAAAAATAATTAATAGAATAGTCAATATTGAATACCATTCACAAAAACCTGATTTAGAATTAGTAGAATCAGTTATTACATCATCTTGTGGAGACATTCGTTCAGCATTGAACACTTTACAATTTATCTTAGGAATAATCAAGAAAAAATCAGATACAGAGTTTATTAATCATGCACCTTTTCAGAAAAATAGTAAAAAACCTAAATTATTTAAAAATCAAATTTTATTTATAAATTCAATTACAAGTAGAGAAACTACACTAGGCTTATTTCATGCTATTGGTAAAGTTGTATACAATAAACGTGTTGGCGACTCTTTAGAAGACAGACTAGAGAATACATTACCCCAAAATTCTTTGCCTGTTCATTTAAAAGTTTATGAAAGACGGGCACTGAAAATAAATCCTGATGATATATTAGACACCATACCAGTAGACTATGACACGTATGTTTTAGCACTCCATCATAATTATTTAGATTCTTGTAATGATATAGAACAAGTTGATTTTATACTTTCATCTCTAAGTTATTCGGATGCAATGCTTTCTTCTAAAAAAATGTGGCAACATTCTTTACAGCAGCGAATCTCCTCTTTCGTAGCTATTTCAAGTATATTAATGGGATTACCATCTCCAGTAAATCGCTCATCTACATCAAAAATAACATATCCTGTATATCAGAAAATTTTACAAAAAAAGAATTTAAAATATTATGATCTTATCGACTCTATTTACGAAAATTATTATAACGATCATTATCTTTCCTGCAATACTATGAAATCACTGGTTTCTATAATTACTGAAATTCTTTCATATCAATTAGTCATATCTAAAAAAAACTTATGTATGATTATATCAAATATGATTCTTTCCTAACTAAATTTTACAGTATCAGCTTATACCCCTTCATTGAATAAAAAAGAATTTCCTGGTTCTTTATTATATGATATAAATGACGATATTGAATTTGATTAATTTTTATTATCTATTTCAATCTGTTTATATATACAATCTTTTTTAAGAGTCCTTATTATCATCTAAATTCTTTCTAATATTTCATATATTTTTGGTATCTTTAATAATATTCTTAAATATTTATAATTTTATAACTTTATTCTATATTTCGAGACAACCTTTATACTTTTTAGGGTTTATCGTTTATCAGACTTTTCCATGTTTCGAGAGGGCATAATTTGCTGAAGTTAAGGAACAAAAAATAGAATTTTAGACCTTTAAGATAAAATAAAGACTTAAACCATAAATAATGCTGCATTTTTCTACGCGTACGGCTGTGCCGCTTTGGTCTGCGCTTGTTAGACGACCGGTTATACAAACAGTAAGTAAATATGAAAGATCTCTTTTTATAAAAAACATGGAATTGTTGAAAAGAAATTAAATTAATTACAAAAGTTTATTGAAAAAATAATTTAGAAAGTGCATTATTTTTTTTCTCAAAAAATTTTTAGACCAATTTTTTATGATATAACTAAAAAGTTATATGTACATGAAACATCCTATTAAATTAAGACTATTAAATATTTGTTTTATTGTTATTGAAAAGCGGAAAGAGTGCTTCATACAATTCTTGAGAAATTTTAGTGCTAAAATTTAGTGTTAAAATTTTTTTATTCTTAATAAATAAATTATTGATCTAATTAATATTAGATATATACTAAGCACTCATTAATTCAATTAACAAAAAGAGGAATTTCAGATAAAGCTTTACCTACTGAAGTTTCTTCAATTTTAGAAGAGAGGATTCGAGGTCTATCTACTGAAGCAAATTTAAGCGAAACAGGACGTGTACTTAGTGTTGGGTACGATTATTTATCTTTAAAAGCTTTATTTTAATGTGAAATATTAGAGATGGAATTGCTCGTGTTTATGGTCTTAATAATGTGCAAGCAGAAGAATTAGTTGAGTTTGCTTCTGGCATTAAAGGTATGGCCTTGAATTTAGAAGCAGATCAAGTGGGTATGTAATTTCACATTAAGCTATATCTACTTAGTCAATGATTTAAATAGGTGTTGTATTATTTGGTAATGATCGTTTGGTAAAGGAAGGTGAAATTGTCAAACGAACTGGTGGTATTGTTGACGTTCCTGTTGGACTTTCATTACTTGGAAGGGTATGAAAAAAGGAGTTTTTTAACGTATCTTTAATATAGGAAAGGTTGTTGATGCTCTGGGAAACCCTATTGATGGTAAAGGTCCCATACAAACTAATGAACGTCAACGTGTTCAAATGAAAGCTCCTGGTATTCTTCCTCGACTATCTGTCAGAGAGCCTATGCAAACAGGCTTAAAATGTATTGATTCTATGGTTCCTATAGGACGCGGTCAACGTGAATTAATTATTGGTGATCGTCAAACGGGGAAAACAGCTGTTGCTCTTGATACTATTCTTAATCAAAAAGCGTTAAATAGTGGAAATGATGAATCTAAAAAACTTTATTGTGTATATGTGGCTGTAGGTCAAAAAAGGTCAACTGTTGCCCAGCTTGTAAAAACATTGGAAGAAAATGATGCTTTGAAATATTCTATAGTTGTCGCTGCAACTGCATCTGAAGCGGCACCTCTTCAGTATATTGCTCCATTTTCTGGATGTGCTATGGGAGAATGGTTCCGTGATAATGGACGTCACGCTTTAATTGTATATGATGATTTATCAAAACAAGCTGTTGCTTATCGTCAGATGTCTCTTCTTCTTCGCCGTCCTCCTGGAAGAGAAGCCTATCCTGGAGAGTATGTTGTTTATTGTGTCAATTATTTTTTAATAGAAATAGTGTGTTTTATCTTCATTCTCGACTTTTGGAACGTGCCGCTAAAATGAATGAAAAACATGGATCAGGGTCTTTGACAGCACTTCCTATTATCGAAACACAAGGCGGTGATGTTTCTGCATATATTCGTAATTATTAATTTAACGTTTTGTTTTTTCCTAATAATATTAGCTACAAATGTCATTTCTATTACTGATGGCCAAATATTTTTAGAATCTGAATTATTTTTTAAAGGTATAAGACCAGCTATTAACGTTGGTCTTTCTGTATCTCGTGTTGGTTCTTCTGCTCAAATTAAAGCTATGAAACAAGGTATGTTGCATAAATACTATTTTTTAAATAATTAATATATTTTAGTCTCTGGTTCTTTAAAACTTTTCTTAGCTCAATATAGGGAAGTTGCTGCATTTGCTCAATTTGGTTCAGATCTTGATACTTCTACAAAACTAACATTAAGTCGTGGTGAACGCTTAACTGAACTTTTGAAACAAGGCCAGTATTCCCCTATGCCAGTTGAAGAACAGGGTATACATAAAAAGATTTGCTTATATCCATTTTTCTAATTTAACAATAGTGCCATTGATTTATGCTGGTGTAAATGGTTTACTTGATAAATTACCTGTAGAAAAAATTGGTGCATTTGAACAAGCTTTTTTGGTTATTCTATTAATATTTCATTAAAGTGTATACTAATGAAACTATAGATTCATTTTCGGCAAAATTTCTCCCAACTTTTAGCGACAATTAAAAAAGAAGCAAGTCTTTCCAAAGAGACAGAAGAAAAAATTCGGACAGCTATTCAAGAATTTCTAAAAACATTTGTTTAAGTTTATAGAATATTAGAATATATATCCTGAATGAATTTACTCATTAATTGAAATCATTCTGTACTATTTATGAGTATTTCATTTTTCTTTAAAAGATATATGTTTAAAAATGATTTAACTTTTGTATTATTTACAATTGCTAAGTTTATAATAGAAAAATAGTAATAGTAAATTTCATTAACATAAAATCATTAAAGATTACTATGTTTTTTATTTTGAAAACAATTATTTAAAACATTTTAAAAGTTAAAATCTCCAATACTGTAAAATAAAATATAAAAAAAATTAATTTTAAAATAATTTCAAACAAATATAAAAAAAGTAGGTTATAATTCTTGAAAGTTATTTAATTCAATCATAGAATCAGGAATTGAAATCATCTAATAACAAAATGAAAATTTTGTAATCATTAATGAGATATTTTAAGAATTTAATATTTATATTAAAAACAATTTTACAGTATAAGCTAGTAAATTATAAAAGCCTTAATGGCCTGTTATTTTTCGTGATTCTGAAATATAATGCGTTAATTTTTCTATTTTATTCTTAGCACGACCTAAGGTTCCAAGCTAAATAGCGTTATATATATTTATATAAAAAATATAAAAACTAACTCTTTTTTTTGCGAGTCTACGTGCACGTTTATCCTTCGAATTACGTAGCAACTCAATAACACGCCGTTCATAAGGTGCAAATCCAGCAACTTCATGGATAATCTCCCGGATAAAAGAAACTCGTTTCGACAAACAACCTTTTCTACGTGATATTCGAGTAGCTGTTGGATATGGAGTAGTTTTATGGCCACGATTAAGCCCTACAGCTAGTCCTAAAAATAATTAATTATATGTTTTCAATAGAAAAAAATATAAAAAAAATAGAAAAAATGTTATCTTCAAACACCAACCCTTTCTTTATCTGTTCTTTTCCGTTTTTTTTTGCCATATATATTAATATTAAAAAAAAATTAATAAATTATTTTTTTGTTATTTAAACGGATTTAAACATGATTCATTAAGAGTCTAAGAGCTAAGAACTTGAAAAAAAACATATTTTCTTCTTATAATAGTGTACTTTACTTACCACTTCTCTCTTGTTTTGTCATTTTTAAATTTTTCTATATTTCTAAAACTAATGGATTTTAATCGTAGTACGTTTAAATCGTCTGAAGATTTTAATAATTATAGCAACAAAAAAAGTAAATGCTAAAAAATATAAAATTATGATTAAAATAATTAATTTAATTGCTAATTTTAATGTATTTAAAACTAATATATATTAAAAACTAAAAACCAAAAGGGTTTTCCGGTGCTAATAATATTATTAAAAAATGCATTTAAATAAGAAAAATATACTTGCTGCTGCTAAATTTGCACGTTTTTTTGGATAATCAAATTGTGATGACTTTGGCGCTCCAAATTGAACAGGTTTGAATACTAAGGTTTGTTGAAAAGACGTAGAAATATTTGCAGGTTGCGATAATGCTAAAAAAGACGGACCGTTTCCAACATTTTCTAAGGTCTGGGGAGCAATAAGATTATTCTGGTATGTTTGATGCTTGTTAGATGACTGTTGATGCAAGATGGATGACTGGCGCTGATCTGGTAACTGTTGCGTATTTTGCTGAAAAAATAATGACTGTTGGTTATAACTATCGTATTGAGAAGGAATTGAACGACAGAAATTATTAACTGTCTGGAAAGGTTGCTGTGCAACAACCGTTTTCTCAGGTACAACACTATTATATCCATTATTTTGTAAATTTAGTGGTAAGCCCATGCTTTGCTGGGCAAGAGGAAATGAATTATGCATAATATGGGTCTGATTTGCTGAAAGCTGAGGATTTATGTAAACTGAATTTTCTAAAACTTGTTGTTTAGCTTTTTGATCAAATCCAATCTGAGGTTGAAATGCATGTTGTGGTTGGAATTGAGAAACAATAGGTTGCACAATAGATGATGAAAAACATTGTTGTGAAGCAATAGTCGAAGGATTTGTAGCTCCATAACTGTAAAAAGGCTGAAAACGTGATGAATTAGATGTTGAATTAATAAACGGAGCTGAAAATGGTTCAATAATATTATGTTGACCTTGAAGAACTATTTGAGAAGCAGGCTGTGTTACTGGTAAAATATTTTGCTGAACTTGTTTCTATAAAAATAATATGATTAAAATAAAATTCTTATAAAAATAAAATAACTAACCTGAGGAATCTGAGCCGAAATAGGCGGTACATGAGTAGGATTCATAGGAGGGGTTGATAAAGACAAGTTTTTCATTACATAGTTCAATTGGGAATTAGAGTCATCTAATTTTGAGGGAATAGGTGATTTGAGTTTCTGAGTATTAGACGATTTAATACACCAAGCATCATCATCAAATCCAGACATCGGTGTTTCTTCAATTCCTGAAAGCTCTTTATTCTTACCTTGAGAATCATTATCAATTACATGCTTGGTTTGAAATGGCTGTGATTTCAGAGATTCAACACTATTTTTTAGCTTTCCATTCGAAAGTGTAGATGAATTTGGCTCTTTTTTTTTTATAACAGAATCTGTCATTAAAACAGAGTTTATTTGATTTTTTAATTTCTTCGTTTCTACACTAGATTCTTGAATATTTGGTTTATCTTTAAGCTTATATTTTTCCCTTATATATCTAGTAATTCGAATAATATCATCTTCCCTTATACCAAGAGTTCGCATATTTTCTGACGTAAGATCTAATAAATTTGATTCAGTTAAATTATCACTTTGAAAATTTGTAGCATAAGTTTGACATAAATTGTATTTAACACCTGATGACAAAAAAAAGTCAAACCAATCATAATTACTTTTAGATTCCAAAGTAGTGTTAATTTCATGCTTATTTGAAACAATTTTATCTTTAGCTTTACAATATTTAGAATCATTAGATATTGAACTTGTGTCTGTATTTTGTTTATTCTTTGATGATTCAGCAATACTCTCAACATAAAGCACATCTTCTGCTGACATTTTTGATAAAGGAACAGATATTTTTACCCCATTAAGCTTATGCAAATGAATTTTATTATCAATAACACCTAAAAATTGCGCATCTACTTTAAATGTGCCAGTTCTATCAGTCCATGTCTTAATTTTATCTAATTGCGGCTCTAATTTCATCAATTGCAGAACAATTATATTAAAATTTACTTACTATTTATTTTTTTCTCTACATGGTTTTTCTTTTCCGATTTTTGCAATTCATTATTATTAGTTTTTTTTTCCAATTTTTGCAATTCATTATTATCAATTTTTTTTATACTTTTTAACTCTCGAAAATGACATTTGATATATGAAGCCGGAACCAAACCCTCAGAATCACCCTGTTTTACCTTCCACCAATCACAACTAGTAGTATCATCTAAAATAAAAACATATGTATTTGCTTTTACAGAGAGTTCATCCTCTTCACATGCATCAAAATCATATAAAACTATACCCTTTTTTCCTTCCAATTGTTTATGGTTAAAATAATTAACATCAGTATTATTATTATCATCATTATCATTGTCACTATTATAATCATTATTAACATTATTACTAAATTTACGATCTTTATATGAAGTTTTCTCTATCCCTTTAGCATTTATTCCTGAACTTAAATCTAACGTTGACGTTATGTTAGCAGCAGATGCTATTTCTTTTGAACGAGGAGAACATGAAATATTAGCAAGGTTTTCAATTGCAGAATAAATTTCAACAGCAGTTTCAAGAGATCCAGCGTGAAAATCAAAAGAAATAGATGATTTACCAGAACTTACGTCAATAAATACATGCTTTTTTTCAAAAGAATATCGAATAATGGAAGTAATAGGCCAAACTTGATGTTTTTTACCAGAATCACTAGAAAACGTAATACTACTATTTCCAACACTTAAAATACCCCTTCTCCTTTTTTTTTTATCAATTTCATAAACTGTCCATGTTTTAAGACTTTCATTAGAACTATCTTGATACGTATCAAAAAAATATGATTCATTAGATACAGCATATGCGTCTAAAACTTCAGAATTTTCAGAAGTCTTACGAAAAAATGCCTTTTCAGGAGCTTTTCCGGCATTTTTATATGATTGATTTATAGATGATCCATGTTGAGATAAATCGGAAGAATGTGTTTCTTTTGATGTATCTATTTTTTTTAAAGAATTCGGAGATACGCCTAAATTCGATACAAATAAAGGAGATGAGCTAGAATTTATCTGAGCCCCATTAGGATTATGAATAGGCGATGCCATATTCCCTGTTATTTTTTCAAGATAATTACTTGGTGCGAATCCATATGACATTCTACAACGAGCAAAAACCCAATTTTCATTATCTTCATCAAACACATCAAGAATCTCGCCTTCGTTGAATGATATCTCCTCAGAGGATTGCTGTTCATAATCGTATAATGTCCGAACTTGATAAATTGGTTGACACTAAAATAGTTTAATAGAACTATGTAAAAACATAGTTCTCACTTCTTCAAGATAATTTCCTGGAACCAATCCTACATCTCCATCTTCTTGATCTGATGGTGCCTTTTTTTTAACTTTCCACCACAGATCTTCACCCTTTTCAAGAACATAAAGCAGCTCATTCTCCTCCAGTTCTAATTCTCTGTTTTCTTTTGCCACTAATTCTTGATCTTGTTGAGGCTGATAAGGATAAAGTGAACGATATACACCAATAAAAGGCTTTTCTTCTGTCATTTTTTCTTAATTTCAATTCTTCTAATAATATAGATAATCTTTTTTTTGTTTCTATTTTTTTTAATTATTAAAAACAAAAAAAAGACATTTCTTACTTTTTAACCTTAAAAATTAACCATTTACACGTATCTAAGTAATATATCCCGTGTTTTTGAGTTTTTATCTATTAACGATGTTTCTAAATTTATCATAAATGAACATTCGTAAAAAAATCAACGAACCATTTTTTTAAAAAAAAGCAATTTCTATCATTGTTGAATACAAAACAGTATATAGTTTTGCTGTATTTAAGTCAAAGAGTGTTTTTTAATAGCTAAAGAGAAAAAAGAAGAAAAAAACTACAAGAAAAAACGTTTTATAGCAGTTTTTTTAGAAAAGTAGATTTCTTTATAAAAGACTTAAAATTGCTCATTAACAGAGGTTTATTTAGACTGATGCCTGGGAGCTTGTGTGTTTAAAACATCAGCGATGGTGTGCTAGATGTTTATTTTTATTCTTGCTAACATTTTCGGTCAGTTTTTTTTGAAAGATCTTACTCTAAGAATTACCCTACATCCATCCTTTTTTGGTCCCCGTATGCGTGATTACCTTAAAGCAAAACTATTGTCAGATGTAGAGGGGACATGTTCAGGAAATTATGGATATATTATCTGCGTTTTGGACAGTAATAAAATTGATATTGGAAAAGGCCGTATTGTACCAGGAAAAGGTGAAGCAGAGTTTGAAGTAGGCTATAAAGCAGTAGTATGGCGTCCATTTAGAGTTAGTCCTACAACAAAGCTTTTTACATAAGCTTGTTGCGTTTTTAAAAACAACTTAAAATTTTTTAGGGAGAGGTTCTTGATGCTATTGTTTCTACAGTAAATAAAATGGGTTTTTTTGCAGATGTGGGTCCTTTTTCGATATTTGTATCAAGTCATGTATGTATATGTTGTTTGTGATTTTCATTTTAATTGTAAATTTATATACAGTTGATTCCTTCTGATCTCAAGTTTGATCCAACATCGAATCCACCTTCTTATGCCTCAGAGGATCAATTGGTTGAAAAAGGTGCTAAAGTTCGGTTAAAAATTGTTGGAACAAGAAATGATGCAACTGAAATTGTAAGATTTTACTTTCTTTTTGCTTATAAATATTAACAGAATTAGTTTGCTATTGGGACAATTAAAGAAGTAGTTCTATATAAATGGTAGATATGTTACTTAAGTATTTTAGGACTATCTTGGTTGTCTTTAAAAAATATTATATTAAAGAATTTCTCTAAATCAGAATGAAAATGTACAAAAAAGTATTTTAGAACTTAAAAAAGGGAATTTATTTCATGTTTTAAATATAAATGTCTATTATAACTGATCGTTTAAAAACACGGGTTTTCATATAAGTATTTATCATTTAAAAGACTTTCGTTTAACTGTTTAATTTGAAAATAGCCTTTTATTAATTTATGAAAGACAATTAATGGGATCTTTTTATCAAAAACACATAATTATTTCTTATTTACTAGTTTTTTGGCTTTAGAAATAGTTTCATTAACATGTATTCTGCAATTATGTTTTTTTGTAAAATTAAATTTCTCTATTTTTATTTAAGATATATACCGTATTTATAAAAAATGATCCTTATTTGCAAGAATATCTTAATACTGTTTTTAGCAGCAAATATTCATATTATTGTACATTTTAGAAATTCGAAAATGAAAAAATGAAAGATTTATTTTTATTTTGAATTTATTTATATAACATTGTATACTTCCTATACTATTATTTGCTTTTATTTTGTTAATTTCAAATATTTAAGTACTTTTTTTCCAAAAAAAATTCTTAAATATTTCAAACAATATTCTTTACTTTTTTCCCATATTTTAGTATTTATATTTTCTTTTGCTCTTAGATATACCCAATTCTTTAAAAATAATATATCTTTAAATTATAAACTATATTTTAACAGTTTGAATTGATTTTCAATAATAAATGGTATTGGCTCGATATAATTTTTACACTTATCACCAAAAAAATTGTCTATAAATATCAAAAGAAAAAACATTTAAGGATTCCTGTAAATATAAAAAGCAAAGCATTCTATATTTTAATAAGTTTTAATTTTAAATGGGAAAATTTTAATTAATATTTAATTAGAAAAATAAGTATAAAAACATTAAATTAGTTAAACGGAAATTTGAAGGGAAGAGAAAAGAAAATAGTGAAGAATGATAGATGGAGATGGAGGTCCACATTGGAAATTTGCCCAGTAAACAATTTTTTATTTAAATTTTAAATCAAATATTTATAGTTTTAGATGTTTCGGAGACAAAGGGGATATAGAAGATATTACAGAAGGTATAATTCTATATTATTAAAAAATTTAAAAATATACTATTTTCATCAAACATAATGTGCTTATAAGTGATTAGCGGATATCATTAGCACAGTCGAATTTGATCACACTGGAGATTATCTTGCAACAGGCGACAAAGGTGGCAGAGTTGTTTTATTTGAAAGAAATCGTACAGTATATTACTTTTTTCTTTATAAGTATACGTTTTTATTGTTTTCTTTTTAGAAAAAGAATTGTGAATACCGATTTTATACTGAATTTCAATCCCATGAACCTGAATTTGATTATCTAAAATCATTAGAAATTGAGGAGAAAATCAACAAAATAAAATGGTGTAAACGGCAAAATGCCGCACATTTTCTATTATCTACAAATGGTATAAAACTTGTTTATACAAAATCATTTTATTAACTAAATATTTTATTAAATAGACAAAACTATAAAATTATGGAAAATATTCGAAAAATCTCTTAAAGTTGTAGCAGAAAACAATCTTTCTGATGGTCTTCATTCTTCTTCATATATTACATCGCCTGAATTACTTAAATTACCACGAATGAGTCATCATGATACAATTATTGCATCAGTTCCAAAAAAAATATACTCAAATGCGCATGCTTATCATATAAATTCAATTAGCATAAGCTCTGATGGGGAAACATATATCAGTGCGGACGATTTGAGGATAAATTTATGGAACTTAAATATAGCAGATCAATCATTTAGTAAGTTTATTTAATTTATATTTAACTTATTCATTTTTAGATATTGTTGATATTAAACCGGTGAATATGGAAGAACTTACAGAAGTTATTACTTCAGCTGAATTTCATCCTTTACATTGTAATCAATTTATGCTTAGTAGTAGTAAAGGTACAATTAAGCTTGTTGATATGCGTCAATCTGCTCTTTGTGACCAACATGCTAAAAGTAAATATGTATTCTCTTACAATATTTGTTTAATTTAATTAACAATTAGTCTTTGAGGAACAAGAAGATCCTGCATCAAAATCTTTTTTTTCTGAAATTATTTCGTCAATTTCTAATGTTAGGTTTTCACATGATGGAAAATACATTCTTTCCAGAGACTACCTTACTCTTAAGATCTGGGATATAGCAATGGAAAAACATCCTATTAAAGTAATAAATATGCATGATGGACTTAGATCGAAATTATGCGACTTATATGAAAACGATTGTATTTTCGATAAATTTGAATGCATTTTCTCTGGAGATGGAAAGAATGTTTTATCTGGAAGTTACAATAACACTTTAATGATTTATCCTACTGATACATCTGATACATGTTCTAATAGAGAAATTATTTTACAAGCTGACAGATCTGCTTTTAAAGCGAAAAAGGCTGGAGGAAATAAAAAACTATGTACAAAAGGAATATATCCAGGCTTACGAGAAAACGGAGGAGTCGATCTAATTGATGTTGATAAGATAGATTTTAATAAAAAGATTTTACACTCTAGTTGGCATCCAAATGAAGATTCTATTGCTGTTGCAGCAACTAATAATGTAAGTTTTATATTTTTTTTACAATTAACACAATTATAGTTATTTATTTTTTCAACACTTTAAAAACAAAGATTTAAGGCTATTTAGTTACCAATTTTTTCTTTTTTCACATAAATATATTATTATGTAATTTATAAGTTAAAACATTATAAATCAGAAACCATAGATAACATATTTAGGAAAAAGCACCATATATTTTTCTGTGCTGTAAATTAATATCACATTTTGTTTACTATTTTATAATCCCGTAATTTGTTTCTAAGAACTCGTAATAAATAAAAATATTTAGATTTTATCTGTTTCCAAGATTAAAATACATGGTTTTCTACTCATTACTAAATAGCATCATGATACTATTTACATAATACAATACAATTCCTTTATTACTTTTTAAAAGCTTCTTTAAGCCATTCATACATCCTTTTATAAATCGTATATTTTGCATTATTAGCAGATATATCATGCGCATTATCAGGGAAAATATGCATATCATAGTTAGTAAGCCCATGATATACAAGACCACTAACAAACTTCATTGTATGTTGAAGATGAACTACAAAAATATTAATTTGTTAACAATAAAAACATAATTATACCATTTTCATCAGCTGATCCATGCATAACGAGAAAACGAGTTGCATTTTTGAAACCCAGAATATTAGTAATAGAAGCATCTTGATAACCTGCAGGGTTTTGATTAAATAAGCCCAAATATCTTTCTGTATATATGGTATCTATAAAATTTAGCTTTGACTATTAAAATAAAAAATTAATACCATAATATCTAAAATCTGTTCCAGGGGCAACAGATATTCCGTATTGAAACACACCAGTCCCTTTTTCAAGGGCCTTTAAAGTTATATAACCTCCATAGCTCCAACCCCAGATTGCAAATTTATCTTTATCAACATATTTTTTATTTTTCCATTGTCTAAAGAAATGAACAAAATATCAAAAAAATAAAACAATTACCTAGCTACTTCCAATTGGTCTAATGATTCATAAACACCAATACGTCCTTGAATTTCCGTTAAGAACTTTCTACCCATAAGACCCGTTCCTCTTCCATCAACTGAAACAACTATACATTGGAGATCAGGATCTGATGAAAGGACTGAACTCCATGAAACTCTGTATCTTTTTGAAACAAGTTGACTAGCAGGTCCTCCATAAACATGAAATAAAACAGGATATTTAGTTGCACCGGAATCATCAAAATTAGGTGGCACTATCTCTAAAACATTCATATCTAACAAATATAAGAATATGAAGCAATAATTGGTAAGCAAAGATACCATAATCACCGACTCTTATTGTAGAATATCTCTTTTCTGGCAAATCATATTTCCCCAATTTCTCAGTAAGATCTTCATTCTTTTCGATGATAAGATCATAATCTTTATAATATTAATTTGTTCATATTTTAATTTTAAATTATTTACCTTCATTATCTACTTTCTTAATTTTTTGCCAAGGCACTTCAGGACCTGTATAAGTTAATAGATAAGCTGTCCCACTTGGTGAAAAGTCTGCATAATAATAACCATCTTTCTCTTCGTCTGTAACAGCGACAACATCTCCTCCTAAAAGACTCACCTTATATAAATGCCTTTCAATTGAACTTTTTTTTGTAGCAATAAAATAACTTATAATATTAAATTGTTGTTGGATAAAAAATATTAACATACACTGTACTCTTAGGAGAATCAAAACCAGCTATACTAACTACTTCCCAATTTCCATTAGTAAGGAACTTTGGATTTTTATAAGAGTTTAAGCGAAAATAAGCAATATGATAATATCCTTTATTTATAGCGATTTCAATATACCCGTTTCCATACCTTTTAGCATTCCGATTTGATGGAATTGGTGTAACTTGGGTGCCCTAGTGAAAATTAAAAAAAAAAATATTAATATCAAACATACTGGTTCAAACCATCCGCCATCAATCTTAGTAGCATTCAAAGTCCTAGTCAACTTCCCATCACCAGTTGTAGCATTAAATAAATAAACATATTGAAAATTAGATTGCCGATTAGTTTTTTTAACCAAAAGCTCTGTTTTCCCAACCCAAACAACTTCTGTTATAATATTGTCATCATCTTTAGTATCTGTATTATTCAAATATTTAACTTTATGTCCATTATGAATATCAACAATATGAAGAGATACTTGTGGATTTTTAGAGCCCACTCTAGGGTATTTAAGAGTCATTGTTTCAGGGTATATCGGAGCTGAATATTTATACGAATAGGACTCCATATGAAGTGGTATATGAATGTTCTCTACCTCAGTATCATTGGTGCGAATAAAAGCAAGATATTTAGAATCTGGAGACCACCAAAAGACATGATTAGTAGAAAAAACTTCCTCTAACCTAATTAAAAATATAATAAAAAATAACAATAAAGTAACCTTCATATACCCAGTCCGGAATGCCATTAAAAATATCATTACTACCATCAGTTGTTACTCTTTGAGCATTTTCCGCTCCATCCTGTACATAAATATCATTTTCATATACATAAGCCTAATAATATTAATAAATATATTTTATTATAAATGAAAAATACTAATTTATGGCCAGTTGGACTCCATCGAGCATATGAAACTTTGGCATTAGATTGATCTTTAATAAGAGGCGTAAGTTCTTGCTTTTTAACATCATAAACCCAATAATTTCCAAAATAAGAATGCCTCCATCTCTAAAAAAATATTAAAAAAAAAAAAATAAAAATGAATATAGACCTTCTCCGCATAGGCTAAAAATAATATATATTTCATATCATTAGAAACCCGATAATTGTAAAATATAAAACTCCCTCCATTAGACTAATAATTAAAAATAAATATTTAACAATTAGACAAATATAAAATACCTTTTTTACTTGAGTTTCATTCAAAAACATATAACTTGTACCATTAAGGTATACACGTATAATAGTCTTATCTCTTCTATCAAAATAAGAAACTTCATCTATTAACCATATTAAGAAAAGAATACAAATCAATGCAATTTAAATACCTCCACTGGCCCATTTTATATTTTGATAAGAAGGATAAAATTCCTTAAAATGCCATTTATCTAAAGTAACACGGCGAGAATCATCTAGTTTATGAACTTTTTTGGCTTGAGCTCTAATAACAAATATAACAATCATTAAAATAACTAATAAAAAGATAACAAGTGCAGCAGTAATAATGACATATTTTCTTCGGGACTTCTAATTACTTATAAATCATGAAAAAATCATTTGAAAGTAAAAAAATACCTTTGGTTTCTCTGTAGCAATTAGGATCATAAATTTAATTATAATATATTTTACCTTGATTATCCTGTGTAGGAGCTATATTATTTTGAGCTTTTTCTGTATCATTTTCCAGAGACATCTCGCCTGAAATGCTTTAATTATGTTTCTAATAATAAATAATATAAATATTTTTTTTTCCAAAAAGATAACAATATATAATTTTTTTAATAAATAGCATAAAACCAATATTTTTAACGATCGAAAATTAACTAAAAAAGATTAGTGTATAATCTAAAAAACATACACTAATCTTTATACTTAAATAGAATTTTTAAACATTTTCTTAAAAACAAAATATGTCTATTTAAGTCAACACAAATATTTCTATATTTTGAGATTTGTGTATTTTTGTATTCCAAAAATGGTTGATACAAAAAATAGATGTTAATAACTAAAATAAAAAACAAAGATATAAAAAAAGACCTATTAAAACTTAAAATATGTATTTCTTTTTAATAAAAATGTAATAAGCTATTATATTAAAAAAGTTAAAATCTTGATAAATACTGTTCTAGAAGTTGGGTTATTACTTTTTAAAAAGTTAATTTGATGTTGGTTTGAGAAAATCACATGTACTAAAATTAGCTACAATTTAATAGTGCGTAGTAAATAGTTTTAAAAACTAAAAATAGTTAGCGAAATCTAACGTTTATAATTTTAAGCTAAATAATGTCTAAAAAATTAAAAACTCTAATCTTAATGATTTATATTCGCTAAAGAAAACCATTCGTGCTAAACGGCTCTATGGTCTAGTAGTAAGATTCCGCTTTCGGGTCGTCTCTCTTGACATGAATAGCGGAGGTCCCGGGTTCAATTCCCGGTAGAGCCCTGAGGAATTTTATATTACTTAGGATTTTAATTAGAGTAATATAGAAGTAATTTCGAAAGTTGAGAAGTGTTTTTTCCAATTCTAAAAAATCAACATTAGTTTATAGTTTCAACTAAAAAGGGCTCAAACTGTTTTATATTGTAAAATTAATAAATCTGTTTACGATTTATTATTTATTAAATTAATTTTTTAAAAGTCATTTTAAAATTTCTGTAAAAATTTTTTTTAGTTCTATAAGATTTTTAATTCTGTAGTTTCTTTTTTAAAATAAGGCTTATAACGTATTCACTATGTTCAAAAATATTTTGTATATGTAAGACATTATCTGTTATTTTATTTTTTTCCCTTATTTTTTTAATTTCCTCATTGAATAGTGAAACCCTATTGTTTTTCGCAATTTCTATAGCTTGTTTCTCCTCTTGAGTAGGTTTTTTTGATACATGATTTTTATAAACATGTTTTAACATCAATTGAAGTAAGAAACTATACTTTGCTTTTTCTGGTAACCTTAACTTTGCTTGAGAAGCAATTGTTGGCCACAATCTTAACATGTCTATAGATAATTCCGAAAAATGTTTACTTAATTTCGAATGAATAGAATACTTTACAAGTAGTAAATGACATAAATTTATTTTTAAAGATGGAGGAATTGCATTCTATAATATAAATTAGGTTAATTTTGATAATCTTAAATAAATACTGAAAAATAAAAAATAAACTTATCTATCTCCAAATTTTTTAAATAAATAGACAATTCGTTTTCAAAATTAAATTGATTAAAATACGTTGGTAAACTACATACTGCATCATATATCTAAACAATTCTTAAAAAACCTTAAAAATATTAATAATTTACCAAATACAAAAATCGTTTTCTTAGCATCATACTTTCTATAGATTTTACTGAACTTGTTTTTTTTTCATCTGGTAATTCTACTATATTAGAAGATAATGGACATTTATATTCTTCTGATTCTATATTATTAAATATAGCTGTTAAGATTTGCTTAATGTCTGGTTTTTCTTTATTATCATTTTTAAAAGAATTCATAAGCAATGTTTTTTCTAATTCTTTCTCAAATTCTACAAGAATATTAGACTAATATAGATTGTTTTTTTTGGTTTTTCAAATTAAACCTTGTTCGGAATACTCTTTCCAATCCATTTCTAGGATAGTTATGATACAGTCCAAAAATACATATAAATATGGGGATGATTCATTAAAACATTGCTGAACAAGTTCCCAGATGTTTGAAAATTTAGAAAAAATAGACTTTGTAAGATTCAATTGCATATTATCTTGCATATCTAAATAGTCAGTATTTATATCATTATCTTGTCTTTTAGATCTTTGAGAACGCTTATTATGAGAAAACATCCAAAACCATTGAGTATTCAATTCATTCCTGTATAATTTTTTTGAATAAATTATTCTATGTACAAGCTGTGCTGCTTTTTGAGAAATATGATAATTTTCGTGACTTTTTTGTATAATAAGATTCATTAGAACGCGCAAATATTTTTCAGGTAAAAAAGGAATAAACTCTAAATTTTCATTTTTTTTTGGCATCAAAACAACATCAAGAATTTCAAGACCTGAGTAATAAAGTTCTTCTTCAAAACATGAATCAATAAATAATCTAATTAATTAATACAAACTTTGCGAATAAAGAGGGTCAACATACATTAAATTCTCATCTATTGTATTCATTTTTATTAATTTTAAATTATTTTAATTTAAAAATTATTGGATTTTTTTAGAAAGGGATAATATTAATGTAGACGATAGTTTAGAATATATTTAAAATTTATTATAAAAAATAATGTAACCTTATTTCAAATCAATTCATTAAATGTTATGAAATTATTAATCATAATTCATCTAGTCATTCATACTGTTTTATTAGTATATGCATTGTGATATAACCCATAATTTCGTGTCTTTTTAGGTGCTCCTGGAATATATTGTTGAGGTTGTGAATCTAGAAATGATATGCCACGAGAATCATGATGATTAAAATGCAACTTTTGAATAGTTGAAGGTGGTTTATAAGTAGGTAAATATGAATTCATATTAGATCCACCATAAGATGCATATTCATAATCGTTATTTTTTCTGTTGGTCTGATGATCTTTTACTAAAGAATCATTACTAGATCTCATATTTGACTTAAAAGGAGGCCGAGGTGGAGCAGCTAAAGAATTTTGTGATATATAACTAGCTATAAGATCATGAGAAGGTATATAATTTATAGATTCATCAAAATTAGCATTATTTGTTTTATTTATCGAAGAATAAGATCCATCATATGAAGATAATGGATCTTTTATCTTGGACATTTCTTTAAAATATAATCCATTAGTTTGTTTTGATAAGTTAAGTTCAACATCAGAAGAAAAATTAGTCTTACTTTTAATAAATTCTGATCTATCGTCTTCCATTTGTTCATGAAGAATATCTGGATTCTCCGAAACAATAGCATATATCGACACTATAATAAGAAGAATAAGTAAGACAAGAGCAAAAGCGCAGTTAACAAGAAAAAATATTATCCCAAAAATAGCAACAATCATATCCTAAGAAAATTAGTTTAAAATAAAAATAAGAAATATTACATATATATATGATTCATTTGCAAAAATAAGTACAAAAACACTATTCAGTAGATTAATTGCTGCAACAGTAGCACTAAAAATATTCGTTTTTCTATCTAGGAAGGGACGAATATAAACAATCAAAAAGAAGTATGCTAATTGAATGATAAAAAATGCTATTGCTTGAACAAGAGGATTGCCTTGAGATAATGCTATAAAAATTGATCGTAATAAAATGAAAAATAAAAGAGGAACAGTAAAGTAATATGCAGATGCTGAAAATTGTATATATAAAGAACCCCATTTAGTCAAAACTTTAGAATCAGAGTACAAAATATATGCAGCTGTTTTATGAAATTTAAGAGAACGACGTGCTAAAATAATAACTCGGTAGGCAGCATAAACTAGTAAAGTTGTTGCTATTATTAGTGTCAAAACGGCATAAATTATTGCACCAATAGAATCACGAGAGACCAATTCCCATGTACAAAGAAGAGATAACTGAGGATATCCAATAAGCAACTTTAAAGATTAATCTTTTTTAAAAAAAATATATCAGGATTCTTACTAATCTATACATAGCACCTTTTAAAAGATCCTTCCATTCGTTTTTGAAACCAAAAAAACGTTCTTGACGTATCCAATGAGTTTTTGGAGAATAATGAAGAAAAATTCTAAACAATGCAAACCCTAGTACTATTGTGAAAATCATAATAAGAAAAAAAGAAAAGCTGGTCATAAATAAGTTCGTAGTTTCAATTCCTTCATTATAAGAGACACGATTTATACCACGAAAGACAATATTTTTAACAGTATCTGAAGCACGCTTTTCGAGAGAAACAAAACTCCGTTTTTCAACAAAAATTGAATGTTTGAATGAAGGATAATGATGGAAAATAGGTGCTCCTCCAGTAGATTTAATATACCAAGTAAAAATTTTCTGCATAAATTCCAAATTAATAATCCCCATTGTCCATTGAAAATTTTGAGTCCATGAACGCACAATAGGTGGCATTTTTGCAGACATCATACCAAAAATAGCCTGACCTTGAAAATAACTAAAAAGAGCAAATGTATTTGTTGCAATATGATGAGCAGTATTAAAATTCCCATTTTCAGATGCAATTGCACTTACGATAAGTGCAGATAATGCAATAAGACCAGATATCCATCCAACTGCTTTAACATTTACAGTCATCATATTTGTCATTGTAACTTGAACACATGCTTTAAGTTCTCCTGTATATTTATCATAAATTGTAATTTTAACGATTGCATCAATATCTGGAATAGCATATACAACGCCTAAAACCCATAAAAATATTGAATAAAGTATTTAAAAATCAAGAATACCGGGAATATGTGATGAAATATCAAGAGGAACATCGCTTTCTCCTTCAATTTGCGTAAGAGGTCCAGGCTGTAAATAACAAAGATTCGGTATTTTAAGAATGCATGGATCAATAGTTCTATTTAATACTTGTATTCCATATGCCACTATAACAACGTTAACTAAATATAACATTGTTAGAGTTCTTGAGAAAAATCGTCAACAATATATTACACACCTAGAACTTCACCTTCAATTGAGGTCATCCCATCAACACGGTATACTACTTTTTCCATATCTGGATAGTATGTAATTCGAAATATTGTTGCTATTAATCCTGAATTTTCCATACATGTAGATAAAGATTGTGTGCCAATTCCTCGTCTAGCATAAACGCGAGTATTGATATTATTCCAAAGAAGGACTAATCCTATCCATCCAAAAGCAAAAAACCTCATTTTTCTCAAAAAAATCACAAAAATGACCACTTTGTCTTATATATGCAATGATAATCTTTATGTATGTACCCAAAGAATCCAATATTTTTTACCAAAAAGTCCAAAAACAAATAGAATTGCTTTTCCCAATGATTCTACTATGCATATAGAACTTCAAAAGAGCTTATTCTTATTAATAAAATAGCATTTAAGTGTTAAATAAGAATTCTTTTTGAATTTTATGCTTTTTTACTTAGGAATTGATGCAACTCGATTTCCGTAAAAGTACTTTTCTACCTGCTTTTTTAAAATCGTGAATAATACATTATTTATTAAAGATACGAAATAACGAAACACGAACTTCAATATTAAAATTAGTCGCGTCTCAAGAAAAAGAGGGTTAAGCCCTAAAAACTATGAAAATAATTTATCTTTCATCTAAAAACTTATATTTTCCCTGTTTTTATATTGGAAAGTCTGAAATATCCCTTTAGCACTTATAGATATCGAAAATTAAATTTTGTATTATTAATATATAGCAAAAAACAACTTTTCATTAAAACTTAGGCTTTGTAGAGAATTTTAATATACTCATACTTCTCAAGACGGAAAAAACATTTTAAATATATGTTCCCTATATAATCCGTATATATATATATATACCACATATATATAGTTCGTATATGATGCATATATAACTCATATATATATATCGTATGCGTACGATAATGTATTTCAAAGAAGTTATTGTAATATACAAACGCCCATAAAATTTAGATTTTAAAGTATATCAACGCATATATTCCATTCATTTTCTCTGTAAACCTGTCTTGTAAATCTATGTCAAATATCTTACATATATATAACTAATTGAAATAGATCATGTTTATTAAACCATAAACAGCTTACGAATACTATTTCAGATAATCTATTTTTTTATTAAAGATATATTTGTGAAAAAAAACGAGATAAACATGATTTTCTTTTAGTTTATAGATTAGTAGATGGATTATATGCGTTTATGCATCGTATTATATGCGTAAATATTTTTATTAATGTTATCGAGTTCGATTTTAACTCAGACAATGATTGTCGAAATAAAATCACATTTATTTATTAATAATTTGTCAGTTTAATAGAGCCTTTAAGGCTTATTTATAGTTCTTTTTTATTATTGATGATGGCTCGGTCATCTAAACAGCATAAAACCCGCTCTAATGGCTTAGCAAATGAAAATACCGTATCTAAATCGATATCTAAAACAGTAGACCAGACGTCAGTTAATGCAGTGGATTCAGTTATTTCATCAAATGTTCCATTATCAAAGGAACAGTTGACTCCTGCTTCTACAGTAGCTCCTGATGCTGCAGTAACATTAAATTCATCAAACCCTGTTATGTTTTCTGATCTTTCACTTTCAAAACCTACAGCTAAAGCACTAGCAGAAATGGGTTTTTCTAAAATGACAGAAGTTCAAGCACGTACAATACCTATTTTAATGGCAGGCAAAGATGTTCTTGGTGCTGCAAAAACAGGAAGTGGGAAAACGTTGGCATTTTTGATTCCAGCAATTGAAATTCTGTATTTTTTGAAATTTAAGCCTAGAAATGGTTTTTTCCATTTTTTCATATGATATATATTTTTACACGTCTGTTTTAGGTACTGGCATTATTGTAATATCGCCTACTCGTGAACTTGCATTACAAATATTTGGTGTAGTTAATGATCTTTTAAAATATCATAGTCAAACATTTGGCGTTGTAATTGGGGGTGCTAATAGGCGTGCAGAGGTTGAAAAATTGGAGAAAGGTGTTAATCTTTTAATAGCAACACCTGGGCGCCTTTTGGATCATTTACAAAATACAAAAGGATTTGTTTATAAAAATTTAAAGGCACTTATTATTGATGAAGCAGACCGTATACTTGAAATTGGATTTGAAGATGAAATGCGTCAAATTATTAAAATACTTCCTAGCGGTATTTTTTATTTTGTATATATATATATATATATAGTTTTACTAGAAAACAGACAATCTATGCTATTTTCAGCAACACAAACAACGAAAGTTGAAGATCTTGCTAGAATATCACTACGACCTGGGCCTCTTTATATTAATGTGGATTCTGATAAAAAAAATTCGACAGTGGATGGTCTTGAACAAGGTTATGTTGTTTGTGATAGTGACAAACGTTTTTTACTTCTTTTTACTTTTCTCAAACGTAACCTTAAAAAAAAGATTATTGTATTTTTTTCGAGTTGTAATTCTGTAAAATATCATTCTGAATTATTAAACTATATTGATATTCCTGTCCTGGACCTTCATGTATACATTAATATATTTTATTATTTTTTGACTAGTTTTAGGGAAAACAAAAACAGCAAAAAAGAACTAATACATTTTTTGAATTTTCTAATGCAAAACAAGGAATTCTTATATGTACTGATGTAGCTGCAAGAGGTCTAGATATTCCCGCTGTAGATTGGATTATTCAATATGATCCTCCTGATGATCCAAGAGATTATATTGTAATATTTTTATTTTCATTTATTTGATAAATAACATATAATAGCATCGTGTTGGACGTACTGCTAGAGGAACTAAAGGAAAAGGAAGAAGTCTTATGTTTCTTGTACCTAGTGAATTAGGATTTTTAAGATATCTTAAAGCTGCAAAAGTTTCATTAAATGAATATGAATTTAGTAAATTAGCAAACATTCAATTACAGGTAAGGTCAATTATTGAAAAAAATATTTAATTTTTTTAGCTAGAGAAATTAATTTCAAAAAATTATTATCTAAACAGATCTGCAAAAGATGGTTATAGAAGTTATTTGCAAGCGTATTCTTCATATGCTTTAAAATCAATATTCGATGTTAATAACCTTGATCTTGCTAAAGTAGCAAAAGTAAATTAACACTATATTTAAATTTAATTATATTAATTTCTTTAGAGTTTTGGATTTGCTACTCCACCTTCTGTAAATATTAATGTTGGTAGCGGAAGCAAATCTAGTTATAAGTCTTCTAGATCTTTTAAAAGAAGATATGATGATTCTTGTAAGAATGAATATTTTAAGAAACAGAAAACGAGTCTTATATATAAAAACACTGAAAATGAAAAAAACACATGGAGTAGATAGATTATTCTAATATTGTGGTTTAATTTTGATATGTAAATTCATTAGTGAATTATTTATATTTTTTGATAAATATTGGGTTTTAAATATTAGTATTTTATTTTTTATAAATATATTGTCGATATTAATAAATATTATATTTAGAAAATAAATCCTATAGAATAATAGAAAATAATAAAATAATCCAAATAGAATATTAAGATCTTAAACTTAGATTAAAAAATATAAATATCTAAGATAAAACAAAAATTTCAAACATTTCTTACAAGGTTTTAATTTGTCGATATTTTATCTTTTAGAAATAAACGAATAAATTCTTTTAAAGCATTAGACAAATGATAAAGCAATAATGTACATGAATTTTTAATATACAAAATTTAATAATAAAAATTCATGAAAATATTACTCTAGAAAATTAAAAACCGTACAATTAAACATGCTTTTAAGATCAATAATACTTTATTTTAAAAGCATTTGTATTTAAAAATCAAAAATAATTTTAAAAAAAAAAACATAACCATTTAAATTATACAAGATACTCTTTCGTTATAAATTTATGCTTAAGCGCTTTTTCAGGAGTTAAACGATCTTCTGGGTTCCATAATAAACATTGAGACAAAAAATCGAGAAAAACTATATCATTACATTTGACTGCTTGAGAAAGTGTTTTCGAAGAAGGAGATCTTCGCTTCCCTTTTGAAAATATAGTAGAATGAGGATTTCCTAAAGAATCTAAAAAAATAAGTAATATTTCTAAATAAAAGAATTATTATACCAAAAAATATTTTTTTCCGGGTACTTTTTTCTATCAAACAACTTTCAGGAAAACCAAGAACTTCCATTATACATGCAAGTTGTTCATGTTCATCTTCTCCTGGAAATATAGGATGTCCGGTATATAATTCTGCTAAAATACAACCTAAACTCCATATATCAATTGATATTCCATAATCTAGACCTAAAATAACTTCGGGAGATCTATAAAATCTGGATTGAATATATGTATAAACTAAAAAACATAAATTTATATTTTAATTATAGATAAATTTTACTTTTTTCATTTTCAAAACAGCTACTTCCGAAATCAATTATCTTAATATTAGGTTTAAGTTCTGAACATAATAAAATATTTTCTGGTTTTAAATCACAATGAATAATTCCATGTTCTTTAAAAAAAACTAAATTTTGAAGCAATTGTTTTGTAAAACTAAAACTATAAGAATATATAATTTTTTAATAAAACAGTAACAAACCATCTGATCATTGAAAGAGAAAATCCTTTAAAGCCATTTATTCTTATTAACTCATATAAGTTCAAATCTAACAATTCCATAACAATACATAAATGTTCACGAAAATAAAAATGGTCAATATATTTTATAAAAGAATAACTATCATTTGGGTCCTGATATGCTTTGATTACTATAAATATATATATATGTTCAATATTTACCCATTTAGATAATTGTTTAAGTATTTTTATTTCAGTCAATGCTTGAACATGAAATCTTTTTTTATTACGAATAATTTTAATGGCAACTGCCTGTCCTGTTTTATGATCGAAACATTTAACAACTTGACCAAAACTTCCTTTACCAAGAATGCTGCAAATTTCATAACGATAAGCAATATGATCACCTATAATAACAACATAATCTCCTCTATCATCATCACATCCAGAATTATTATCACAAAAATGAGTAGAAAAATCATTTTTTTTTACTTTTGGACGACCAATAAAATAAATAGATCCTATATAATCATTAATTTCACCAATTTCATAAAGGGTTAATGATGAATAATGAAATGATTTAATATCATTAAAATCTATAAGACTTCCTTTTTTTCCTAATTTTATATTTTTATCATTATATAAAAAATCTGAAAGTCTTTCATCTTTTTGAAACTTTTGTTTTTTAAATTTCAATTTACAAAACTCGTCTTTTATTATATCATTATCAAAATCATCAATATATAATGTATTAGGATTTAGTTTCAATTTTGTTATATTTTCATCTGATTCAACATTGTATGAAGATTGAACTTTAGAATTCTGTTTTAATGGATAACATAATTCCTTGTCAGAACTTAAAGCAACTTCTTTAGGAGGTATTTTAAATATTTCATGTAATGAATCAAACACTGGTGTTACTTTTAATAAATCTAACTTCGGAAGAGGGGATATATTGCCTGTTTTTGTTTTTTTTTCTAAACATTTATGATTAGATTTCAATTTAGGTAAAAAACTAATTTAAGTTAAAAACAATTGAAAAATAGATAAAATAACCTTCTAGTTTGAACTTTTTTTGAGAAATTAATATTCTTAGAATTACAATATGAATTTGATTGTCCTTGAGAGATATTTTTATTATTATATTCCATATGAACGTCTTTAGAAAAATGTACCTTCAAACCTTCAGAAGGAAGAGGGATTTGTGTATGAATAGAATGTCCATTTTTTACATCTTTATTTTTCTTGAAACTAAGCCTTGATAAAGTAGATGATCTGGATAATGATTTTGGCAAAAATTTAGAAGTATTCTTTTCGCATTTATTTTCACATGAAATAGTAGAAGTATTTTTTTTAATCGTTGATGTTAACGAATCAGAAATATTTAATGGAAAAACATTAACAGTTTTAAAATTATCCTGTCGGCATTTTGATTTCGTATTAAACTTTTTTTTTGAAAGTGTGTAAAAGTTTTCACTAATATTTTTTTGAATAGATTCAAGACTCATAGATGAAGCATTTCCATTTTCAAGAATTTGCATTTTAGGATTTTTAGAATTAAGAATATTTTTAGATGTTGGATAGATAGTAGAAACATTATCTGAAATGACCTTTTTTTGCGATATTAAAGGTAATTTTGTTTGAATATTTTCTATAGAATATGAAATATCCGTATTTTTACTGTTTAAAGATGAACTACTTGTTTTTTTGATACAGCAAAGTTTAGATGATATTATTTTAGTACTTAAACCAGATGTTCCCCGAATATGACGGTATTTCAAAGATTTGATTATAGATGACTTAGTGTTTTGTAATTGAGCCTGCATATTAACTTTATTGTCTGATGGAGCCATAACTTGAGGAAATAAATTAGGATTTTCTATTAAATGAAAAGAATCTGAATTAACTGATTTTTTAAAATCCGTATCTGAAATAGTTGAACTTTTTAAAGAATTATGAAGACTTGGGCTAAAGATTTCTATACAATTTTCAGTATCGCTTGTAGCAGAAGATTTACAAGATTCATTTAAAGTTGTATGCAATATGTTATGTTTTATGCTATTTTTTATTAGAAATCTAAACAATGCTATAATCTAAATAACTACCTATCATTTTCTTGAGTATACTCCTTTAAAAAGCTTACTTCCTCAATAAGGATATTATCTTTAAGTTATTTTAGTAATATTAGCTAAATATAAAATACTACCTTTATAATCATTTGCAGAATAACAATCAACAATAGAAGAAAATGATAATAAACTAGAATCTATTGTACCATCTTCTAAGTTTATATTTTTCTGTAATAACTTAGTTTTCGACGTGTTATTAATTTCAAGGTCATTGTTTAAAAGATGAATATTGAGCCATTCATGTTCATTTAATTGACTATCATAACTTTTATCCAAATTCTTCAATAATAAAATTTCATCTGAAGAAAAACTTGTTTCTATTTTTGATAAATCTTTTAATATTGATTCTTCTGGTAATTTTTTTGTTTTTTCAGAATTTAAATGCAATTTTTTTAACTGTTCATTAATATTATTCGAATCAAAGGAGGCCGTTCCTTCAAGGCTTTTCAATATTGTTTCTTCTGAATCATAAACGTCAAAAACTAATTTATTCAAGTTGTATGTATATAAAGAATTTTGAGATGTACTCATTTGATATAAAAAGAATTTCTTAAAAATATCATAAAAAGAATAAATCTAAACAATTTCTAAAAGAAAAGACACCTATCATCTTAAACTTTTTCTTCTCTTGATCATAGTTTTATTTATAAAATAATTTTAAGATTGATAGACGTAAACATACGTGGAATCGTTAGATATGAATTACTCCATCTACAAAAAATTTAATATAAAAAAGCTAATATAAAAAGATTTCAATATCAAGTTTCTTATGTTTAATGTTAACTTATTAAATATAAATTTATAGGCTATATAAAATAATATAGAAAATAGTAATTATGAAGATGGGAAAAATAAAACAAAGATAAATTGAACGAAAATTTGAACTCTTTTTCATCTCTCGTACTACAAAACAAAGTGTTTTATGTATATTTTTATTAATTGGATGAAAATAATTCTCAGAAAGGGTTAACCCTAATTGCAAAAATTTATTAGCGATGAGACGGTTGATTTGAGTTCTATTTAATATTTTTTAAAAATGGTAAGAAAACATTAAGAATTGTAATAAATACGATCAATTTTGTAAGATTTTGCTATGCTTTTTTAAGTATAAATGCTTGGTTTGAAAAGGGATTTGAGTAAATAAGATAATGTAAAATGATTAAGAAGTGTTATTCTTATAAATTATTTTTAAAAAAAATTAATTAAGAAAAGGTAAGAAAAAGACACTTGATTTGCAAAGAAGAGTGTGAATGATGTGTATTTAAAAAAATAGTCTGATCAAAAGTTTGTATTATATTATGAATTGAGTTATACTGAATGTCTTTCGTCCCTATCTGACACTCTTTTGCAATACTTTTGTTTTTTAGTTGCTAACTGTTTCTTAGAGCAATAAGTGGTTGATTGTTTTTATTGCATTTTGAATGATTTATTATTTATTAAAGGATTCTTTTATAAAGATGCTTATATTTATTTTAGGCTTTTATGAAACAAGTCAAAAATAAAGCTTATTTTAGTCGGTATCAGACTAAATATCGCCGGCGGCGTGAGGGGAAAACAGACTATTATGCACGTAAGAGGCTTGTTATGCAGGCAAAAAATAAATACAATAGTAAGCTATTTATTCGTTTATTCGTTTTCTGAAAAATTGTACAGCCCCTAAATATCGTCTTGTTGTGAGATTTACTAATAAAGATATTATATGTCAAATTGTTTATGCTAGAGTTCAGGGGGATTTTGTGTTTACTTCAGCATATTCTCATGAATTGCCAAACTATGGTATTAAACATGGATTAACGAATTGGTCTGCTGCATATGCTACTGGATTGTTAGTTGCCAGAAGGGCCTTAACAAAATTAGGGCTTGCTGATAAATATGAAGGAGTAGTGGATCCTGATGGAACAGTGTCAGTTACAGAGCCAATTGATGGTTGTCCACGTCCTTTTAAAGTGTTTTTAGATGTTGGTTTGAAGCGTACATCAACAGGAAGTAGGGTTTTTGCCGCATTAAAAGGTGCTAGTGATGGAGGTATTAATATTCCTCATTCAGAAAGTCGTTTTCCTGGCTATGATATTGAAACCAAAGAATTAGATCCAGAAGTCCTTCGAAAATATATTTTTGGAGGGCATGTTTCTGAATATATGAGCATGCTTTTAGAAGATGACGAAGAAAGATATAAAAAACAATTTTCTGGTTTAATTTCTGATGGTATCGATTGTGATCAACTTGAAGAGTTGTATGCTGAAGCACATCGCAAGGTTTTTTCTATTTGTTTAACATAATTAGAAAGTGACTGATTTTCTAGATTCGGGAAAATCCAATGTTAGCTCATAAAGAAAACAAAAGAGATTATAAGGCAGAATATTCTATTTATAAAAAACCAAAAATTTCATCTGAAGAAAAACGTCAAAAAGTTCAAGAAAAACTTCATAAAAAAATGGAAACTGAATCATGATATACATGTTGGGTTTTTAAAGGAAATCCAACATTTAAGTATATATATATATATAGTTTATATGTTTTTTGCTATAATTTATTTTTAAATTTAATTTAAAAAAAACGTTCAGTCTTGCATAAATCCTTATCGAACCTTATGATTAAACCTAGACAAATTATTTAGAGATGGAGGATAAGTCGTCTAACCCTTCAACTACAATTCAAGATGCATTTGTATCAGCGATAGCATCATCTCTTGCTTTAAACTCACCAAAAGGAGATAATCTTTCACCCCAAATTACACTTAATGATGAAGAATCTATTCCAACTCCTTTTTCTTTGCATATTTTGACGCAAAACTTTAGAAAACTCTCTTCTAGGTAATTACTATTGGATAATATTCACATTATTTAATAGTCTAGAGTTGGGATTATATTTCAAACTCGAGACATATTAGCATCAATATTTCAATGGGAAATTCCTTCCAAAACGCTTTCTTTTATGTGTATATATACGATAATATGTATAAATCCATCTTTGGTTCTTGTAATTCCAACAACAGTATTTATTTTTGGGCTTCTTTTGCCATCTTATGAAGCTCGTTATCCTGATTCTAACTCATCTTTTTTAAATAAGGAAATTATGCTTGCTAAAAAGTCTCAAACAAATGGAAAGAATGCTGAAGGTAGAGATTTTACTATTGATATGAGAAATATTCAAGTAATTCATTATATTTTTAATATCATTACTAAATATAAAAGAATTCTATGTCTGATTATACACGTTTTTACGATACAATATCAAATTTTCTTCTAAAATACACTAGTTTTCATGATGAAAAAGTAAGTTCAACAGTTTTTTTTTTGTGTGTCGTTATATCTCTTTTTTTAATATTATTTTCTCACTGGATACCTTTGCGTTTAATATTTCTCTTACTTGGTTGGGCTTTAATTTTATCTAGAAATGTTAATATACAGAAAGCAGTTAAAGTTTTAATTGAAGAATATAAAAAAAATCAGTTAAAACATTCAAGTTTTTTTTTGAATTACGATTTTATATACAATTGGATAGATTATAACTATATACCCCCTGAAATTCCAAAGAAAATCATTTTTGTCGAAATATTTGAATTTACATTAAAAACAGATCAAGAGAATGGGAAAATTACATATTATTCATCAAATCCTTATGCATTACCACCTAACAAAGAATCTACACCAGCAGAAGAAGGATTAAGAGAGTTATTATATGATGATTCTTCTATTACGGGAAGTATGAGTTGTGTTCAGCCTCCAGATGGCTATAAATTTGAGAAAAATAGTTATTGGAAATTTGATACTAGTAATTTAGAAAATTTGCGTTTTAATTCAAATCATAAAGATTGGTCCAGACGGCGACTTACAAGAGAAGTAGTAATATCAAGATAAATCGATTGATTTTTTGTTTTTTTTATAGATTTTTAATGATTATATTTTTAAAACCTTAAATTTATTTATTATTTTTAAACTTTCAAAATTTTATATTTAAAAAATATTATTCATATTAAATATTTTTAAAATGTCATTTTTTATCTAGAATAACTATTTAAAATTTATAAGTTTTTTGAAATATTATATATTAATATTTATACTTTTATCGACTAGGATCTTTCCAATGTAATTCTTGATTTTTGTATGTTTCAGTTTTTTTTGCAAACAAATGTTTATTTATACTTAAGAGATGCTGTCTATTTCTTTGGAAAGTAGAAGATTACTTTATTGTTATAAATTTAATTTATTTATAGAATATACCTGTAGTTAGTACTCAAGACCTTGCTCATTTTTTAAGAAGTAAATCAGAAGCATTAGGAGAACAGTTAAAAACAGCATATGATCTTTTAGAAGGACGTATAAATGTATATTTTATTCAAAAAGAAGGATTTCTTTTAAATTGGATCTTGGATAAACTTAAAGAAGTTAAACTAAATAAGTATTTAAATGAAATATTTTAAATAAAATACTAATTAATCTTAGTTTAGAATCTATAACTATTCTTCCGAAATTATGGGATTTTTTAAATATCGTTTTGAAATCTCAAAATCTCTTAATAGAATCTAAATGTTTTAGCTTTCAAAAGCATTCATTTACAGCTCTTCTCTCTATATCATTCTCATTAGTTACAGAGGCTCCAGATAAAGAGCAAGTTTTATTATTAATTTCTTCAATTCAAAAAAATTTGGAATATATTTTATCTGAAGAAACACTTTCTTTATTTATTCGAGGATCATTTGATACTACTACTACAATTTTGGCAAATTTTTTTTATTGTATCAGAAATTTAAATCTTTCTAATAATACAATATCTAATTTAGGATACCAGATTCTCAAAATATGGAAGAATTCTATGTATGGTTTTGAGAATTTTAAAAATGTTTGTAACATATATATAAATTATTAAATTAACAAATTAGGTCTCTGAAATAGTTGCTTCTAGAATTTTGCCCTATGTTTGTTATATCGTTGGAAAAAATGATGCTCCATCATGGATTAATGATTTGTTTTCTATTATTCTTCATAAAACTTTATTTTCTCCTGAATCATTAATTAATTATATAAATTTTCAAACTTCAAATTCTGAATCTAAAAGTATGATCTCAAAAGTATCTAATTTGGAATTATTTCTTGACTGTCTATTAAAGAACTTAACAGATATTTCTTATCATTCTAGTAATTTTTTTTTTTTTTGATATAAGATTAATAAAAAGCGTAGATGTTTTATTGTCTCTTCCAAAACTTTTAGAGATTGCACAAAACTCTCTTGGTTGTAATTCAATATATTCGAAGGTAAAAATTAATTTAAATTCATCAAAAATGGCACGTCTTACTGATATGTTTCTTTCTGAAATACTAAAATTGGCAATTAAGTTATCTGCAGAAGATGCTTTAAAATATTTAACTATTTCAGATATTTTAGAGCTTTCGAAAAATATTGGTGGTTATCATAAATTATTCGTTGTATTAGAACAACAAATGCTTGAAATATTAGAGAAATCTTTTTCTTTAATTAAAGATCGAGAAGGTATGTTTCAGATCTATAAATTTATTTTTAATTTTTTAAGACAATATAATAACAATTGGATGGAAATTATTATACAATCTTTTAAAAATTGATTCCGAATTAATCTTGCCATATAATGAACAGTTATGGTTAAGTCTTTGTGAGGTAAAAATTTTATTACAATTAATAATTGTCTTTAACTTTTGCTATTTTAAAGGTTGATATTACATCTGAATATTCAAAAATATGTTTCAAGGTGATAAGAATATTCGTAAATAACTACAAATCACATAGAAATTTACACAAATTTATAAATGATTGGATAAAATTTTTAAAATTTCCACTTAACAATGACTGTATATTACTTAGTGATGAAATTTTGACTATGTAGGAAGAAAATATAAATATATTAAAATTTAATTAGATTATAGAGTTATGGAATTAACTAATAATCTTTCATTAAATCAAATAAGGACAATAATTGATGATATTTTGAAAGAAAATAATTTTAAAGTGCTGGAAAAACCGATATATTTGAATCAAAAAAATGATTTGTTTTCAAAACATTTATCTTCTTTAAATATTTCAAAAAATAAAGTGAAAAGTTCATTTTTTGTTTTTTATCCTTTACTTTCTATAATACAAGAGTCAGTTGATATTTCAATAATTCGAGATATTTCAAAAGATTTAGTTAAATTATATGAATCTATTCTAATCAAAGTTTTTTCAAACATTTCTTTTTTTTTTAATGATCCTGGCATATATTTGATATTTAGAATTCATTATAAAGCAATGCAGTTATCTTATGAATATATATCACTTACAGATCCGTATAAAACTTTAGAATATATTAAGTCTATAACAATGTTTAAAGGACTCGAATCTAAAATAACTTTTTATACGGTATATTATTCTAATATATTTATGTATTTTTAAATATTTAGATCTTATGTCAACTAGTTTATATGCAATATTTTGACCAATGTGCCTCAGAAGAATTTAAGACTAAAGATCTTTTATCACTAACGGATTTGGTTTTAGATCATATACTATTTTATCTTGAAAATGCCTCTATTAATTCTTTTTGGAAAGCTGGAAAAATACAGCTAATAAATAGTACTAATATAAGCATAGCATATATTTATATAATAAATAATCAATGGTTATATTTAATAAAGTATTACAACTTCATTTACGAAAAAATATTAACATATATTAGTAAATTGTCTTTTTTTGATAAAATTAGAAAAATTATGAATTTTCTTTTAAAATATAGTATTCAAAATACTTCAGGAGATTCTGATATAAATGAAATGTTAACATTTTCAAATTTGTGGTATATTTACTTATCTAATGCTGAAATTTATGAATTGGATTTATTTAGAGGTATATATTATAAATAGTGCAATTAATTTTGATTTTTGATATAGATGCATCTCTATTTGTATTAATGGATTATATTTTCTCTAATAAGATTGATAAATTATTATTATTAAATAATATAGAATCTTATTGTAATAAAAAAATGCATAAAAGCTTTAAGACAAAAATAAATAATTTTGATATTTTAGAATTTAAAAAACTTATTAAATACATACAAATAATTCCTATTAATTGTATAGAAGATTCAACAAAAGAAAAGTTATTAGATTTTTTATTTTACAAAGATTTTCAATTTACTACTAAACAATGTTTGATAGATATAGTAATCGAAAATCGTAAGTTACTATATAGAATAATGGTAACAACAAATACATTAAATTCAATGGTAAGATTTTAAAAAATATTTATATTTCTAAATAATTATAGTTATATAATATTTTTCCTCTAATATATTTATATCTTAGTTTAGATAATATTAAAGTAAAGAATGAGTCTTTGAATATTATTTCTAATTTAATATCTAAAGAAATACTTAGGTATTTTATTTTAATACATTGAAATTATAATAATTTAATAAAATAGAAAAAAGATATTTTCTGATAATTTTCTTATTAATAAGCTAGTCGAAGTTATTGAAAATTATCATGTGGACTTATTTGATTATTATCATAAGTTTTTATATCAGCAAATTGAATATGAGTTTTATATACCTGGAATTATTCAATTAATTTTAATTTTATCTTTCGAAATTCAAGATGGATTTAAATAGTATTTAAATTTTCATTTTTTTATTTTATTAATCAATTTTAGTTCTAATCATAATTTATTTAAAAAAAAAATTACTCAATTGATAAAATTTTATTTCAAAGCTATTAAAAAATGTTTAAAAATATTATTGCAATTTTTTCAAAAAAATGATTTGAGTTTTGAAAAAATACTAAACTCAGTATATTTATTTCAGTTTTTTTTTCAATTATCTTTTTCAGTTTCTTTTAAAATTCATGACAAAGGTATACTAAATTTATTTTTTAATATTTCCAAATTAATATTTTAAGATCTTTTAAAACAACTTATATTTTTCATATCTAAAGTATGTTTTTACTATGAAAATATAAATAGTCATTTACATAAAAAATCTCAAGATTTACTTCTGTTTTTATTAAAAACTTACTGTAATAAAGCCGAAAATTATGATGATATATTAGAAATATGTGTAGCTTTAATAGCTATTTTCAAGAATATGCAGTTATCTTATACAGATGAATTTAAAATATCTAATTATTCTAATTTTCAGTCTTTATCTATTTATTATTTCATTCAAAAAAGATTACAAAGTTTAGAATTTCAAGATTTCAAAAAGATATGTACGATACTATCATGTAGTTTTTGGGAAACAGAAAATATTAATATGGTAGCAAATATTTTGTCTGCAATTTTGTTAATCAGAATAGAAAAAGGTTATTCTACTATTATTAGTTTTTCCATTTAAATATTTTAGAAAATAAGCTACGAGAAAAATATTCAGAATATTTAGAATTATTTCAAACAACTATTTTTCGTTTGATTTTAATTGCTAAAAGAACAACGGATTTAGAAGTATTATATAATTTTATAAATTTATTTAATATCCTTTTACTTAAAAAGGTATGTATATGAAATTAAATGATTTTTTTCTAAAAAAATAAGTCATATTTTTCACTTCAAAATTTAGATCAACTTTTTGTTATAATAGTTAAATCTTTATCACCTTTTTCTCTTCTTAAAACGTCTTCAGATATTACTATTGATGATATTTGTGAAGGTTTTTGCAAAATGATATCTTTAATAATAAAAAAAAATTATAAAAGATTGTCTAAACGTTATCATTTACTTACTATTTGTTTTCAATCATTATTACATTTATTTTTCTATAAGAATATGGATACTAAAATGATTAAAAATAGTATTTTTCAAAGAAGACCTAGTTGGATTTTACCCTCTTCATCATGTTCTATATCTTCTGTTAAAATCTATTCAGATACTTTATTATCTTGGATTAAAACTTTACATTTAAATAAAGATAAGAAATTAAATTTAGGTTTATCTAAAACATCTGAAAAAACTATTTCAAAATATCTTTTATGGATTATAATTGAATATATTAAATTATTATTATACTGTTCTATAAATAAAGAGGTTAAGGATATCCTTACATTGTTAATAATGGAAATTTTTAAAGTACTCTCTAAATATGAATTTGAAATGATAAATAATACATTAGATAATCATGGTAAGATTATCTTTAAAAAACTATATGATGATTATATACAGTATGATAAATGGAATGAAAGATAGTATGAATTATTAATGAATATAAAAAAAATATTTGTAATATAAAATAATTTGTTTAAAATTCCGGTCAATGACTTTGTAGAAAATTACATAATTCTCTTAGTTTCTCTGATATATAACTAATAAATTTTTCGGATGAAATTGCATCATTGTCAGATTCAGATGATTTTGCTGCTATCAAATGATCCATTTCTGTTACTGGCATAATTAATATAGCTAAATATCTAAAGCAATTAATGATTAATAGAAAATAAAATATTATATACTTGGGATGTGAAAGTAAATATGTGATAGATTCTAGTAACTCTGTTTTATTAAATAAATAGTCGCTACTATAATTTTTTTCCATATGTAGAATATCAAATATCATTACCAATAAAAAAGTCTCTTCTATAATCAAACTAGTAACAACAACAGGTCTATTCCAATTTCCAAAAGCAGTTTGTATTTGTACACTATAAATTTTTAAGAAACCTAATATTTCTGTAGAAATTCGACTCCCAACATAACGAAGTAAATTAAGAACAATAGGTAAAATACCACGAACCCATAATTGATATAAATTTAAAGAAATAGGTCCTGTATTAGAATTTTGTAAATGTGTATCTCTTTTCTGAATCTGATGGCATATAGACGCATCAATGAGCATGTTTAATAAACCATAAATAACAAGTTGTTCTGATAATGATGGAATTGATGAAAATACATATAAAAATAAAAGACTTGCTTCTGCAAAAAGATAACTATCTTGATTTTTTTTAATAGGATCAATATTAGAAAAAAAAGTTATAATTGACTGAAAATTATCATGTTGAAACATTGATGCGCTTATAGTATCATATAACGCTTCAATTCCTTGAATATCAAAAATTTCCTCGGCAATAGCAGCGAATAGCATAATATCTGATGGAAATATAGAAGTGGGTGTTTCTAACGCCTTTGAAAATAATTTAGAAGCCCCTCGTGTTAAAACGAGGTCAGATAAACCTATTAAAATAGGAAATATTATATAATTTTCAATACGATCCTCTGACGAATTAATTCCATGTAAACATATATATATTATTTTTAATATTGTACGCGTATATTGTGAGTTTTTAGTACCAATTGAAAGCAAGAAATTTGCTTCTACTGAACTTATTGCTTTCCATGCATGTAATAAAATTGTAGAAAAATATTTCCCTAAATTAAATTTAGATTTAATTGTTTGAAGATGCATTGTAAGAAATAATGATAATTCTGCTCTTTCACATGCAATTGACATTATAATTGAAGGATCAATATTTTCTTCTGAATTTGCTTTTAATGCGGTTATAATAACATTAACATAAGTTTTAAGATTTTCTGCTTCTAAAGATTTAGGATGGAAAATAACTGAACAAAGAAAAATCCATGCTCGTAAAAGCATCTATCAAAATAAATCATAATTTTACTTTAAGTAAATAAAAATTACCACTTGAGCATCTAAAAGAGATAAATTCAAGTTTGCTTCTCTCATTTCGCTTAAATATGCAAATGATACATTATTATTCCCTAAAATAATATTCGTTATATCTAAATTGTAAAAATATTTATCACCATATAATGGAGATTTAATAATTCCACTATTTTTAAAAGAAATTAAAGATTGATCAGGATACGTTCTTTCAAAGTTCTTTTTTAGATTTGAGTGAAGTGAAACACGATATCCACTTATACTTAAAATATAATTTGAATAAGAATCGAGCTTATTTAACAAGATTTTTTTAAAATCTGTTTCTAAGATAGCTGATTGAGTTTGAGATTGTGAATATATTTCTGCTATACAAATTTGCACTGAAAAAGTAATAATAGAAATTTTGTAGCACATATTAGTTAAATCTTCTGAAAAATTTGATTTTAAATTACTAATAGAATCTATTAAAATCAAAATTTCTGACCAAAATTTGTTATCTTTGAACTCTAATGGGACAACTGAAGCCCAATAATTTTGAGCATTAGCAATAAATTCAAGAAAAGATGCTATTCTCTATTAATTCTTTTTTAAAAAAAAAAAAAAATAAAAATTATACCTATATATATTGGATTTGATATAGTATTAAGATTATTTATTTTATACAACTCAAGAATTGCTAATTTAAATAATGATGTATTTGACTTTTCCTGGTTAAAATTATTTTGTTGAAAAGTAGTGCTCCCTGTTAAAAGAAGAATAGCTAATCCTTGTTGTTGAAACTTCATAACAGCACTGGAAAATTTCCAAACATGAACTTTAACATTTTGATCGATAATTGGATTAGAAATAATATATTTAAGATTTTCTATAAAAACAGTAGTATAGTCTGAAAGATAAGCTAATAAAGGTAATTCTTGAGATGAAGAAGATATTAGATCTGTAACTAATTGCAATATGGGAATATGGTATTGCTGAGAAAATGATAAGAAATGTAATATTGCCGGAAGTTTTTGAAATAGTTGTCTTTCCAGTGCAGACAAAGGATATCTAATTTCAAATTAGATAAAAATGATAAAATAAAAAAATTACTTCATTTTCTCACGAATTCTGATAAGACAAATTATAAAATTAATTGTTTGTTTCACCCATTGTTTATAAATATTTGCATTATGTTTGTCTTTAAAAACTTTCCATAAAGTATATAAACATTTAGAATTTGGATTTTGAGAAAGAAATTTATCCACAATAAATTCTGCCAAAGACCCAACTAAACTTACAATAGGAGAATTTTGACAACGGGTATCCAAACTATATTTAAATTCGAGAATTCTTAAAAACAATGAAGTTATAATAAATCCTATATCATATTTCTGAAATAAAGAAATATATCTCCATTCAATAAAACTCTCAAATATTTCGTAACTGTATTTAATGGCTATCGTTAAGTAATTAGTTTGAAAGTTTTGAAAATTATGTTGATGAATAGTAGTTGAAATATATTTTTCTACTAAAATTTTTAAAAGATTTAAAAAGGATATTTGAACAGAATAATCAGCAAGAATGGCCTAATTTCATAAGAGAGAATATTTATAAAAGAAAATACCTCAGTGGAAGAAAAAATATTTGAAAGAAACCCTGAATTTCCATTTTTGTTTAATAAATTTAATTTAAAAACATCTAACCAATTTTCAGAAAATCGAATGGCTTCACTCAAAAAATTAATAGAAACACTTATTAAGTTAAGACGCACAGATTGAGAAATTTCATTAAGTTGAAAAGATAAAGAACATATTTCTCTTACTATTCCTACAATATCTCCCTGATCTATTAATTCAGATGACATATCAATAATAAGTTGTTTTCCTAAATCATTATCAGACTTTAAAATATTGGTCATAATTAGAATAATTTCAATAATAATTTCTTGATCCTTTATAAATAATCTATCGATTAAGCTTACTTCTAGTATTTTTCCTAGAAATCCCCATGCAGAATATGTATAATTCCACATGATTACCGGTGGAGAAATATCATAAGATATAATTCTACCTAAACTATCCTTAGGAATTATTATATCATTAGAATTATTAAATGTTTTTGCTGAAAAAATTTTTAAGTCATCACTTAATTTAACAAAAGTTCCACTAACTTCTTCTAATATATCATAACCTTTGAACCCAATAGGAGTTATTTGTGTAAATGTTGAGATATTTTTTAAAAAATCATACGTTGATTTATAATCTGAAGAAACTGATTTACATATACGAATCATAGAAAAAAAATCATAAGGAAATCTTGTTCTTGCAGAATGAAGCAAACGCATAATAATATCATCTGACCAAAATGCATGAGCCAAATCAAGATTTGAATAATTATTTTCTTCATGAATTTTAATAAAACAATTTACTACACTATCTGAAAATTTAACATAGCTTAATATCCTTCTGAAAAGTTCTTTTAAAACCATTTTATATGTAGTAATGCAGATATCATCACTAAAAGAAAAAGATGAAATCATTTTACCAATCATTCCAAGAACATTATGTTTTAATGAGATATCAATAAGATATCTAGATGTTTCGAATGAATTATTAGGAAAAATTTTGTCCTATAAAAAACTAAATAAAATTTAAAACTAATTTATTTTTTTAACCTGAATTAATTGATATTCTTTAATAGATTCTTGTCTTTCTGTAATATCAATAAAAAGTTCATGCAAAATTATACCCCAAGCTATTATTACAGGTGACCAGATGAAATTATTTACTAATTTTACAATAGTATCATGGACTTCGAGAAATGTGTCAGGTGAACTATAAAAAATATTATCATATAAAAGTTCATTTGCTAAAAACTAAGTTAAACCAATTAAAAAAAGAAATACTCATACATATATTTAAATCACGACTGGGTCTTATTATTTCAATAGAAATAATAAGTGATAAAGAAACAATTCGCTGTAACATGTTAATTTCATCGTTGCTATTATATATCTTATTTTGTTAATTCAGAGCTATATTATATAGTATTAATATACTTCCTTCTTGTTTAGAAAATAGTGAGATTCTTTCATTAATCGAAACCAATTAATAACAATTTCTAAAGTACATGGTGTTTTATAATAAATTAAAATAAAAATAAGTCTAAGTAATTCAAATTGTATTTTAAGTAACTAAAAATTATAAATATATTATGTAAGTATTAGAAAACATACGTTTGTTGACCAAAAAGTTATATTAAATTCTTCTGATATAAATGAAGGAGGAACATATTTTTCAATAGTTTCAATGATTTTTATAAAATTAATAACAAAATTTTGTTCTTCAAATTCTGAAATAAAAATTTTTGACAGTTCATAATATGGATGCTTTTCATCTGCACTAAAACGAAATATATTCATTATAAATCTAATCATAAATTGTTTTTCAAACATGTAAGTATTCATTATATAATCTAGATCAACATCCTGAATAGGAATGAAGAATAGTTTCTGACATATAGAAATAATTCGTGAACATTTAGATGTATGAATGTTTAAAACTTTTGCAAAATACTCGATTTTTTCATGATCTTTAATTAAAGTTGTAAATTCCCCATAAATATCTAAGAAATCCTCAGATATATTATATTCTGATTTTTTTGAGATATTCCCTTGATTAATAAGATACTTTTTAATATTTTTTATTTTTTTTATAAATATTTCTTTTAAAATTTCAATTGGTATAGAAATTGATGAATTTTCAATAATATCAACAAAAGATTTAAAAGTTCTAAATTTAGATAAATCAATTATAAGCTGAATTAACATTTCTTACATTAAAGGTTCATTTATATTAGAATCAGCATTTTCAAAAGAACTCATCTCAGAATTCTTTAAAACGTTTAAGTTTCGAAATATAATTGAAAATTCAAAATTTAAATTGCAAAAAAGTTTTTTGTATAAGATCAACCAGTACCTTATTTATAAATATTGACAATATAAAAAATAGATATTTTTAATTTCATGCTTTTGGATACAAAATATAAGTTTATATAAAATTTAACACGATTTTTAAAAATTAAAAATGATTAAATTTGAATTATATTTTTAAATGTTATTTTTAACTTTTTAAAAAATTTTATATTTATAATTTATAAAAAGATTAGAAAATAAATATTTTTCTCCATATTGATCATTCAAAGGTACATGTTTATAACCTACTAATCATTAAAATTAAATATATAAAATAAATATAAAATATTACCTGGAAGTAAGAGATTTAATCTTAAGCAATATGTTGCTATTAATATATCATCCAAAGAATAAGGCGAATTGTCATTATAAATGTTAAATCGTAAAAAAACAAAATCTAATTGAAATTGATCTATTATAGTCGTAAAAGTTTCATTCCAAATAGGTTTATAACCATTATCATAAAGTGTACAGGTTCTCCAAAATTTTCGATCATTATTTAACATTATAAATTCTATTTCAACATATGGATTTAAAATATTATATTTAAAATCTTTAGTTCTAGGAAGCTGTTGAGCAGATATTATCTATAAATAAATTAACAAATGTCATATACGCTTATATAAACAAAAACCTTTATGTCTAATTGAATTTTTTTGGAATTAGAGATTATATTAGATTCATTATATTTTACATCTGTCATACGAAGATATAACGGTTTCAATATGTATCCATATCTATCATTACCAGAAAACATAGCATCATTTATTTGTATCCCAAGATCTAATTATAAAAATCAAATAAATAATAAATAATATAATGAAGTTTACCATTAGTCTGCCAATTTAAAGCAACCATTTGTACACCTTTTTGCCAATATTGCTGAGGTTCAAAATTTGTAGAATTAATTCGTGTAAAATTAGGATATAACCTCATAAGATACTTAACATTATGTTTTTCTAATTGAGTTTTAGAATTTTTAATAATATTATTGAAACTTTTTTCTGAGAATGAAAATATATGTGTAAATATTTTAGATTCTTTTAAATATAAATATTTAATATTCAGTAATAACTTATATGTACCTGGAAGAGAAAAATTGTGGAATTTAATACTTTTAATATAAACTGAAAGATTTGAAAGAGGTTCGATAATTTTCCCAGAATTTTTTTTATGAGATCTTGTTTTATATTTTTTTATATTTATAAGATCCATATCAATGTCAGACGAACCTGTAGTATCTGTAGTAGTGCTATTTGATGTGTCTGGTCCAAAAACATCCAAATTATTGTATTTGGAATTTTGCTTAACCTTAGGAGATTAGATAATTCTAAAATAAATTTTATTTTACTTTTAAAAGAATTTTATATTTTAAGTCCATCGGTGATGGTAATACTTTAGAATCAGTAGCTATTAATGATGTTATTAACATTTCGCCAAGTAGTTCTTTCAGTATTGAAATCATTAGATATTGTTGAGAAAAAGAGCAATGAATTTCAAGTGAAAGAATTAAAGGATAAGGAGAAACGATAAATGCATATTTTGCAATTGTAGAAATAACATCATAAAATAATATTTTGGTTGTACTAATATCAATTAATTTATAGTAAAGAAAAAATAATTCATACAAACAATGACCATGATATACTAGTGGACCATCAGGACCATCCCAACAATCAACTGTTTATAAAATTAACAAATATATATATTGATTTTTTTATACTTTCTATGCATCTACATCCTCTTTGCAGTACCTTAATATATCCTTCTATACTACTTTCTCCACCAAATTGTTTACCTAGCAAATATGTATTATGACTTGAAGAGATATAATATTCGTTTAGAGGGCGAGACATATCTGTATTAGAAGTAATTATCAATGGATTTTTATCTGAAAATAAAAATGACGTAAAATTTTCAATAGACATAAGATTACTTTGCTTATCTGAGAATTTTTCAAATATTTCTTTATTAACTAAAATATCACTAAACTTCAAAATATAAGTTTATAGTTTTTATATTTTTTCTATCACCTCTTGTTCATTTATTAAAAATAATTGAAATTCCTCAAAATTTAAAAAGTCTTTATTGGATTTAGCATAAGTTTTAAATAAATTGTTGATTTCTTGACGTTCTTTTAATAATTTAAGGAACTTCTGAAACTGGGAAAAGTTCAATTCTCCAACTAAATACGTATCTATCTCGTTAAAGGTATTTCTTAAATATTCCTTAGATGCATTAACATGAAGCTTTTTACATAATTTTTCGATGTCTTCAAACTGAATAGAATCATTTTTTTTAATTAATTCCCAATGTTTTTCAAGCCAACCATCAAACTTTTCTCCCATAAGTCCAAGTTTTCCCATCATTTCTATTCTATATTGTTGAGTTTTTTTTAAAAGAATTACCCATTGCTGTCTAAGTTCTGATGTTGGTGCTATTAAATGTAATATTTTTAATTTATGGTTAACAAGACAAATAATACTAAACCACTTATCTTCATAGTCTACTTCAACTTTCAGCTGCTCTCTATAATTACGAGAATCATGACCAACACGAATGTCTTGAATATCATCAACAGAAACTATGTTAGCATTTTAATTAAAGTATTATATACAAAAGAATACTTTACTTGTTTTAGATAAACTTCCTCTAAACGTAATTATACCATTTTTGATATCCAAAGAAAATATTACTTTTTTTATTTTTCTCCTTGTCACTTTCAACATCAATGTACCTTGTTGTATGGGTTTTAAGGTAAAGAATTGTAAATCTATTCGCTCAGATAGAAAACTTTGAGTAGACAAAACCCCTTCTTTACACACTATTGGTCCTGTAAATGAATCAAAAGATAACTTTTCTATTGAGTAATTTTTTAAACTTTTTTGTAGAAATAAAGATTCAAATAATATTGTAATAAAATTATAAAAATTAATATTTTTTTTAAAACATTTGAAATTATCTGCAAATGTATGAGCTGAAGTCAACGATTGTATCAATAGTGTGTTGCAACTCATTTGCTTTTGTTTAGAATTAAATGAAATATATTTATGTTTTTTAGTAAATATATGACCTAAAATTTTGATATTTTGACTAATTATGTCTAATTTATATAATTTTGAAAATCTTAAAAATAAATTTTTATTTTTGGCCTTTTTTATTCTGTTGTGAAATAAATAATCTTTTTCATCTGGCATTTTTAAAATAACTATTGATTTTTTTAAAGTCTAATACTATGAGAGTTCCCATGAAAGTTTAAAAGAGTTTATTCCTTAGTTTTCTGTTAAAGAAAATTAGAAATATTATTGTTTTTTTTTTTTAAAAAATTATTAAAATTCTGATTACATTTAAATCGAAAGTTTTTTATCATATAAATCTAAATTAATAAAAGTGAATTAACTGTAAAGATGAATAATTTAGAATATATTTAGACAATGATTGTATTAGAGTTACTGTAAATATTTCGAAATATAAATTATATTTAATACTTGTAAAGTATTTTTATTTTAAAAGTTTATATCAAATAGCCACTCTTCAAAAAAGAATATTAAAAAAATCCTATTTTTCTAAAGTTGATCACAAATATAACTAATGTTGGATAAATTGCAAAATTTTATATTGTTAAAAAATTGATTTTTAAAATACACAAAGTCTGATTATATTACAAGAATTAAGTATCGGAAAGAACATATGATTTATGTCTTTGATAAGGTTTTAAACGCCATTCTATATCTGCGGTAGGCATATCTATAGTACCTAATTTGATTTCATATAAACTATAAAAATCAAGTTTTGAATGAAGTTTATATTAATACACTTACTGCATTTCTAATCGGGGTCCCACTTCAACGAGCTCAATATTTTTTGAATCGGTTCTTAGATAAACATGGTGTCTAGTATGATTAACAATTTATTAAAAAAATAAATAAAATCAAGTACCTTAGGCTTATATAATCTTCTTCATTGAATTAGTAATAAACTAAGAGAAACAGATTCAACTAACCTTGATTTGCAAATGTTATAACACGATGACTATTTTCTTTTGGACTTGGAGGAAAAAGAGCTTTTAAAACATTTTTTACACGTAATCCCAACTTTGATGTCAAATTCAACATAATCAGCCTTGGATAGCTTTCTGACACATTTCCTATATTTGGTATATCATGTCGAAGAATCACCTGCACCAATTACTACTCATTTGATATAAATTACTGTCATACATTATGAAGTGTAAATGACACTGTAGGGCCATAAGGAAAATGACTTATAATAAGCTAAGAAATCTTTAAACCCCAACAAAAAACCCAAGATCGCTTACACAGTCAGGAACACCACGTGTTTCATGCAAAATAATCAAATCTGTTATATCATTTGATCGGCATGCTGCTACTATATCGTTAATAACATAGTTTCCTCTGTTGATTCTCCGTGAATTTGGAATCAAAAGCTTGATCTCTTTTGCAAATTGTGACAATTTAGTACTTGGTTCACGAGATGTTGTAATCAGTATTTTGGGCTCCCGTTCTCCCAGATTCCCATACTCATCATCCATACGGTTTAACTCTTCTTCATCCATTCCTTCATCAAATTTATAATCCTTTCTAAGCTGTGCATCGTCTCGTATATCTGATGGAAGTGATTTGCCCTTTTCCAGTGATTCTTTCAATAAACGTCTTTTTTCTCGTAATTGTGCTTCATTTTTTTGTTGCATCCGCTCATATAAATATTGCCGTCTTTGTCTAACTATTTTCCGTTGCTTTCTTGGTTTCAATAACGGTTTATTCTCTTAATTTACTTACCATTCTTCCTTATTATATATATAATTTTTTCATTTTATTTCTTATCAGACTGATTTTTCAGATTTTTGAAAAAATCGTTATTTTTAAGCTATAAAAAACGTCAGAGACACTAGACTTAATAAATCTGCACAATTTGTCCATATTTTATCATTCAAACACGATATGAATGATGGTTTCCGCCGTATTGATTCTCAGTTTTATGCTATGTCAGATACAGAAGATACAGCATCTGTTTTATCACAAACTTTGACAGAGTCAACTCAGGCACAAGATTATGGAGGCAAAGATAGAGAATTTGATGAGGAATATGATGATAAAGATGAAGAGAAGAGTGTTGTAGATGGTATTTCTTTAAAAAGTCTGAATTTAGAGGAAGGACATACAGAGATACGTGATGTGTATGAAGAGAACAAAGAAACGATGGCAGAAGAAAGTCTTCCAGACTGGGCATGCAGGTAGTATTTCAGTATATATGAGTGTATTTATGTTTTTATTTTTAGTTATTGTGGGATTCATACGCCTAGTTCTGTTTTAAAATGTTTAACGTGTGACAAATGGTTTTGTAATTCACGTGGAAACACAAGCAGTAGTCATATTGTGAAACATCTTGTAAGAGCACGGCATAAGGATGTTATGCTCCACCATAATAGTCCTTTGGGTGAAACGATTTTGGAGTGTTATAATTGTGGAATTAAAAATGTATTTCTTTTGGGGTTTATTCCGGCAAAAAGGTATGAATGATTGGAATTGTGATGTAGCTGATGTTATTTTTCCTAGTGATACGGTTGTGGTTTTACTTTGTCGCCAGCCGTGTGCATCGGCCCAAAGTTCTAAAGATATGAATTGGGATACTTCACAATGGCAGCCTCTTATTGATGACCGTAGTTTTCTTCCATGGTTAGTTTCAATACCTACAGAGCATGAAGTCCTACGAGCAAGACAAATTACTTCTTATCAGATTAATAAATTGGAAGATTTGTGGAAAGAAAATTCTAAAGCGACACTCCAGGACCTTGAAAAGCCTGGAATCGATGATGAGCCTGTTCCAGTGCTTTTGAGATATGAAGATGCATACCAATATCAGAATATTTTTGGCCCTCTTGTAAAAATAGAAGCTGACTATGATAAGAAAGTTAAAGAATCTCAGACACAGGATGGTATAGTTGTGCGCTGGGATATAGGATTAAATCAGAAATATGTTGCGTATTTTAGGATTAAGGTTCTAGAAGCAGGTGATTTAAAGGTTGCAGTTGGCGATGAAATGCGTTTAAGATATCTTGGAGAATTACGAAATCATTGGGAGAGTATTGGTTATGTTATTAAAATACCTAATAGTTAGTATTTTCAGTTGTATAAAAATGTGACTCTAATTTCCTGGTAGATATTTCGGATGAAGTTGGTCTTGAGCTTAAAAAAAGTGACAAGATTCAAACAGATTGTACTCACAATTTCTCCATTGATTATGTTTGGAAAAGTACTAGTTTTGACAGAATGCAAACAGCATTAAAGCAGCTTGCAATTAACGAAGCTAGTGTTAGTGGATATATATATCATAAGCTTCTAGGGCATGATATTGCTCCATTAGTATTAAAGACACAAATGCCTAAACGGTAAATTATTATTATTATTGTTTGAAATTTCTAATTTTCATAAAGATTTTCTAGTCCTGGGCTTCCTGAACTTAATGTAAGTCAGGTTTATGCTGTGCGTAGTGTTCTTCAAAAACCTCTGTCTCTTATTCAGGTAAATATATGGATAGATAAATATTTAATTGTCTAACTCTCATTAGGGTCCTCCTGGGACAGGTAAAACAGTAACTTCAGCTACTATTGTATATCATCTTGCAAAAATGAATTCAGGTCAGGTTTTGGTTTGTGCTCCATCAAACGTTGCAGTAGATCAACTTTGCAAAAAGGTTTATTATTTATTTAAAAGATTGTTATATTGATTGTTTTAGATTCATCAAACTGGTCTTAAAGTAGTAAGGGTATCTGCAAAATCTAGAGAAGATTTAGAGTCTCCTGTTGCTTCTTTGACTTTGCACGAGCAAGTCCGAAATAATGATACAAATACAGAATTGCAGAAATTAATTCAGTTGAGAGATGAACTTGGTGAATTAAGTTCCCAAGATGAGAAGAAGTATAAAGCTTTAGTTAAAATGTGCGAAAAAGAAATTTTATCGGTAAAAAAAACCTTTTTATAATATTACTGATATTTATTTAATTAATTTAGAATGCGGATGTAATATGTGCTACCTGTGTTGGTTGTGGTGATCCTCGTTTATCTAAATTCAAATTTCGTACAGTTTTAATTGATGAAGCAACTCAAGCAACAGAACCGGAATGCATGATTCCCCTGGTTATGGGTTGTAAGCAAGTGGTTCTTGTAGGAGACCATCAACAACTTGGTTAGTTTTTTTTTTTTTTAATAATTATTTTTTAAATTATTAAAGGGCCTGTAATCATGAATAAAAAGGCAGCAAAAGCAGGACTTCAACAATCACTTTTTGAAAGATTGGTTGTTTTAGGAATTTCACCAATTAGACTTACTGTTCAATATAGAATGCACCCTTGTTTAAGTGAGTTTCCAAGTAATATGTTTTATGAGGGGACTCTACAGAATGGTGTTAGTAAAAATGAAAGACTTCGCAAAAATGTTGATTTTCCATGGCCTGTAAATGATACACCTATGATGTTTCATATGAGTCTTGGTCAAGAAGAAATCTCTTCTAGTGGAACTTCTTACCTTAATAGGTATTTTTATTTTTATTTAAAATTATTACTTATATATTATCAGAACAGAAGCTTCAAATTGTGAAAAGATTGTAGTAAAGTTTTTTAAAGCTGGTGTAAAATTTTCACAAATTGGTATTATTACACCCTATGAAGGACAAAGATCATACATTGTTTCATCAATGCAACAGAGTGGTTCTCTACGGAAAGATTTATATAAGGAAATTGAAGTAGCTAGCGTTGATGCATTTCAAGGGAGAGAAAAGGATTATATTATTGTCTCTTGGTAAATTTTGTTGTTTTTATTATTATTTATTAAATATATTTAGTGTTCGCTCTAACGAACATCAAGGGATTGGTTTTCTAAGTGATCCAAGAAGACTTAATGTTGCTCTTACTAGGGCTAAATATGGTGTAGTTATATTAGGTAATCCCAAAGTATTAAGTAAACATCCTCTTTGGTATCACTTATTGCTTCATTATAAAGAAAAAAATTGTCTTGTTGAAGGACCATTAAATAATTTGCAAGTTTCTATGATTCATTTTCCTAAACCAAAAACTGATTATCGTGGAACTCAGCGACATCCAATGATGCATAATCGTTCATCATATAAACCAACTCGAGTACCTACTTCTGATTCTATACCTAATAATTCGTCAATAATAGGAAGTATTCCAAATCATATTGATTCTTACACTTCCCAAAATATTACTGGATTTAATGCTAACTATTCAAATATATTTTCTGGTGGTAGTTTTTTGGCAAGTTTAGATAATTGGCCCGCTTTACCTGTTTGTAAAACAAATTATAGAATGGTTTCTCATTCACAAGTTGATCGGATTATTGGTCAAAAAATATCTTCTGGACAAAATTCTGAATCAGAAGTAATATTTGATGAGCTTGAGGATTATAAAGTTCATAGAGAAAATTATCATGTTGGCGGTACTCCTATTTATAGGGGGAATGATGATGATGCGCGAGGCTTACTAGTTGAACATACTGTTCAAACAGGGACTTAAACATTAATGATTAATTATATAAATTTAACATTGAAATTTGAGTTTTATCTCAGACAAAAGATTTTAGTGACTAATTATACAAATTCGATATAATCAAAGTCGTTTAAATTAGTGGATATTTTAAATTTTAACCAGAGTTTAATCATGTCAGAATTTTGACCATAAAATTTTAAAAATATCATAGATATTTCTAATGGTCATTTTTTTATATTTCTCTAAAATTCTTATTGCTCATTTAGTCCTTGCTTGTATTATTTGTTTAATATATACTTTTTTAAAATTTTTATTTAATTTATATTTTTTATATTTCTCAAATTTAATCATATTATCTAAAATAATGGGTGATTAGAGTGTTTTTTTAATACGGTCTTAGCATAAATCTTAAATTTAAGGTTATCTTAAAATATTTAATTTTTATTTTTTAAATCATAATTTGAAAATAAATTAAGCGTTAAATCACTAATATATGTTATGAATTATAAATTTTTTAATATAAACTTAAAAAATTTAAATTTATTAAAATGTTTAATATAAAATAAAGGTTAATATTTTCTTTATTTCTTTTTATTAAATATTTTTTAATTATAAATCTTTAATATAAGTAAAAAATGAAGCTCTATCTTATTTTATTTACTATCTTTGTTAAAATGATTTTAGATATATTATCATTTATTTCAACTCCAAATACAAATGATATTCTAGAATAAAGAATCATTTCTGAAAAATAGTCAAGTTCGGAATCAGTAGAATTATATAGATCTAACTAATAAAAGTTAATTTTTTTCTATAAATAATAAATAAAAAATTCCTTGTAATTTTCAAGCAATTGAATTAAAACAGTAGCTGAAAGTATAGGATATAAAAGCTGAGCTGATTCATCTAAAAGTCTAATAATCTATATAATGTAAAAAACTTAAATATTTTTATATAAACTTATTCTATACAAATGAATTATTAAATACTCTTATTTTCTGATTACAATTGGAACATTTAATATTATAATCTAAAGTATTTATAGTTTCTCCACAACTAAAATATTAAAAAGAACTTAATAATAAAGTATTTATACCATTTTCCAATAAAAATTTTATTAAAAGAACGAAATGCTGAAAGCTTAGCTGTTTTCGTAATAAGAACATTAATAAAACCAATAATAGATTCTAAAATAATTAAAATTAATTTATTAATAATCAGAATACCATTTGGTTTTAAGCGAACTATATTGTCAATTTCTGCAAGAGTATAAAACATAGTAGCAAAAGATGCATTAATAGCTTTAATTAATTACAATAAAATAAATAGTGATATGCTTAATACTTCCGTCTTCAAGAAATGGTAATTTAGATATATTAGATAGTTTATTTTTTATAACATCTGAATATTTCCGAAGTGGCTAATTTAGAATTAATAAGATATTTGGAATTCCAAAATTCGACCTCCATATCTATATCTGGATTTATTTCAATTATAGAATGTTTTTCAAAAGTAAGATATGCTTTCCCATAATAAAATGACAAAGAAATATTTGTAAGCAAAAGCACTTAAATATAAGCCATAATTTACTAAAATTAATAGTATACTCGTATCAAAAGGTTTCCATAAAGTAGCTGATTTTGCATTATTTCCCCATAAAATAAAAATAGCATCATATGTATTATCAAAAACTTTTAGTTCAATTCTATCCGAAGCTCCTTTTTTCATGTTATGATTTCTTAAATTTCCAATCTAAATATTCAATTATTTAGTTACATGATATATCCTTATATTTACTTTTTGAATTGATACCAATACTTTGGGCTTCGAAATAGCTTTATATCCACCACTTACAAAAGTCAATAATGACATCAGTCCTTCTATTGTTCCGTTTTTTTGGATTTTTAAAGGCTTTTTATAATATTTATCTTGATCTTTAAAAACTGAAATATGTGTTGTTTCATTATCATCTGAAACAACAAGATAAAATGGAACTGTTAACACATTCTTGAAGTCAAAATTAAATGCCTTATCCGTATGTTTTTTTATTACAAAAACTGCGCATAATGTGTCAATTGTCAACATATTATGAATTGCTTTTACATTTTTCTTATTCAACCAGTATTTAACCTAATCATCTTAGCTCAAAACATTTATAATTCTACTCAAACTTTTATGACATCTACTTCATCTTTAAGATAAATTATTAATAAACTTCTTTCTGAGTTTTTTTCGATGTTTGTGTGATAAACGTTTACAATTCGTCCTTTTAGTGCCTTACAATATATCAATATGAATAAAACAGACTTTGCATATATACAATTGGGGAAAAAGCTTCAGATAATGCACTTATTGCAACTTCTACATATTTCGTTTTGGGGTACCAATCGTCTTGATAGATTTCAGAATGTTCAGAACGCAAATGTTTCGATTCAAATCCATTTCCACTCTCCCATTTATCATTAGATTGTATTTTTTTGTCGAAAATATCTTTGTAAAATGCTTTTTTTGATGGAAATGGTTCCATTGGATTGCTTAATGATATTTTTAACTATTGAAAATTGAGATTTTAACCATAAAAACTTTAAATAGAAATATTGTTATTAATAATATATCTTCTTAAGCACATTAAATATGTATAAATGTTTTTTCAATTGTATTTTAAGTGTATTTATATTTTTATAAATTTCTATAAATTCATTTGCAGTAACGTTATTCATATCTAAATTTCAGATAAATACGTAATTTGAATATAAATAGCTTTTTTTCTAAATTATATTAATAAATACATTAAATTTATTATATAATTTATAAATTGAATGAATATTAATTGTATAAGTATTTTGGTACAGGTTTTATAAAAATAAGTGATTAAAAAAAAAAAGAATTTTGATTTATTAAAATAATATTTCTATGCATATTGGTTTTTTAATATAAATTTGAATTTTTTAAGGTATATACAGTATTCTACAAAAATACTAATTGTTGGATTTAAAGCTTATAAGGTTTTAATAGGATTTATAATTTAATATTTTAAAAATGTGAATTTTCAAGAATGATAACACCATCAAAATCAAAATATATAGAATATTCGCCATATCCAATTGATGTAGTTCTTTTTTCACCTGTTTATAGAGATTTTTTTGTAGCAGGGTCATATTTTTTGGAAATAAATAATAAAAGAGTAGGGCATTTGTTTCTTTATAAGATTGATGATACCGAAAAAACAATGTAAAAAGCAAAAAATATATTTTCTAAAAAATTAATTGAGGCTTTATAGAAATTTGGTTCAGAATCTCGAATGTGAAGCAATACTTGATATGAAATGGTAATTTTAATATTATTTGGATGTATTTTTAAGAGTTATTAGGATTCCACGTTCTCAAAAAAAACTTATTGTTACTACTTCTATTGGAACTTTGTCTATTTATGAATTATCAGGATCTTATGTAATATGGATTTTTTGTTTTATTTTAGTTGATTAATAATAGCCTGTATTAAACCGTATATGGGTTAGCGAGATTTTTGATCCAAATACTTTAATTTTGTCTATCTCATTATCGAGTATTGATAATCATGGTTTAGTTTCAACTTCTACAGGAGAACTGTGTATTTTTGATCTAAATTTATTTAAAACAACGCAAAAATGGAAAGCACATAATTTAGAATGTTGGACAGCATGTTATAATATTGATTCAACTATTATATTTTCCGGCTCAGACGATTGCACTTTTAAAATCTGGGATACTCGTGAAACTGCAATGCCCTTATTTATAAATACAAAAAGTCATGCAGGAGGTGTAATATCTTTTATTCCATTCGATAAAAAATTAATTACAGGTTCATTTGATGACTATATCAAGCTATTCGACTTACGTGAACCTAATAAGGATGTATGGAAAGAAAATATAGGCAGTGCATGGAGACTTATTAAACAACCTAAAAATCAATCTACAATTCTCGGTTGTTTAATGTATGATGGTGCAAACTTATTTGACTTAGATATTTCAGGGAATGATAAAATAAAAGTAAGGAAAGAATTTAAAGAACATGAAAGTATAGTTTATGCAGGAGATTGGTATAATGAACAAGAAATTATAACATGTAGCTTCTATGATAAAAAAATATGTTTTTGGTAATAAATTTATGCAGTAAAAACCCATAGTTTTATATTTTCGAAAAGAATATTATTACACTATTTGTTCTAATTCTTGTGCATATCCAAGTATTTGTTGAACAAATGTCAGACAAGGTGTATCTGTTTTGATACTACCAAATTTAAGACAATTTGTTTGATCATCTACTAACATTTCATCTACTGATTCTGATGCTGTATCTGGAAAATAAATTCTATTATTTTCTATAAGCCATTCTTTCTATAGAAAGGTTAAATCATTTTTTTAACTTAAAGATATACTTTATGAGAAAACTCTATAATTTCATTTATGTTTGACAAAAATAAAAGTCCAACTGCATTCTGCAAGGGAAGAGATGGGTATGCTTTTTCTAGACAGTTTGCTATTTCGTTTCTAGAACTATTAGTAGATACTTTATATCTTGTAAATATACCTAACCAAGTCCATAATCATATTAACATAAATTTCATACTCCTGTGAGGGACATTCTATTAACATCTTTTGCACACGATCATAAGATCCTTCCATAATACTTTGTTCAAGTTTTATAACCCATGATACATACTTGTCGTTCTCAATCATATCTCTCGGCAAAGTCTCTAAACTTGTATAGAACTCTGCAATACAGTTTTTTGAAAGCAAATTCAGCAAAGAAAGTCCTGTCAACAATGATTGATGCTTTGATAAAGGCAATTTTGAAACAAGCAATGGATCTGAAAAATACGGCTGAAGATGTGATGTATACCGTGCAAAAGCATCCGTATCACACAAACGTAAAGACGTGTAAGCCCCAATTTCAAAAATCTCGCCTTATTCTTCATCAAAAACATATTTTGTCTTCAAATCAAACATACGTGTAAATATCATATCAGTAACTGATCCATGAGCATCAGGAACCAGCAGATTCGCTTCTGAAAGCAATATTTTGAGTTTTGTTAATGTTTCATTGCATTCTTTGTATTTTCCTGCGTTAAAAAGGTTCTTTAGCTCTTGAAATTGTTGTTTTAAATTATTCATTATTTGCAGGAAGTTCGTGCAAACGGAGGACGAAGAGGACGACGTCATAAAAAAAGATATATAAGGATTTTATATTTATAATAAGATATTTGGAATATTTCTTTGGATATACTGTTTTTTTTGTCTATTTTTGAAGCTAAAATTGATTTATTGGAGCAAAACCTTTTTTTTTTTAAAAAATACGGTATAAAAAAGGCCAATTTTGTAATAAGGTTTTTTTGTAGAAATGACACAAACCAAATCGCTATCTTATAGTGAAGATATATTTAATGAGAAGGTTTTTATGAGTTTTATTTGATTTTATTATTATTGTATTTATTCAGTGTCTAATATCTGTTTTTAAACAGTGGGATCTTTGTTTATCGAATGCAGTGATTAAAACTGGAGTGGGTCTTGGTGCAGGTATTGTGGCATCAGTATGTCTGTTTAAACGTGAGTTTTTTATTTTTTTGTATTTTTATAAAGAATGGTTTCTAATAGTTTAGGGAAAATGTGGCCTGTTACATTAGGTAAAAAGTCTCTTGGTAATTTAGGAATTCATATTTTACAGGTTTTGGATTTGGGCTTGGAAAAGCGTATTCAGACTGTGATAGATATTTTAATCCTTATAATATCCCTGGCATGCAAGTTCAAAACCCAAATGCATTTAAGAAATAATCATTTGTTATATAAAATAGTTTTTTGGTAAATTAGGTTTTTTATAGATATGTGCGAATGGTGTTTTTAAAAAAGGAATTTTATTGTTTTTATATGTATATTCTATGTTTTGGAAAAAACGTTTAAATACTTTTAATACTTTAGTTCAAAAAATTAGGCTATGGTTTAAGTTTTATTTTATGAGCTAATGAATTATTTTGAATAAATGTTATGTCTTTTAAACACAAGACGTTTTTTGTTTACTTGATCCTTTATTATCATAAATATGGGTTTAAAAAAAAACTTTTTTTATTGATTTTTCTATGATTTTTAGATACCTTTAAAAATTTAAACCGTTTGTCTAATGTAAATTTTAACTGGTATTAATAAATTTTGATAAAGTATAGAATTTTTTAGGAAAATAATATATTTTGTCTATTAATCTTTTGATATTATAGTAAAAAATTTGTAAATCATAATTTAAAAACAAATAATATTTAGTTAATTATTGAATAGTTTCTGAATATATCTCAAATATGATTATTGTTAGGAGTTATAATTAATTGAATGTAAAAACATGCTATTAAGATTAATAGATTAATAAATTTTAAAATATTTCTAAGGCTTTTAATTGGAAATTTAGATATCTATATTTAATTAGTAAAATGTTTAAAATATCTAAAAAACAAAAAAATATTCTTATATACATTAAAATATATACAGTCTTAATATTTTCATATAATCAAATCAATGAAATATTTTTGAATAGTTAGTCCCTAGATCTAAGTTCTTCAATTTAATAATTATAATATTGTGACAAGTTACAATTTTTTTCATGATAATATTTTTATAAACCTTACAAAACATTATTTTAAAAACAAAATAGCATTAAAAGAAAATAGGTTTTGGTAATATTCATATTATGGTTTTTTTAATAAATGTCCCATTTTTTCAACCTTAATTTATAAGAATTTAAAACATAAACAGCTTTCATAATACCTTGGTTGATAAATATTGTTCTATTTCGGCTATTCCATTTCTGAAACCACTTTTCCAAATTTTTGGGATCATTGGAATACGTTCTATAACATTTAATTCTTTGTGAGGACCTTCAATAGATTTGATTTTATCCGGGTTATTAGTTAAAAGTCTTATATCCTTCAATCCTAAATCTAAGAGAATAGCCGTAGCAATTCCATATGTACGTGCATCTACAGGATGTCTTAAAAAAAGATTAGCTTGTACTGTATCCTTTCCTAAATCCTGAAGATTATACGCCCTTAGTATTCAATTAATAAAACTCATTTATATTGATAATGCACTTTACTTTAATTTCTCTTGTAAACCAATACCGCGTCCTTCTTGACGCAAATATACAATCACACCCTCTCCTTCTAAAGTCATCAATTGTCTTGCTTCTTCAAGTTGTTCTCCACAATCACATCTTACAGACCATGTTGTTTCACCAGTATAACACTCAGAATGAATCCTTACAAGAGGTATCTTTGGAAATAAAGATGATTTATCTTCTACAGACTTTTCTGTAGAGAATCTTCGGCCTGGATAAAGTTTTCCGTTATACGCTCCTCTAATCATCCTATCACTTTCTGTTTCCCCATTTTTGACACGGTGCAAAGATGTACTTTGGATTCTATCTCCAAATACTATAGCAAGATGCTCTTTTTTATCTGTATTATTATGGTACAAATGAAGAAAATGATGAACTCCAGATGCCATTGGAATTCTTGCTCGAACAATACATTCAACTTTCGGTAAAGATGAAGATGCACAGTTTTCTTTGTAAAAATCGTATGAAACCATTGAAAAACTATCATTTATTTTCCGTCAATTATTTTTAAGTATTTCAAATTTTTGATTTAAAATTTTATAGACTTATTTTAACTTTTTTTGATATATTTATGCAAAATAGATAAATTTATATGTCTAAAAATAAGTTACTTATTGATTTTTATGTGTTTTTGCTTTCATTTATTCAACTTTTACAATATTTGAATAAAAAAGTTATTTTTTACGTTGTCGACTGATATCAAAAAAAACGTACAGAATTTTATTAAAATTATATGAATACTAATTTTTAGATATAAAGATCTATTTAAAAATATATGATATTTTTTAATATGAAAAGGATTTAAAAAAGTAAAAAATATCATTAAAAACAGTTTTAACAGTTTTAGATTTTGATTTTTTAAAAAATAGCACTTTTAAAATACTATAAATAAAAAAATGGTTATATTTTAATTGAAAACAGACGGAGATTTTAATATTCTTTCAAAATTCTGTTTAAAATACTTAAATTTAGTGTTTTTGTCATACTGAATCATTTTATACTTCAAAAAAGTTTTTTAAAAAACAATAATTAGTTCTTAAGTGAAAATACAGAAAATAATTTATGAAATAGTATGAAAAGAATTAATAAGCAACCACAGTTCAAGGTATTAAAAAAAATTAAAAAAGAGTCTTTATCACCTTTACAACATAATTATGATTATGAAAATAAAAATGAAAAATCACCTAAACATTGGGAAACAGTATATCATGAAATCAAAAAAATGAGGAAAACTATTGCAGCAAATGCTCCTGTGGATACAATGGGATGTGATGTTGCAGCGGACAAAGATGTTGATCCTAAGATATTTATTTATATTTTTATATTTTTAAAAGTTTCTTATTATTTTAGACTAGTCGTCTACAAACACTTATAAGTCTCATGCTTTCAAGTCAAACAAAAGATACGGCGAATGCAATTGCAATGAGGACCTTAAAACAAAAACTTCCTGGTGGATTAACATTAAAAAGCCTGATAGATGTTGATGAGGAAGTACTTAATGAGTTCATTAGGCCTGTTGGATTTCATAATAGGAAAGCGTAATTTCATAAAAATGTTATCTTCATAGGTTTTAATATTTTTTAGAAAATATATTAAAGAAACAGTTAAAATTCTTGAGAGGGATTATAACGGTGATATTCCATCGACTATTAAGGATCTTGTTGCTCTTCCAGGAGTAGGCAAGAATTGTTAATTTATTATATTAAAGTTAACATAAGTTAGGTTTTAAAATGGCACATCTTTGTCTTTCTTGTGCATGGAACAGAACTGAAGGAATTGGTGTAGATGTTCATGTGCATAGAATTTCAAATCTTCTTGGTTGGGTAAATACAAAAACTCCTGAGCAAACACGATTAAAACTTGAATCATGGTTACCAAGGAAATATTGGAAAGAAATTAATCATTTATTTGTCGGGTATATTAGGTTTATAAAGCAGTTTAGAATTAATTATTTCTTAGTTTTGGACAAACTATATGTTTACCACGTAAAAGAAAATGTTCAGAATGTACTCTTAGTTTTCTAAATTTATGTCCGAGTTCTATAAAAAAAGATGATACATTATTTAATAATTTAAATGAAAATGAAAATAAGCATGATATGTTAAATCAAATAAAGGAAGCAATGGAAAAAGAAAATAAAGTTATAGATGTAGAAGATTTGGCTTAATATATTAATGTTAAATGATAATATTTATTTATATTTTATATTTTGTTTTGGAATATTTTAGAAATCTTTCAAAAAATTTAATATTAAACTAGCCATAGTTCCCGTCAAAATTTAAATAGTCTGCATTTTCACAAGCCTCATATTCATTTATCTAAATAAAATTAAAAATATAATAAAATTATAACCTTTTACCAAATCCTTTACTACTTGTCTAATTAATATTAATATATAATAATAATAATAATTGTTTTTGTATTTGAAATAACTTACCTAGAATCATCAAATTCCTCAAGACCATCCTCAAACATTGACTCTTTTCGATATTGTTCAATATATGCATTTCTTTTACGTAGACGATCATATTGATCTAAATTTCGTCTAAATAACTAGATTTGTTAAAAACCATATATAATTATAAGAAAAAATACAGAAGCTATACTTGTATGGTTTGCTAACATCAATCCACTTACTTTATAAGAAGTTTGAATATATGGTGACTTTTTTGATAATGCTACTTGAATACTTGCAGGTCCCCATGGTATAAAAGTTGCAAGTTTTCTTTCTCTTATCCTTAAAAGAGATTTATGAACCTTATTAATAATTAAAAAAAAGAACTTAAACAAAGAGATTTACATCAGTAGGATCTGCTTCTCCTTGTATAATATTTAAAATCGAAATAAAACAGCTTTTTTTACTAGGAATTACAGATACATGTCTGTTTTTTGGTTGAAGTAACCTTCTCATAACATCAAGAACAGTTGTTTTTCTTACTGTTTTTGCCTAAAATAATAAATAAAAAGCAATAATAACCAAATATTACTTGTTCGACATAATCTCCCATGAATGGTGTATATGATGTCATAAGAAAATGACATCTTGGAGTAGGAATAAGTGAAGCAATTATTGATACAAGATCATTATGCATATAACCTGGATATCTTAAAGTTGCTGTACTAGCAGACATAACTGTAGATACCTAATTACAGTTAATTGGAAAGCTGTTAAACAAATTATAATATACTAATTGATTTGTTTGAGAAAATGAAGCATTTTGTACATGTAAACGGTCAGCAACAATTCTCATTAAAGCTGCATTATCCAAAACAGCCTAAATTACTAAGAAATATAACTGAGCGTAAAGTTGGAACTTTACCACACAATCAGCATTTTGTGAAAGACGTTTCATTGATAATAAACTATTATAAGGTTGTACAACAACATCCGATGTTTGTTGATTTACAGGAAAAACAGAATATGTTTGAATAAGTTTCTTAGGAAACCGATCATTTAATCTTTCTAACAAAAATGACCCAAGACCTGAGCCTGTACCTCCTGCAATAGAATGTAATAATTGAAATCCCTGATAAAATATTCATATAAGCATCAAAAGACAATGAAGAAAGACCTCTAATGAATCACTCCCATCTGCTTCTCTGTCAATCATATCCATAACATCTTCAAAAATTCTCTCTGCAGACGAATATCCTGTAGCCCAGTTGTTTCCTGCTCCTCCTCCTTCTTTAGAAAGAAATATATTTTCTGGATTATATAACTTTGAAAATGGTCCTGAAAGAATACTATTTATAACCTTTATTAGTATTAGTTGTATATACTTTTTTACAATTATAATGTAACTTTTGGTTCTAAATCAACAAGAATTGCACGAGGAACATAACGTGTATCATCTGACTTGTTTTTATTAATATTTTTTCATCTTAAAAAGAACCAACTTGATAAAAAAATACATCTTTTCTATCTCCTCCTTCTGTTGCAAAGTCTTGAAGATTTCCATCTGCACGAATACCATGTTCTAAACACAATTGTTGCCAAAACTGAGATCCAACTAAATAATATTCATTATTACTAGTGTATATAAGTATTTAAAATTGTTTATTACTCTGATTTCCACACTGTCCTGCTTGAATTGTGATAATCTCTCGTGGCATGATGTGTCGATTTAGTTGTCTGAGTTTAACTCTAAAATGAATATAAAGTTTAATAATAACATGTAGTTAAAATACAGGAAAAATGGAGTTTTGTGTATATTTTGGAGGAATGAATGCAAAGATATTTTTTTGTATTAAAATATAAGTAGAACAAAATTATATTTAAGAAAATTCTATAGAAAGATTTAGTAGTAGATCTATTATTTAGATAAACATGAAATATATGTTCCAAAGGTAATAAGATGCAAAAAATGAAAGTATAAGAGCTGGAATTGGCAAAGCTGAGTCTAATCTTAAAATTAATAACCTTCTTTGGTCATTTTTAACAATTTTGTTAAAACCAAAACTTGGCGGTTCTCGCCATTAGCTACAGTATCAGTTCCAGATAAAGTCCATGCATACAGGAGTGCTTTATCGATAATTTCAGAAATATAATTTAGGCTTCCAGTAGGAGTATTATGAGATGAAGTTGATATTGGACTAAACATTGGATATAATTGCAAACCATATGAGTTCCGATCAAGTTCAACATAGAACGAATAAGGTTCAGACAAATATTTTAAAAAACTGTTAACTTTTTTAAAAAATGCTCTGAATTTTTCAAGATTAATTAACTCGGGATCCACATTACGTGGAATCAAAGAAGCTAATGAAGGAAAAACAGATATATTTGCCAGAAAATGTTTCTCATTAGAGTCTTTAGGTACAACGGAGGAAATATATGTCGGAAGATCGGTAATAGATGACATGTCTTCTAAATACAATGCTATTTAAAGTTAAAGGGAATTTTTAATTAGAATTTTTTACTAAAATACGGTATTGTTGTCGATTTTGATTGTGTTAAAATTTTGCGATAAGCCATCATTCCATCTGAATTACATGAAAGATTTTTTAAAGTATCCATGAATACAATATATGATGAAGGCACAGAAGCCCATGTCTGATGAAGAGTTTTAATAGGAGGATCGACTAAAACTTTAGTAATAACAATTGTTGAATGAAAATCATTTAAATTGTATAAATTCTAAAAAAAATCAATATTTATAAAAAATAAAATAGAAAGACCTTTGCTATGTCTATAAACCAACAAATAGTTTTTGCCCTTTTTTCTGGAGAATTTTGCTGAAGAATTTCAACAGCTATCCAATGAGCTAGCTATAACAATAATTAAAAAGAAAATATAATAAATCAATAGTTACCATAGCAGTGCGTCTAACAAAACGATCTATTTTATCAACAAGTTTTTTTCTTCTAGTATCTAAAGTCTCTCTTTTATGCCAATAAAGTTTGATAGTAGCAAAATCAACAGCATCTCTACTTAATATATAATCCATAATAGCAAGGTATTTAGCTACAGTAAAAGGATTTAAAAAAATTAAAGGCAAGTTTCCGATAAGCTTTGATTTTCCTTTAGAAAATTGATAAAAAGAAGCTAGCTCACGTTGAAAATTTAAATGAAAATTACACTTATAAAAAGCTTTCCGTGATTCAAGAAAAGCAAGCTGAGCTTTAAGAATAGATTCACATTGTTCAGCTTCAAAAAAACATCCACAAAATTTCATTTCTTCAATAAACATACAAAGAATTCCATAAGCAATATTATTCCGACAAATATCTTCAGGTTGAATAGCAAGCCATTTTGTTAAAACAGAAGAAATCCTATATTAAAGTTTAAAAATTTGAAAAAAAGCTTATTAAAAATGACCTTGATCGCATAACTTTACCATTTAAATTATGAAAAGAAATTCGAAATTGGTTAATAATTATTTTCAAAAATTGAGTAATAGTACAAAAAAAAGAAAAACTGCGGATTAATAGTTCAATATGATCGTGATCTAGAGTTTTGTTAAGACTTAAAGAACATTGAGCTATTAAACAATCAACTGTTCCTGCGATTAATATATAACGTTTTGAATAATCTTTAATAGTAACCAAAATATCAAACCCCATATCATCTTGAATATGCAAAACAGTATTTTCAGATAAATTAAAAACTTCAGTTGCTGTTTTACAACAACCATGTATTAAATAACATGCTAAAAAATTAAAAAAAAGAATGTATAGAAATAAACATACAATTTTGTTTAAGTCCAAATTTACTATGATTTAGATGGGAAAATCTTCTTAGTTGTAAAAAATTTAGCCATCTACTAAATATAAGAAATAAAAATGAAATTAAGATTTACAAATACCGTTTTTTAGTTCTAGTTTTTTTAGACGTTTTTTTCAATAATGATTCATTTCCATCACTATCACTTTCAAAAACACTGATTTCACTAAAACTTGGACTAATAAGAGTTGGTAATGTTAAAATTGAAGGATTTGTAGATATTGAATATGGCCTATTAAGAGTAATGTTTGGATCAAATCCGTGCTTTGTTGCTTGTCGACGGATCCAGAGTTCACGAAGTGCATAAAGATCTTGCTCAGTAATCATAGAGCGAATTACCAATGAAGGCAATGCTATTGCTTGCACAATAGAAATTGTCGGAAAAACAATAGAAGCCGTCCCTAGATAAATAAATATAAAACTTTAATGAAGTAAGGAACATACCTGGCTTCGTCATCTTTTTAGTAGCTGGAAAGTAAAATGGAAGTGCTGTATATTTGCCAGGTAATTTTGAATTATCACTTTTCTTGTGAAGAGTTTCATTAGAATGAGCAAATTCATGTCTATAAAACGAGTAATCTTGAATATTAGAATTATAGAGTGTAGATGGTAATGAAAAAGACGAAAAACGAACAAGATTCGATGATATTGTATTAAACGGCAGGGAAAAATTGCTAAGACATCCTGTCGAAACAGATCGTTTCAAAATATTTTTTGGTTCCTTTTTTATCTGTTTGTTATAATAATAGGGCCGAAAAAATGCCTGCTTTTTCGACGATTCCATTGTTGAAAGTGATGATCCCATTTCTTCCGTCCCAAATGAAATCCCCTTCTTCAATGGCATTCGATCTTCAAATTGTCGAAAATGTGTTCCCTTTAGAAAACTCATCTTTGATTTCTCATTCTTATAAAATTCAGACCCGTGTGACGGCCTAGAAAACGCTTGTTGCCTTAAATGTTTTTTTTGTTCCAGAATTTCAGTCTTTTCCTTATGTTTTTCTTTCCCCATTCTCTTTCTTTTTCCTTTCTAATAAAATCTTTCTTTTTCACGCAAAACTCGTTCTTTTTTCTTTCTTTTCAACAAATCCCCTTCCTTATTCTTTTCTTTCAAACAGAATTCTTTTTTTAAGTAAATTCCTTTCTTTTTCTTTCTTTTACAAGCAAAAACTCCTTTCAACCAAATTCTCTTTATTTCTTCAATCTGTTCTTTCTATTTATCATTCATTCTCAATAAACACATCAAAAACATATTACCTATATTGTTATATAACTAAATAATCCCGTAAATTCATACCTTACTCCAAAACCACACAATTTTCCTTATTATTCAGCCCGATATTAACCCTTTAAATACCTTTCTTTTAATATATCATCCCAATATATAAAATATCGAAAAACTCACCGTATTTCTCCTCGTTCACTTCAAATACACCTGGTTTTTTGTTGAAGTGTTTTTTATAATTATTAATGGACGTTAAACGATTTCTTGAGCGTCTTGAACGCAATAAACCGAAGATTTATACCGCTGATAAACCTGATCTTGCAAGAATACGTGCAAATGTAATGTATGCACGTAGACTTATACTGCGTGAAGAACAATCTGGAAAACCTATGTGGGCTCAGAAACAACAAATAGACGCTATTTTGGATCAAATAGAAGCACGGAGAGCTGAAATAGAGGCTAAAAAGGCAGATATTGTCGTAAAAGACGAATATCCAGTCGATACGGTCGATAGAAAACAGGAAGAAACTGAGGAAATTTTAATGCAACATCAAGAGATGGCGGATGCGATGACAGAAAAAATGCTGCGTTTGGCACAGGAGATGAAGATGAATGCGCATACAATGGGGGAGATTGCAGAACGGGACAAATGGGTGAGATTTGCTTAATATATGCGTGCTTAAAATAATGAAAAGCAGTTTATTTCATCTACGGGAGATTTGCTGGGGAAGAATATAAGGAGTATGCAGGGGACGAACAAGCGGTTAGAGAAATACAAGAAAACGAGTAAAGGGACGTTTTGGTTGAGTATTTTGAGTGTTGGGGTGGTCTTTATATCATTTTTTGTTGTATTTTTTGTGGTTCATTTAACATAATATGTTGTTGGTAATTTTGCTGGGAATGGATTGTATTAGAGGATTTTGTGTATGGTAGAATGAATGGGATGCAATGGAAATGTTTTTTTATTATTATATGTATAATATATATTGGCTGTTGGAAAAGGTCGAAAAATATACAATTGGTTTTAATGGGATATTTTTGTCTTAGCAGGTACTTGTGGTGGAAGTTTAATAAAATACAATGAAAAACATGGTATGTATATTTTTGTGAATATTTATGAATATTTATATTTGGGATAGTAATTGCTATAAATAGTGGATTCGACGCTAGATGGTAAAATATACATGGTTAAATATTGCAATGAGATTTTTTGTATGTGGATGACAGTTCTTGAAGGGTTTTCAGAATTTTTGGGATGAGGGTATAGTTATAATAAGAAGTTGCATTGATTTCTAGATTGCCAATTTTTGGGCTTTTTATTTTGGCTAAATTTAGACTTTTAAAGTGAAATATTAGCAATATAAGAGTAAAAATATAGGAAAATCTTATTAAGAGTTTGCAAAATAAATAATATAATATATATTTGATTTTTTTATAGGCAATTGTATTCTTGTAAGACAAGTTCTTTTATTTAAAACAAGATTTTTCGGTTATTTGAGCAAGATTATAGAGTATAAAAAAGGCAGTATAGTATTTACAACAATTGTTTTTGTAAAAATTGAAAACTATTGATGGATTATTCATTTTATTAGACGTTTCTGTTAGAGTTATTTGAGCATAAATTAACTTTTTATTTTTTTGAAAAAAGTATTTAAATCTTGCTGAAGAGTGGCGCTTTATACAATAATGTATACTTGTGTATATTTGGAAAAAATGAATAGTTAATTTTTAAAAGTTTATTTATAAAGAACACTTGTAAAAAATATCATTAATATTTGAGCGGAGAAGATACTCGGTCTAAGTTTATTAGTGTTAGTATTTTATTATAAATTTGTTATTTTAATGATATATTATTTGATGTTAAGATATATAGATTATATTAAAAAAAATATATTCTTTAAGAAATAAGGAATATATTCTTAAATTTAATTTCTTTTTTGACGATTTTAGTAATCTTAATTGTTATTAAACATTATTTTTTATTTCTAATTTTAACACATTTCATGATAAACACATATCTATTGTTTTATAATATATAACGTTTGAACTAAAATTGCTACAAATAATGAAAACAGAGAAGGGTCAATAGATTTGGGTTTTACATTAACATATTTTTGGAAAATTAGGAAAGTATTCAAAGCATAAATTTCATTTTATTTACAAAACGTATTATAACAGTTATTTTTATCTAAATGTTCTAATAAGCCTCTTTAAATCTTTCAAAATGTTGCTAAACAAAATACTTTATATTATGTTTAAAATTTTAGTCTATTAATGCAACAATCAAAGTTAAAACTTAAGACTTTCTTGATAACATTTATTTTATTTTTTAACATATAAATATATAGAATAAGGATTGGAATATATTGATAATTGAGTTATATATTCTATTTATTTTATTACGCAATATATTTTTAAAAAATATTTCTATATTAACACCTATCGTAATTAGCAGCTTTTATTTTTTGTCTTTAAAAATATCTATTTAATCACTTATATAGCTTATATCATATAAATCATATTATATAACCTATATTATATATTATGAAAATATATCTTTCATTTTTATTTGTATTTGCATTATATTTCAAGTATATCCCCTGAACACCCTATACATCCACCTGTTTTTCTTAAATCTATTTTACATGTTTTATAGTAGAATTGACTTCCTTGTTTACTTTCTGGTGATGTATTAACAGTATTAAGAGAAATATCCTCAAAACTTAAATAGTCATAACCTTGAGACTGCACTGGATGCTCCATCTTTGGTAGAACCGAGTCTTCTTGAGCACTATATTGTACATTTTTGAGTTTTTCTTCTAAACTTTTAATAACTGCTTCCAATTGGCTTATTCTTTCATGTTCTTTAATCTCTGTTTTTTCTCTCTGTAATACCGTGTTATCCGTATCCACTTTTAATAATATTGTATTTAATTTTTCATTTATTTCAAGATAGCTTCTCTGTAGGAAAGATATTTGTGATTTTAATTCTTTTATTGTGTTTTCCATTATTTCTATTGATTTTCTTACGTCCCATTGTTCATTTGATATATTTGATCCCTTTTCTTCTGATTCCTGCCTAGATTCTATTTCTATTTGTAGATTTTTGTTTTGTTCCTTAGATATTCCAATAGAAGATTTATCATTGCTTAAAGATGGACTAATTTCACTTATTTTCCCCTTATTTTCATCAATATATTCATTTAAAGCTATATCTTCTTGAGTCTGTATTTTTGCTATATTGATTGACTCTTCTTCATTCAAGAATTTTTTACACGTTGAATCTATTTCTTGTGTATCTTCTTGTATATTTTCAGTCAAAATACTTGGAACTGTGCTTTTTGATTCATTTGTTGTATCTACTTGTACCTGTGCTGGCCACTCATGTGGCTGATCTGCACGTATTTTCTTTTTAACCTCATTCATACGCTTCTTTGCTGCTTCTAGCTTCTGCTGGCGAACTTTTGCCTCCATCTTGGCTATAGATGACAGGCAAGTTGTTACTGACAAGTATAACACGTATATCAACGGGCACCACTTGGAACACTTGTTTTAAACACACTTATTCATAGACGATGAAAAAATAAACATCACAAATTAAAAAAACAAGTCCTCAGGACATCCTGTGAACCAATACAAAATAAACTCCAACAACAATTATACTTTGCTTGCTACACACTGTTCTTTTTCTAGCTTTGTCCTATTTCTTTCATGGCTTTGCTGCCGGCACTCCTGCAGCCCTGTACACGCATGGTTCTCAAGCTGCCGATGCCGCCCACAAAAGTGACCTTCACAGAAGTTACAGTCCCCTGCAATCCGCACTGCTGGCGCGTTGCACTCCTTCATTGTACATTTCTGTGGTGCTCCACCACGGAGCCGCAATACAAGGTGAAGAGTCGATTCTTTCTGGATATTGTAATCAGAAAGTGTTCTTCCATCCTCCAACTGCTTTCCAGCAAAGATTAGCCGTTGCTGATCCGGTGGAATCCCTTCTTTATCTTGAATCTTGCTTTTGACATTGTCAATTGTGTCTGACGACTCCACCTCCAAAGTAATCGTTTTTCCTGTAAGTGTTTTCACTGCATAAGAATATTAGTTTTGTTATTTATGTTTTCTTCTGTTTTTTTACCAAAAATTTGCATTTTCTTTTCCCTATGTTAACCCTCTGTATGGATGTCGTTAAAGCTGTCGTTGCAGCTTAATCGCCGCAGTGACCCAACAAAATATCCGAATAGTAAATATACAGGACTAAGTGCGTCTAAAGAGACATCAGAAGCGTCAAATATTCTTGAGTTCGGGTGCACTTGAGTGCAAGAAAAGTGGTACATTATAAGGAAGCAAATGCATAACTCCAAAGCACGTGCTAGGTACAAATGAATGATACAGTCTGTAGAAAATAGTGTTTTATCAGTATATTTTTGAATAATATATAGATTTTGTGTTTTTTGTTTGCTTTTCTGTGTATTTTTCTCTAGTGCTTAGGCTTATAGTGTTGCACTGACGCTAGAGGTGTAGAGAAAATACAAAAATTATAGAAGAAGTAATTAAAATCATGCAGAATTTCTTGAATTTTATGGGATAAGAAGAAAACAGCCTTTTTTTTGTATAAAAAACGCTTTTTGAAAGTATCTTTGAACACTGAGTAGTATATATTCTCGTAACGTCGAGACGGACGAGACGAAGATAAACGACAAGATAAAAGAAGGAAGAAAAAGCAGGAAAAAAGGGAAAATAAAGGGCAAATTAAAGGGTAAAATAAGACAATTTATGAATATCTGATAAGTTCTCAAGAGATACAGGAGGAATTTTGTGTAGGAAGTTGTATAATGGAGTATTTTGAGGCACAACCGGGAGCAAGAAAATTTCCGGCATTTCCAGCGGTAAAAAAACTAGATTTTTTCAGAAAAATAGAGCCTAGTTATATAGAAAAGTCATCTAAAGGAGGAATTCTTACTATTTTATGGTCTATTTTTCTTGTGATTTTTCTTTGGCGGGAAATTGGGATGTATAGGAGAGGAAAAGAAGAACACCAGTTTAATATTGAAAAAGAGGTGATGGAGCACATGAAATTGAACGTGGATATAGTTGTTTTTATGCCGTGTGATGGTGGGTGTGAGGAAAGGATAAATTGATGCTGACAGGAGATGGTATTTAGTAATTGATGTGAATGTAAAAGATGCGACGTCTGAACTGATTTTGGCGGGAGAGACCCTGAAAAAAGAGGGAGTAAGACGAGTGGGGGTGGTTGTTTAGATTCAAGAGTGACAGAAGTGGTTTAGGCACTATTTGAAACGGAATCAATAGACTTTTCAAGCAAACATATTCCACCTATCCAGACGGTAAAGCAGGTCTTTCGGCGACTAAAGGAAGAAGAGCTGAAGCCAAAAGGACATGTGAAGGATGCACCTGCATGCCGTATTTATGGGAGCATCGATATTCATAGAGTACATGGAAATTTTCATATTACAGCACAAGGACATGGTTATGGAATAAAGCATTTAAGTCATGATCGTATGTGTATATATGTATATTTGTTTATTGGAATAATGTGTTTAGAAATGAATTTTACACATATAATTCGTCATTTTTCTTTTGGTAAACACTACTCCAGTATTATTAGTCCTTTAGACAATACTGGAAGAATTACAGATCATAGTAAGTAATTGTTTTACAAATTGTTGATAGATAGTTTAAATGGTAGATTTTTACTTGTTTCAGTACTATATATCTATTATTCCTACCACATATGTAAAAGGTAATAAACGTTTATTAACGAATAAATATTCGGTTAAGGAAAAGTCATCAGAGATAGATTATTATAATGTTCCGGGTAAAATTATATTTCTGTACTTGAGGATTTTCTAATTTAAAGTAGGAATAGTATTTCTTTATGATATTGAACCTATTAGTTTGTTAGTAGTTGAAAAAAGGGATCCGTTTCTTCGTTTTTTGATACGTATTTTTACTATTATTGGTGGTCTTATATTGTTCACTGAATGGTTATACAAATTTACAAATCAATTATCTAAAATTATAAATTATAAAAAAGGATATTTGCATGATAGAACAATGGAGAAACATATTGACGAAAAAAATACAGATAGTACATATCTTTAATAAGGCTATATTAAATTTTATCAATGTATGTTTTAAAAGGACAGTTATTTCAATAATAATTATACATTCAATTATTTGATGAAATTTTTTCAACTTTATGAAATAATAAACATGCATGTAAAACCTAAAAAGATTGCAATCGATTCAATGAGAGCTTTCCACAACTTATAGTTTTGATTTTTTGTCTCTAATAATTGAGGGATAATTCCTACCGTTCCTACATACAAAAAAGTTCCTAGATTGTATTAAAGAAAAGCATACATCATTTATATCTTGCCTGTTATGAAAGGTAAAATAAGATCATTTACAGTAATAGGAACATTAAAAAGATAAAATTCATTATTGAAAATATTTTTGGAAAATTTCTGTACAAATATTCCAGTTAAAGTTCCTAAAAAAGCACCAATAGCTGTAATGAATTGGCATCTTAATGCTTGATATTTTTTAAATCCACTTTGTATAAGAATGGCAAAATCACCAATCTCATGAGGTATTTCATGAAAAAAAATAGCAGTTGTTGTTGTTGCACCAGTTATTGGGGAAATATGAAATGACATAAATAGTGCCAGACCATCTGTAAAATTGTGGAAAAAATCTGCTATAAGATTAAGATAACCAAAAAACGTTATTTTTGAAGTATCTGCAGTTAAAGCGGTTGGTGATTTCTTTTCATTTTTCTTTTCACTAGCTATAATTCTCTTTTTAACATCATTTGAATCACTGGATCTTAAAGATACAGAAGTAGATACTGCTACTGCTTTATCATCTTTTTTATGATTATCTTTATGACAATTATGAAAATGTTTTGAAGATAAGCGCATAATTATATCTATTAGCATAAAACAAATAAATCCAAATAAAATGATAAAGCTAAGAAAAACATTTTTTTGTTCATTAAACAATACTAGATCCATATCATTATGATTTTCTTTACCCAAAAATATTTGAGGAAGAAGGTGTAGGAAAACATCACCAAAAAGAGTGCCAACAGCAAAAGCAACTAAAATATTTAAAAAAAAGGTATTTATATTGTATGGAATAAAAGCTAGTATAAAATTAGGAGGGCCTGAAATATAAAAAGTTGCTAATAGTGAATTAATAGCAGGAGATGATGGAAAAAGAAATTTAAATAATTTGTCCTTTTTTTCTTTATAAGCGTCAAAATATGTTGTGTTGCTTTGAGACACACGTATAGCTAAACATTCCTGTATTTTATATATTAGTATTCTTATAAAATAAAACCATATATAAAAATACATTTAAACGGCTTTTAAATTCATATGCAACGGTCTGAAGATAAGTTAACTTGTCATGTTCATTGGTCCAAGAACATGCTTTTGAAATAGGAAATAAATCTTTGAAAAAATCATTATAGCCATCAATTGGTAGTTTATTAGTTGATGGTTTAGTTTTTCCAGTTCCATTGTTTTTTGAGCTATTATTTTCAGTTGTTTCTACAAAATCTCTAAAATATTTTCAGTATATTTTTAAACTATTGAAGAAATCACTTTATTTTTAAAAATACAGCTAAACTATAGCAGTTTTTAAATATATCTGTAACATTGCGTGAAACAAAATCAAAACAGTAATATTCTGAAAAAAACCCAGTATTTTCTTGTTTAGAACAATTATTTAGAAATGGACAGTAATCATTCTTGAAAATTAGATTTTATACAAAAATTAATATTATTACCTCTAAACTTGCTAATTTCATATCTTCTAGAATAATTTTCTCTTTAAGTTTTTCCCTTTTTTTTTCAAAAGCATCACTACTTTTTATATGTAAATATTTTCTGAAATAATAAGGATTTTTTGGTATTCCTCTATGAATATCATATTTTTTCTTTATAAAATTATCATTTAAAAATAAATCTTCTTCTTTAGCTGATGAAAATGAATCTTCTTCATTAGCTGATGAAAAGGTTAATGCAAAAACAATATATATATATAATTTAATCCAAAAAAAAACAGAAATCTTCATTGAAAAGTTTAGATTTAAGTAACCGATAAAATTTAAAAAATATTTTTTTAAAATTTAAATATCCCTTGTTTTTAATAGAATAATAATGCTTCTATATATGTTTTTTCTTATACAAATTATTCAATTGTTAAATATTTATATTATTAGAATTTAAACACATATATTTTTCAGTTTATTATATATTCAAAAACATTATATAATTAAAAAACGTTCTAAGATGAAATTTAATTTGTATTTTATTTTAAATAAAAACTCAAACATCACTGATAATATTAATAAGACCTCAATTGATTTTAAAAAATAAATACATTATTTTACCAACCTTTTATTAGTACATTAAACATTAATTATATATCAAATTACTAAAACAGTTTATAATAAATTATTTAAGTAGTCCACAATAATATAATTAAAATAAACATTATATAATCCATAAATCCGAAAATAATTAAGTTGCAAATTAAATGTCAAGTTATATAAAAAATTATAAAATTATAAAAATAGTTGTAATTAAAAATTGACATTAATAGAAAAAGATAATAAAGGATTCAACAATAAAACAAAAATATTTTCATATAAATATAAACCTGTTTTAAATAATGTATATTAAATTGTTAAATATTAAAAATAGTCTGAAAATAATTAAAATAAAAAGATAAAAAATAGGGATTTTACTAAAAAGAATACATGTTTTTATAACAATTTCAATAAAATCCTTGTATAATATCATTAAAAACAATGCCTTAGATATTATTTGTTATTCCAATGGTGATATTTATAAATATGTGTTTTCATCCATTATAAAGGAAAATTAAACGTAATAAATATCACATACTGAACCCTTTTTTACTATTTGATTGTCAAACGTTGAATTATCTCTTGATAGTCTATCTTCAGATGCTATAGAACTAGGAATTGAATTTACCCGAGAATGACAAACAGAATGTGTCGATTGAGATGAAAAAGATCGACGTGTTTTTAATTTAAAAGGAAATATACTAGAATAGGTTCCAAGAGTTTTTAATGATGATGATGAAATATTCATAGGTAATGTTTTATCTAAAATTTTTTTTTGAAATTTTCGAGAAAACCAAGATGAACTACCTAAAGATGAAGGAAGAGTATATATAGAATCAGTATTCTTAAAAATCTCAGAAGAGGAGTCAATAAATGAACCATCAGGGGATGTCCCAAAAGTAGAATAACTGTTTTCTCTATTTTAAAGAATATTAGTATAAATATTTAAAAAATGAATTAATTTACCTTTTCATTTTAAAGATTTTATCCTCATTTATACTAAGTTTCCGTGGCGAAAATTTAGAACTTTTCAACGTATTCTGTTTAAGAGAAACTAAAGTGTTTGTAATACAAGGATTAATCCTCCTACTCGAATTACTTGGTAAAGTATTACTACGTGATATAAATTGAAATGGTTTTTTCGAGTTAAATTCTTCCAATTTCAAGTCATTGTTTTTACAAGAATTTTGAAATTTCGGGTTAGTACAAAGCGGTTTTTTTAAAACATTAGATTTCTTCTTAAACGCATATTTACTAGAATCTGTAGCATATGATGCTTCTAAAAAATTATTATTCTCGCTGTCATCTAACAATATCAAATTAGAATTTGAAGTAATTGTATTTATTGAAAAATGTTTTTGATGACTAATAAGAAATATAACGACATTCTGTGAAAGATAATATTCTTTAGGAGACATATCATGTTCGGGATGCGAAAGAATACCAGGCTGAAAAATAGATGAAAGATTAGATACCGTCATCAAATTTTCATCAGACTTTGAAGCAAAAGCTGCTAGCAAATCTAAAATATATAACAACAATTGTTGATTCATGAGTGGGAGAGACGCTATTAATCCTTTATATGCTAAAATAACATCCTGTTCATCATAGAATTCATTTCCTAAAAAAATGAGACTTGAAATCGTTTTCTTTTTTAATACTTAAAGGATTCCTAAATGCTTGATAAAATCTATGAGGTATAATAGGCTCTGGGAGATAATTAAGATAACGCCGTAGAATACTCGCAGCATCATGAACTGTAAAATCATCCCAATTTATATTCATCCCATATTTAGGTTGAGAATCAAATATTGTTTGTAACTCTTTGCATCGTTTTGCTGATCCGTTAAGACGGAATATCCCTTCAACACTTTTTGCATTTTCCTTCAGAAACGCGCCACATTTTGCAACAACAATAGGTATATATCCATAAACATTTGAATTACCATTACTATCCGTAGAAGAAACTGCAACATTTGCATATCGAAGTGATATTTGTAAAGGAACCCCAAATATGCCTATAAAAATAAATCAGAATCTGAATCACCACAACACTGTGTATATATAAAACAAAAACAGATCTATTCCACTCTATATTCGTGTATAAATACAAACCTTTTGTTTTTTCTGCTACAAACTTCTTCCATCCCTGTTTATATTTAAATTGTCTCCACCATAAAAGAAGTGACAATTTTTGGCTTGGGCCCTGTAATTCCTCTGTTTCTTTTGCTACTTCATGCATTTTTCCTCCTTCAAAAGGAAACAGAACAAAAGTTATATGTTTATTTTCTTAATTTTAAAACTCCAAAAGAAATGCCAAAAAAATTTTCAAAAATTGATTTTATAAAAAAATGTCTTATATATTGTCCCCAAATACGTATTATGCCCCTTATATTCAACTTGTACTTCTTTTATGCCTTTTTTACTAACATTAAATCTCTTAACTTCAACATCGATACATTAACAAATTTCTCTGCAACTAATTAGTACCGTGTTATATTATAATAAAAAGAGATGTAATACATAATAAGACTTTTCCAATTGAAAAACAAATATATTTATGTTCTACAATTATTTTTTGCTTAAATATTTTTTAATATATAATAAATATAATAAATAAATTTTTGAAGTGAAAAAATCGATATTAAATTAAATGGAGGCGTTAAATCAGAAAGAACAGGTAATTGTTAAAAGTTTATAAGAAATAATAACATATTTTTATAAGGCAACACTACAAGGCATTATGGAAGTTAAACAGATGAAAGATTTTATGAAAGTTTTATAAAATAAAGAATTTTAAAATACGTTAGTTAAAAATAAATAGATGTATTCTAATTTGGTTCAAAAATGTTTCTCAGATTGTGTTAATGAGTTTATAAGCAAATCCCTTAGTTCTAAGGAGGTAATACTATTAATTCTAGAGGTTTTAATGTAATATTAAAGGAAACGTGTGTCATTCGATGTGCTAATAAATTCCTTAAACATAGTGAAAGAGTCGGACAAAGGTAATTTCTTTTAAAATAGAATATTTCAGTTGAAAAAAGATCATAGATTCACTGAGTTCAATGTTCAACAGGCCACTAAATTGAATGATAAATAATAGATACTTTGAAAAACCATAAAAATATAAAAATGGTATTTTTGATCATCAAAAAAGTCGTAATTATTTTTTGTGCTTTCCATTATTTAAAAAAGCATAGCACTATGATCTTTCTGAAATAACCTCTACATAACTATTTTTGTTAATATCATCTCAAAATAGAATATGTTGTTTTACCTTGCAGGGAATTGTCCAATTACACCATTTAATTCTCCTAAGTTTGTTAATTTTTCAATTCTGCAAGTTTCAATACAAAACCTTCATTCCAGCCATCTCCTTGATCACCTTTTATTAATTTAATCAAATCGCCTTTTCGGATAGATATTTCAACTTCAGAACTTGCATCATAATCATATAATGCTTTTACATATATTTCTTTTGATTTTTTTCCACGTCGTGGAAGAACAGCAGGTCCAGATTTTTTTATTGATTTAGTTGAAATAGAAGACCCATTTTCATTTAATACAAGTTCTTGAGGATTTATCATTTTTACATATGAAGTTGGAACAATGCCTTCTTGTGATCCAAGACGAGCAGTAATCCATCCAGAACCATCTATTATTAATTAATAGTATATTCGATATTTTTATAACTACCATCTTTCTCCAAAACAATAATTTCATCGCCTTCTTTTACACTAAGCTCACTAGTACTAGTCGAAACTATCTTTGTTTAACAATAAATTGTATTATATATTAAAATTACCATAATTATATAGAACTTTAGCTATTTGCTTATCAAAAACAGATGAAACTGAAACACGAGAGTTATTCATCGAAATTGATGTTTTTAAAGGACTATCAAACGAGCCTTTGTTTCCTGAAGGTGATTTATCTAAATTAGTATCTTATATGTTAGTTTGTTATTAATAGAATTAATAAAATACTTTTGAGCGAAGATGATAATGAAGACATAGTATTTTTTTGTGGATTATATGAACTTGTAACTTCCTTCATTTTTTTTGTCTTTTTTCCATTTCTTACCCCTGGACAACTTTTTGAAACTCTCATTTCGCATTTAAAATGACAGTTATAATTACAATCTAATAATAATAAGAGAAATTAAAAAAAGGAATAATAACAACATTTACACGTCAAACCTTGCCGTGCTAATCCCCAAATAGTGGAATTACAACAATCACAATTTGTAGGAATTGTAAAAGATGAAGGTTTAAAATCATGTGGTAATATATCATTATTAACATCTAGAAGATTAATTAAAATTAACAAAGCAAAAAAACAACCTCCAATAACACGAACAATAGCATCAACTTCCATTTGAAATGTTAATCTTTGATTATCCATAAAAGCCACTTCTCTCCGTGCATCAAGAAGATTCTAAGTAATTAGTAAAACATATTGTTATATAAATAACTTACATTTGTAACGTCATTTTGGCTTCCAAGTTGAGGATTTTTTGAATAAACTTCCCTAAGATTCTGCAAACCATCAATTTCTCGTCTTTTTATATCAACATTTTCTTGTAACTGTGATAATTTCATACGGGATTTGATAACTTTATTTTTTAAAAAAACAATAGAATCTTCATTTGCTACCATCTCATTCTTAAAGCTTATTAATATAAAATTATTAAACAAAAACATTAAAATATACCGAATCATGCCATATAATACAGGGTTCAAATACGAAATCAGGTGGTTCATACCATGAAGTTGCATTATGACGCACAAACATAGTAGAATCAAGAACTGGGTTATTTTTGCTTACAAATCCAATAATGTTAGTAAGATGTTCTTTACAACGATTAAACATAGTAATTTCAAGATTTGCAGCAGTAGTCCATATAGAATTCATACTTTGAATGCGCAATTCATTTATATCCTGCATACTCTAAAAAAATTAAAAAGATATTTTTATAAACTTTTAACCTTTACATCCAAAATATCAGGAATATCAGAAAAGAAATATTTGTTTTTATGTGCATTTGCTACGTGAATAGCAATAATATAATTATTCTAAAAATGTTATTAAAATTTATATTTTTCAATGAAAAACCTTAGCATTGTTCATATCAAGAATATTCTATAATTAAATAAGGCTTAAAATAAAATAAGTTTGGATAAATACCTCATGATACGCTTTTTTCGCTTTTGCCTAGAAATGTGTTAAATTGGATAAATCATTCAAAAGAAATACTACCTTATTTTCATCACATGATTTTTCATGTTTTTGACGAGAACTTTCTACTAAATAACAATGTTCATCATATTTTGATTTTGACTTAAAATTATTAAATTTTAAAATAATGATTAAATTAAATACTTTTTTTAATTCTAAATATATCTTTTCCCTATCCTCCAATAGTTTTTCTGAAAAAATAACATGCTGTTGTACTATTTTAATCCTAATGTTAAAATTTAATGATATAACAACCTTTTTTCTTAAATCATCTGTCTTTGCTGCTAACGCTCTAAAATTATCCGCTACTTGAATTTGAATCTCTTCCGAGAATATTTGTCGTTCTTTTGCTAAACTTTCAGTGCTATTCAATATATTTTCCCATGTAGTAACAGAAGCTCTATAATAAATTAAATAATAATTAAAATATAAACTCTATACGATTCTAAAGAACCAGGAGTCATACGAGGGTTGTCTCCTACTGACAAACTTGTAGAACGCTTTCCTTTTTTTTCATGATACTTTTTCGATAATGAAGAGAGTTTAAGGGAGTATTCTTTTTCTATAGAGTCTCCTAAATTACTATACAAATTTTCAAATCAATATACCTATAATAGCCCTCTCTCTGTAAAAAGACTGTAAATCATCTAACCATTTTATTCCATTATTAACCTGAAATACATTTAATAATCTTTTTATCTGTATCTGATGTTAATAAATACCCAATTTTCAACAGGTTTAAATGCATCCTTTTAAAACCGTTAATTCTTTATATATCTAATACATTATTTTTTTATCCTGCCTTTAATTCTGCTCCAAAACTTGTTCTAGGAACTTCCATACTTTAAAAACTTTTTGATTTAAAAAAATAAATAGATAAAGTAGAATAATTACTGTATTTTAAGATACTAATATATTAGAAAAATAAATATTATCAATAACTAACTTTCATAAACACTATAAATTCTTTAATCAAATTTCTTTTGGTTTTAAGATTTTTAGATAACAAAAGTACGACGTTGGATATCGTCTAAACTTAATATCCGTTTTTTTTTAAAAAAAAACAAAGAAATGAGTACTATTGCATCAGAAAAGATATTATTAACAGATAATTCTTTAACATCTGGTTCAGGGAATAGTGATCTTGAAAAAATTGAAAAAAAAATAGATGATTTAAGCGTACAAAACACAAAAACAAAAGAATCAAATAATAAAAAAGATTATAACAATAATACATTAGCAGAAAATTATATTAGAGAAAATACAAGTGAAAAAACAGATACAATTAGTAGTGGAAATTGTTTTTAAGCTAAAAATAACGGTGATAACATTATTTTAGGTGTGAAAGATGAGGAATTACAGAAAAAAGCAAATATTCATGATAACTTAGTTGAACATGAGGAGAATATTACAGTAAAGCTAGCAGATATACAGGCTGATCCTAATTCACCTCTTTATTCTGTTAAAAGATTTGAAGATCTTATGCTGTAAGGATTTATATCTAAACGATTTAAAATTTTATTATTCTAGTCATGAAAATTTGTTGAAAGGAATATATGCCTTAAAATTTCAGAAACCTTCTAAAATTCAAGAAAAAGCATTACCTTTGCTTCTTAGTAACCCGTATGTTTTTTTAAAAGATATATATATTCTAAGAAATATAGACCTAGGAATATGATAGGGCAATCACAATCAGGAACAGGGAAAACAGCAGCATTTTGTTTGACTATATTATCTAGGATTGACTTTTCTGAAAATACTGTTCAGGTTTTATTTATATTTGTTCTAAAATAAAACTAAGTTGTCAGGCTATATGTTTATCACCATCTAGGGAGCTTGCTAGGCAAACTATGGATGTTATTGTTGAAATGGGCCGATTTACGCCAGTGAGAACAGCTTTTGGTATCAAAGATTCTGTAGCAAGGAATGAGAAAATAACTGCACATGTTGTTGTTGGAACCCCAGGAACTGTTTTAGATTTGATTACTAGGAAATCAATTGATACTAAAGATATAAGGGTTTTTGTATTAGATGAAGCGGATAATATGCTTGACCAGCAAAATCTTGGAGCTCAATGTATGAGAATTAAAAGGTTTGTTTATTACATTTTGAATAAGGGAATCTGTATTAATTTGGAATTAGTCGATTGCCAAAAACGACTCAAATTATCCTTTTCAGTGCTACTTTCCCTGATGATGTAGTAGAATTCTCGTCAAGATTTGCGCCTGGTGCTAATGAAATACGATTAAAAACAGAAGAGCTAAGTTTAGATGGAATAAAACAACTTTATATGGATTGCAAAGACGAACAGCACAAATACGATGTTTTGGTTGAATTATATTCCCTTTTGACAATAGGTCAATCAATTATTTTTGTGAGAGTAAGTCTAAAAAGTTTTATTATAATAAAACTTATTATATAGCAACGCGATCAAGCAGATAAAATAGCCAAAAAAATGACAGAGAGTGGACATGCTGTTACATCACTGCATGGAGCTCTTGAAAGTAATCAAAGGGATACAATTATGGATGATTTTCGATCAGGGAAAAGTAAAGTTTTAATAACAACTAATGTAAATATATCTACAATAAAAAGATGAATTTAAACATTGTTAGGTTATTGCTAGGGGAATAGACATCTCTCAAGTAAACATGGTTGTTAATTACGATATTCCATTAGATTATATGAATAGACCTGATCCTCAAACTTATCTTCACAGAATCGGTCGAACAGGAAGATTTGGACGCATTGGTGTTAGTATAAACTTCGTACATGACCGCAAAAGTTGGGATGAAATGAATGTTATACAACAATATTTCGGAAAACCAATGATTAAAGTTCCTACAGATGATCCAGAAGAACTTGAAAAAAGTGTGTATATTTTTAGTCAGATTTTTAAATTCTAATTCTTCAAAGTAATAAAAGAAGCACTAAAAGCTTAAATACAGAATAATTGTATACTTCAAGCAATATATAATCTTTATATATGTTTTGACATGAGTATAATTACAAACATATATCTTCAAATATGAATCGTTTGTTTTATAGATATAAATATCAAAACAAGTAATATAGCTATAATATTTAAGCTAAATTCAAAAGCTAGTGTCATGTATAAAAAAATATCATTAAAATAAGTATATTCGAAATAATGAAATAAATAAGATGAAATAAATCTTTTTGTAAGAATAATGTTTCATAGAAGCGCTGTCATCATCATCATCATCATTAGAATTCGTAGAATCCTTATCATCAGGAAAATCTGGATTCTATGAAAATTAAAATTAATGGTATATAGATTCATACATATATGTATTACCTCTGGTTTTGGATATTTGTTTTTTGAGCCAAGAGGACGAAGTCCAAGAGGTTTTCCAGCACCATGTTTAAGATATTTTTCAGCACTTTTAGGCATTTTTGGAAGTTCCGTATAAACATTAAAAGAAAAGGAATTTTCGGGACATTTATTACCCCCACTTACAACTTTGTATCCTCCACTGCCTTCAGGAAGATTTATTTTTTCGTATTGATATTTTAAATTATAAAAGTCTTGTTTTTTTTGCAAAGTTCTTCCATTAATATAGACCAACCCATAATTTGGGTTACCTAGTTCTTCTGTCCATTCATAAACCAAGCCTCCAGAAAAAACGCCTGACATTTCACGAGAATAAATGTATTGAACTTCATCAAAAGGTCGTGGTGGATTCCTGTTGCAGCCATACTCACTGAAAAATATGGGAATGGTATATGCAGAGAAATCAAGCACCCTTTGAGAATATCCACTGGTCATAAAATTAGAAGGAGAGCACCATGAGTAGAGATTAATAGCATAAAAATCAACACGATGATTATCATTGCCACAATTCAAATACATTGCTGTAGGGACACGATTGTTAATATCTGTTGCCGAATACCCTACATATATTTTTCGTTTTGAATGTTTTTGAATATATGATTTTAAATCCCTGAAAATGTTAATCTATTGTTCCAAAACATAGAATTTAACAACCGAACAACTGATTTTATCCATGGTAAAGCATTCGATTGTTCTGGAGATGAAACAATTTCATTCCCTGCAAAAAAACCAATAACATTTACATATTTTTTAAAAGCATCAACCGTTGCAAAAATATTCTGAAGATATTCATCTGTATAAGAGGATGCAGTGTTTACACTCCAAAGTGATATAAGTGCTGTATTTATATCAAGAAATAAATAAATACCATTTTCCTCCAAAAGTTTCATACATCTGTCATGATTGTCTGAATTATCCACCTGATAAACACGGATTGCATTGATTCCTAACTCTTTCATTATAGGAATGTCTCTTTCACACCCTCTAATATTAGAAAGAGGGTCTACAAGGCTTGAACTTCCTCCCGGCTGGTAATCTACTCCTTTGACGTAAAAACGTTCTCCTGTAATGCTATCAAAAAATGCATTTCCTGTGTCAATTCCTGAGTTCATAGTCTTATATTCTGATTCAAATACCCACAATAACAATCGGATTTAATGCTTTTACTTGTCTATACACTGCAATCCATAAAAATACATGCAAAAAAGCGGAAAAAAACATTTTAAACTCTGAATTCAAAAAGAAAATTAATATATCTGTATCAGAAAACGTTTACTATTTGTTTTAGTTGAAAAATCCTTGAAAACACTACTTATCTCACACAATTGCCTGTTGTATGCACTTTTTGCCTTTAGATGGTTTTTCTTACGTTTACAAATCTGCAAATCTGCAAATTCTGAGTTTAAATAGTTCCAAAGAAGGAATCTGATTGGTGGATGCTTATCCGTTTCCATGGCAACAATAGTTCTAGGAAATACTGTTTCTCTAAGGAGTGTTTCTATAGCAACTGTGTGTCTATGGCAACAACTACAGGTGCTGTTTGTCAGATATATTATGAAAGAGCCAGAAAGAAAGACGAGTGTTTGGCAGTATTTATGGAAGATATTAAGGATAACGCCTGTGAAAAAGCCATTGAAGAGGAGACACGAAATATTTTCGTTTTTTTCCCGAGTTTTTTAGAGTATTTTTAGGCCTTTTAATAAATATACCAAAGAGTATCTGACAAATGTAAAAGCGACAAAAAATGAGCAAAAAGACGCTGGAAAACACGTGTATATACTGTGTTCTACTCTATTTTATGAGACAATGAACGTCCAGAGATAAAGAGATTTTTTAACTGATGGAGTAAGGAGGAGTGGTTGTCCGTAAGATCAAAGGATTTTTGCCGGAGAGTTAATAAGCAAAAAATAAAGGATTCTGTATATTTTTGAGGAAAAAGGAAAATTTTAGAAGAAGAAACATAGTTTAGAGCAATGTCGGGTGTCCATCCTAAAGGTAAGCCACAAATGGGCGGAAATACCTTTTTTCCCGTCTTGAAACTATCTTTTTTGCATTGGATATTAAAAAAGTTAATTAGCATTTCCATTAGCTGATGGGGTTTTGACGCAGCAAATTTTGGATCTTGTTCAGCAAGCATCACATTATAAGCAATTAAAAAAGGGTGCAAATGAGGCTACAAAGACTCTTAATAGAGGGATTAGTGAGTTTATCGTTATGGCAGCTGATACAGAACCTATTGAGATTCTTCTTCATCTTCCATTGCTTTGTGAAGACAAAGTTGCATAGAATGTACCAGTGATGTGTATATTGATGTTGAATAGAATGTACCATATGTTTTTATCGCATCGAAAATTGCATTAGGGCGTGCATGTGGTGTTACACGCCCTGTTATTTCAGCAAGTATTACAACGAATGAAGCATCTGATTTAAAGTCACAGATCCAGACAATTAAGGTAAATAGAACAATATACATGTAACTGGGAACTAATGTCACTAGAATAATATTGAAAAATTGCTCGTTTAGTCTTTACTGTAAAATATACAGTTTTCTATAACAGCCTAAGTTTTATAATGGGTAACGCAGGTCACTATTGTATTCTAGATATTGTACCCAGCGTTTTAAAAACCCACTATTCCTTTCTATAGTTTGAGAGTCACCTATAATGCAAAGATGTCTTTTAGGCCTTGTTATAGCTACTATTATTATTTAGAAATGTTTTAGGAATGTATAGTAGAAAAAAACAGTACCATTAAGTCTTTTTTTATCCACTAAAAATCCTACTTCTCCTTTTTCATTGCTTCTTACTAATGAGAAAATAATTGCTTCTTTTTCTCGTCCTTGAAATCCATCAACTGTATTTATTTCTATTTGTGGATATTTTTCTTTTAAAATTTGCAATAACAAAGAGACCTTTCATTAGATATAATAAAATGAAAAAAAGAAAACATACTTGAGCACTATAAGGTGTAATTACAGCTATATCTTCTTGTTTAACTCCAGCATTTATTAATTTGATAACATATTCATTTACTAACGATGCTTCCATCTGATTACTTTTACTTTCAGAAAAAATGTTCATATGTTCATTATTTTCTATGCTTTCATACATATATGCACCTTGTGTATTATAGAATACTAAAGATTCACGTGTTTCTATTATATTATAAATTGAAGATAAAATTAGTTACTTTTTACCTTCTGTATCATTGACCCCATCTAAGTCTTTTAAAAGTCTATTTTCTACACTCTTATCTGGCACTAATCTGCCCTTATATAATTCATTAGATGGAAATTTACATATATTTTTATGCATTCTGTATTGGATTTCTAAAAAACATTTAATATCATCACCATGAGTCTTCAAAATTCTCTCCAGTAAACTAGTGGTAACTATTTTTTCAGAATCACTATTTAGTTTTGCTTTTATTATTGGTGACAATTGTAAATGATCACCTGCTAAAATAACTTTTTCGGCATTTATAAGAGGAATCCAGGATTGCTGTTATGTAAATTTAATATATTAAGAAAGTATAACTTACTGCTTCTAAAGCTTGTGATGCTTCATCTATAATTACTACATGGAATTTTTCATTATATAAACACTTTTCACCCGCTCTAAAATTATGTTTCAAACATGAAAAAATAAAGCAAAAATTACCCATGTAATGTACTTAAAATAACTATACTTTCTTTTATAATATCATTAATACATTTCTTTTCTCTTTCTTTATATTCTTTCCTTAATACTTTAATTTCGTCATAAATAGCTTTACGTTCTTTATATCGGGCTTTTCCTATTTTTTTTAAAGCATCATTTATTTCTTTCCTAAGATCTTGAATGATTTTTCCTTGATCTGATGTCTTTACAACAATATCAAGTGAATGCGATAATATAGGTGGTAAAAGTCTTTCAGGACGACCAATCCTAATCAATGGGATTTTATGCTTAGAAAGACGTTCAACAATATTATCTGCTCAAATTAACAATAATTCTTTGTCAATGTCAAGAAAAAATACCAACAGAGACATTAGATGGTCCACAAACTAATAAACGTTTATTTCTGAAAACAAATTGTCGAATAATTTCAATCTAAATATTAATGTTAATATAAAAAGACAAATTTATTTACCAAAGTAGAAGTTTTTCCGGTCTAATAAGCATTAGTTATTCAAAAAGATATAATATGGGAAATAACTCCTGGTGGACCATGAATGACGGTAATTTCTTTACTTGCTAAAGAGAACTCGACTGCTTTTTTTTGTCCATCATTTAGTGTATTATCAAAAAGTGAAAAATTTGATATAGGAGAATCCTTTTCATCTTTTCTCCAAGGCAAAGATGGTTTTTCTCGTTCAAGAAGAACTTTTGTAAGTAAAGTCATTTCCTCATCTTTCATTTCTTTAAGTCTAATAATTGTATCAGACATTCTAATTAAGTTTTAGAAAATAAATACTGTAGAAAAATATAGAAACCTTTTGAATATATGATTATTTGCGAGCTTTACACTATAGTTTTTAAATTATTAAAATTATGTTGAAAATCTTACATCCAATATTTTTTAGAAGAACTTGGCAAATCTTCATCACTCTTATTATTAACAGAAAGTGTAATTTTTACATCTTTAACAGTCAAAACTAATGCTTCAAAAATATTTTCTTTAAAATCTTTATTTTTTTGATCAGTTTTACTTTTTTGTGTACTGTGTTCTCTAATTTGTACTAAATCTCCTGTATGAAACTTATGAGCATATAGACGAATCGTAGGATATGTCCCTGGGCCATTTTCAAAATCCACAAGACTATCAATGCATTATTAATACAAGTCTATTATCCCAAAAACTTACCATTTACCACCAAGTCCCGTTCTTATTTTTCCTGGAACCAAATTGAGAATGGCCAACCCCTTAGAAACTATGTCAGATATAAAACAAAACCATTATACATTGAATTATCTTTTCTGCAATGCATCTGGTTTCAATGTTTTCACAAGATGTGTTATCTCTTCCACTTGTATTGTCTTTTCTTTTTCAATAAATTGCAATTGTAAATCTAAAAAATTTGTATTTGATAATTCCATTGAAAAGAATAATATATATATTTCTAAATAACTTATTTAATGTTTTGTTTTATTATTTTTTATTAAATATCCTAAAAATTTTCCTATTTTCTTCAGAAAAAAAAACAAATATAAGGTTTTACTTGCAATAAAATGTATTTATTTTTTTCAAATCCTTAAAACATTACCAATTCTTCTGATCTATCATTCTATTAATTTATAAGAAAAAAATTGGGTGTCATCGATTATGTCGACCACTGTAAAAGAAAAAAATGAAACAAATCCTGGATTATCTCCATTACAAGCATACTTTGAGCGTATTCCAAGCATTGTTAATGCTCCATTAACACATGTTCTTCATCTCACAAATTTTGATGGTCTCCCTATCTTTACAACTAGCACTTCTACTGCACAATTTCAGAATTTGACCTTTCTAAGTATTCTTTTTACTCATACTTATGAGATGATATCTCGACTTCAGCTTGGAAGGCCAAAACGTGTGTTTTCTTCTTATTTTTCACCTGATAAGGATTCTTTGGGTGCAGAAATGGTTCAAATAGGTTGTATGGATGATAAATCATCAGAATATCGAGAAATACCAAATTCTTTAGATAATGCCAAGACATCTCCAGAAATAACGAAGAAGGGACTTCCTTTGATTGGGTCAATTGTGGGAACAAAGGGGACTATGGCATCTGCTATTAATATTGCAAAAGAAATAGAAAAAGTTGCACAAATTGTAATTAAAAATTGGCATTAAGGAAAATTCAGCGTGTAATTGTTTAAGGATTCTAATATGTATATTCAAGGAAAATAGTTCTTTGTTTTGAAGTGATTTTTTGTTTTAATGAGCTTTTATAGCAACATATACATTATGGTATGTATATATAGGTATACATAAATAACAGCCAACTGTGATCTGTACATATGTGTTTGGATAATCAAGTTTATATATATTCTTTTTATTAATATGATGGAAATTGCTTTTTCAGATTAATCTAGTTATTTACTAAGCCAGATTTGTTTAACGTTTACATTTTTAGAGGAATTTCGTCTCTACTTTTAAGCTTAAACATTTTAAATATTTCTTTTTATGAGGTTTATTCTTTTTGCATTTGAATATACATTTTGTTCAATATTTTAAAGCTGCAAAAGATGCAATGTATATTTATAAGACATGTTTATTGTCACAAATACTTTATCCCTTGAATTAAACTGCTTTTGGTGCCTTATATATTTTCATATATCTAACGTATCAACAAACTGCATTAGATAGAAAGATTACCCAGTGTCCGATAAAAAGATATAAGTACAATTTCTATCCGATTTTTGTATAACTACAAGAAATATTTAAAAATATTGCAAAAAAATACTATATATTGATAATATACGATTTCTGAAAAGATAAATAATTATCATGTAATCTTAGGCAATATTTACACAGAAAAATACAATGTCTAGAGCTCGGCATTTTGCATCTACAGAAGGCTCAGAAGAAATGCGTGTTTGGCTAAAGATCGTGAAATATATTGAACAATATGAAAAGTACTTAGAGCGTGAAAATATGTATAGATTAGATATTAAAAAAATACAAGAAAAAATAGTAACTGGTGGGTTTTGAGTATACTATAAATATATTGTGATACAAACTCTTCTTTATAGAAACAAATATAACATCTATTAAGACATTACAAAATACATATCGAGCTGCTTTTGAAACAGTCAATTCTCAACAAAAGTAAAGAATAAATAGATATATATGTTTGGTAATATATATTTCTAGTTTGCTTTTGCAAATGCAAGAAAGTCTTGATATTCTTATTGCATTACGTCAAGCTACAGAAACAGAAAAAAGCATAGGCAAATATCACAATCAAGCCATGCTGGGCTAATGAAATATAGAGGATTCAAGACGGAGAAAAAGAAGGGCTGATGAACAAGCACCAGATCTTCCTATTTTCCGTGCAAAAAAATCACGCAAGTATGTATAATCAAGTGAAAATTATTTTTTAATGGGCAAATATAGCCAAACGGCTAAGGAAACATTGCAAATTGGGTCTCAGGTTAAACAATATTTAAGAAAGGTTAAGCATGGCTATTTAGAAGATTTAAACACTTATATAGTTGGTTTTAATAAGCTATTGTTTAATAATAGCTTATCAGAAAAATATCTTACTTATTGTTAACTTCGATAATCTTATCAGATGGCCATGCAACCTTAATATAAAAGTGTTTTATTAATAATGTATAGGTGGCATTTCGGCAGCCAAAAACAAGAAACAATCAAGGAGATTGGATCCAATGTATTATCACGCGTATTATTGGAGAAGGATCAAAAATACGATATGAAGTTCAAGACCCAGAGCCGGATGAACATCATCATTCTGGACAGTTTGTCTATACAGTTAAATGGAATTAATAAGCTGATTTTTTATCATAGAATTTATAGAACAGTGGCTTCAAATCTTATTTTAATTCCTAGTACTTCGGCAGGACTTCGTCCCTTATCTCCTGGTAGGCAAGTTCTTGCAAGATATCCAGAGACGACAACGTTTTATAATGCACAAGTTATTAGTACAAAGGCAAGCACCTTTTTTTTATATCTTTTTCCTGAAAAAAGTAGAGAGATGGAACATGTAAATTGCGATTTGAAGGAGAAGTCGGAAAAGAAACAGAAGTAGAGCGGAAGCTTGTATTAGAAGTGAATCAGTGAGCAACACAGGCTGTGTTCTACGTACAGAAAAACAAAGAGATGCAAAATTTGTCTTTGGTTGTATTATTTGTCGAGAGAAACATGAGTTGGATCAATATATTCACTGTTTAGAATGTTTTCGAAGGAGTTTTCGTCTTTTTCTGAATGTCTTTCCAGTATGGTTTTCCCGAATTCGACTGGGAGCAAACTTTGTTCCATTTCAATACCTATTCTCACAATCTCTCGATTTTTCTCCCATAATTCTTTGTGTTTTCCTAGTAATGTATGTACACTCTCAGAAAATCGTTTCAGTAATTTCAATTAGTTTAAAGCAATTAAAATTGGGTAAACATATTAATATTTACCAGTGGAAAGTATGGATCTTTGTCAAGTATGTTTTCGCAGGAGCTCATTTATGTCATAAAAACAACAAAATAGATTTAAATATTATGTATTCTATAAAGGTATATAAGAACTAGTACCTATATAAATAAGAACTTCAAAATTTAGGCTGAAAATATATTTTTTTGAATAGATTTCACCTAAATAATTCAATTGTTAGAACTTTGTCGTTCTTTAACAAAGAATTCTCTAATTAACTCTGAAATTGTGTTATTTTTTACACTTTTAAGTGCCTTATAAGTAGTTATATATATTCAATTTTCTTATTTTTCAGTGTTAATGTTTTTTAGATGATTCAAAAGTTATACCGATTGACTCGGTACATCACTAACCGCATGTTTTTTGAAAAAAAATCTTTTTAAAATTGGGTCTTTTAAAAAATAGATTGAAGCATTTTAACTGTATTAATTATGAATGAAGCACCCATTGGTATTATTATCTTTTTTTTTGCATCAAAATTCGTAAAACTGAGGTCAATAGTTGCGGATAATGGAACAGGATTTGTCAAAGTAGGATATGCAGGTATATATTATTTAAGACATGTTTTTCTAGTTAAAAGTAATGTGTATGACGTTAGGAACTAATTTTCCAGATTATGTTTTTCCTTCAATTGTTGGGCGTCCTATACTTCGTGTAGAAGAACAAATAGGAACATCAGTTATCAAAGATATTATGGTTGGTGACGAGGCTACTGCTGTTCGAAATATGCTTCAGATATCGTATCCTGTGAGTTTTTATATTCTTTTTATGCAATATTTGATAGCTTTTTAGATGGAAAATGGAATTATTCGGAATTGGGATGATATGCAGCATCTTTGGTATATACATAGACCTAAATATTAGTTTTCAGTAATGATGGTATTTAGGGATTATACTTTTGGTGAAAAACTTAAAATTGATACAAAAGATCGTAAAATTTTGCTTACTGAGCCACCTATGAATCCTCTTTCGAATCGGGAGAAAATGTGTGAAGTAATGATTGAAAAATATGGATTTTATGGAGTTTCTATAGCAATTCAAGCTGTTCTTTCTTTATATGCTCAAGGCATCTAACTCGATATAAAAATTGTTTTTATAACGTAATATAGGATTAACTACTGGAGTAGTCGTAGATTCTGGTGACGGTGTGACTCATATTGTTCCTGTTTACGAAAACGTTGTTTTAAATCATCTTACACGTAGGTTAGATGTTGCAGGGCGTAGCGTTACACGCAGACTTATTGATTTACTTTTACGAAGGGGATATGCTTTTAATAGAACAGCTGACTTTGAAACGGTTAGGCAAATTAAAGAAAAGTTATGTTATGTTAGGTACGATATAAACTTTCTTTGTGTTTTTAATTTATATTTATTAGCTGTGATCTTGAATTAGATCACAAATTATCTGAAGAAACTTCTGTTTTAGTTGAAAATTATACTCTTCCTGATGGGCGTATGATTAAACTTAGCTCCGAAAGATTTGAAGCCCCAGAATGCTTATTTCAGCCTCATTTAATTGGCATAGAGCAGCCTGGTATTTCTGAATGCCTTTACAATACAATACAAAGGTTAGTTATCCCATTTTCCAAGTTTTATATTTCTCTAATTCTTAATTAGTACGGATCTAGATATTCGATCCTCATTATTCAAATCTATTGTATTGTCTGGAGGCACAAGCATGTATCCAGGTATGTTATATTTTTGTTGGAGAATTATGTATTAAATTAATTAGGTTTTCCGACTAGACTTGAAAAAGAACTTAAACAATTATGGCTTACAAATGCATTGAATGGAGATCCTACTCGTTTTAATGTATCGGGAAGTTTTATATAATTTTTAGCTTATTTTTTTTAGAAATTCAAAATACGAATTGAAGATCCTCCTCGTCGACGACATATGGTATTCTTAGGAGGAGCAGTTCTTGCTAATATAGTTAAAGATAACGACAATATGTGGGTAACTAGAAATGATTGGAGCGAGTAAGAGTTTCATAACATTACTTGGTTTTATTTAATATATTAGATATGGTAAAAGAGCATTAGAAAAGCTTGGACCTCGTTAAATATGCAATATTAAGTCTGAAACTATTACTATATTCAGATATTCTAAAATAAAACTCATTAACACTTTAAATGTTAATACTTTGTCTAAATTACATATTTAAAAAAATATTTTAAACTCAAATCATCCAAAAAAATAAATTGTTATTAAAAACTATATTCTCTTTGTGTAACTATTCCCTTGGTTTACACTAGAGGCTACAAAAGATACTGGTTTCCCAAATTTTTCATTAGATACTAAATTGGTTACACTTGTAAAGGGTTTAATGGGTGATGATTTGATATTTGAAGACGAATGTTGTTCTGTTTTTCGAGTAGGATTTGCTCTTGATATCGAAGGTGCAAGCCTAAGAGGCTTATTTGGAACATTTTCGGTAGAAACAGTTTTTGGTTGACGTGCATTAAGAGCATTAACGGAAATTACTTTAATTGCGCCAGTTCGTTTCTTTTCAGTCTCTTTCTGAGCCCCTGCTCTCGTTTCTGACTTTGGATGTGTTGAAGAAGCCGATGATGCAACATTTGAAGAAACGTATGATACACATGGTTTCGTCCGTAGTGTCACCGGTGTGTTTACAGTTCTAACCGCCCCTTTGCTAGGTGATGTAACGTTTTGAGAAAGACCATGCTTCTGCTGTAGTGGTGATTGCGTTGTTTTAACACGTACTCCTGTTAGGTTAGATGATCGTGGTACCTTGATCACTGCACCATTTGTGCCCGTTTTTTTGGGAGAGTCTGGTGCATACGTTTTTCCCCCATGTGCCGTTACTTTCATAGGGACTTTAGCCCTAATTACTCTGCCATCAGCGTATTTCGGTGTAATCACTGTATTAAGTGATGGTGATATCTTTAATATAGGAATCTTGTTCTGAAAAGTCGGATACCCTTGCATCGGCTCTATACCCATCGGTTTAACCGCTATTCTTACATCTGTCCCTGTTTTTACTCCCGATATCGGCGATGATTTGTTTTCAAGTTTAAGAGCTGCAAACTGTTTTTTTGCCTGATGAAAGATAATTGCCGATGCCGGCACCGCCCGTTGTGACACTGTTCGACATCTATCTGTATTCTATTGTCCTTTATAAGTACAAATATCATTTTTTTTGCTCAAATTGCCCTACTCCTACTTTTCCTTGTTTTTCATTTCCTTCTACGCTCATATCCGCTTGTTTTTCTCCGTTTTTTTTTTCAAATCCCAAAAACTGCCTTCAGCCTATTTATTCCTCTCTTTATTTCTCTTTATATACGCAATTTACCCCCCAATTTATCCCTTTTTCTCCTTGATCATGCCAGATGTCGTTTGTCGACAATACGATCGCATCTCTCTCTACGTCCAGCCCACTCATAACAGCGGATAATTTTTCTTAGGGTTAGGTCTGAGGGTATCACAACGTCAAGTGTTTAGCAAGACAAAATGGAAAAAAAAGAAGACAAAAGCAAAGAAATTGAAGGATTTGATGAGGAAAAAGAAGTATTTTTAAAGAGATTTATGAAGGGAATAATGGTTTAAATATTAAGGAGTTTTTTGAGGGAAAAAATGGAGACAAATTAGCGTTTTTTTATGGAATGTCCCCAGGAACAATTGAAGCGAAGCGAGGACATGCAGTAGCGGTTAAATATAAGAAAACAGGGGATCTAGTGAGTGGATATCTATGGAATATTGATCCATGGTCTGGAACGGTGTTTATTTTTCAGGTGTGTTTCAGGAGAGGTTGAATGGTGGTTAACGGGGATTTTAGAGGGGAGAAAACGAGACGGCGGCAATGTGTGTGATTATGTCGGATTCTGTATTCAGTATTACGTGTAGTGGAAGCAATGTGTGTTTTTTTGTAATAATTGTGTAGTTTTAAATGACAAGGAGCCTATAACTGTGGAAATGATGGATGCTTATGTGAGTCTGGATGAAATGGTCTAAATGTGTGTAGGATGAGTATTATAGAATCAAAGGAGATTTATTTTTATGTTTTGGGTCATGTTTGTGTTTTTTTTTTTTGACGTAAATAGTATGTCTCTCAGAAGTACGTATATGAAGATAAAGGGTATTTTTCTGCAGAATGTAGAAGTTGTATAAATTTTGATGTTTATTGTGAATCAGTGTTCAAAAAAACATGTATACCTGTTTTTATAGTATATCTATTAGATCGAGCAACAACGGATCATTGAATACAGCGGAAAATGTGCAACATGCAGCAAGATCAGGCAAGCACTGTTGAAAGAGTTACTTGAGTGTTTAGATGTGTTTTTTCTCTTTTATTGTGTCTTAAGGATCGATAGATCTATAATATGATACGTGAAGACTACATAAAGACATTGAAGTTGAATTATAGAATGGTAGGAGTTTGTGGTTGCGTTGTGCTGATTCTGAATATTCAAGGTAGCTAATTCTAGATGTTTTTCTGTTTATATACAGAAAATTGTGTATAAAAAAAGAAAGAATCGAGACTATAATGAACTACTGCACTGTATATAGATCTTCAAAGATATCTATAAAGCTGGCTTTTTACATAAAGACACACAAGGCTGTCCAAAAGTATTCATCTTTCTACTATATTTTTAATTACGACACAAATATAGACAAACGATGATGAACATCAAGTATAAATTAAGAATGACATAAAAATAAAGGGATTATCTAAGCTTTTAAAATTAGTTATTAAGGATATATTAGGTGTTTTGCTTTTGCTTCTTTTCTCGGATATAATAACACTCACGTATTGGACGCACCCGTTGCGTGCGGAGACTTTACAACGTATTAAAAAGACAAAAAAAACTTTAGAGTGTTTAGGTTTTTAAAAAGAGTTTTTTTCTGTTAATTTTAAAGAAATACGCGTACTGAAAGGCTTTTGAACCTATTTCCCAGAAATAATGGGCAATTCTATGTCTAAATTGATGAGCCGGTTTTTTGGCAATAAGGAAATGCGTATCCTCATGCTTGGACTGGATGCTGCAGGGAAAACAAGTATGTTGGAGTTTTTATATTATTTTAACATGTATGAAATGGAATAGCAATTTTGTATAAGTTGAAGTTGAATCAGAGGTAAAATGGAGCGTGATTTAATGACGATGAATAATATGACATAGTGTGACAACTATTCCTACGGTTGGGTTTAATGTAGAAACAGTGGTTTATAAGAATGTCAAGTTTAATGTCTGGGTATATTTAGTACTATTTTATTAATGAAAATGTTAAATTGTCGGTTTTTAGGATGTAGGGGGGCAAGATAAGATTAGACCTCTTTGGAGGCATTATTATACAGGTAGGTTCTACTAAGGACTTAAGTGTTTTTAATGTGTCATAGGCACTCAAGGCCTGATTTTTGTGATTGATTCAGCAGATAGAGATCGAATTGATGAGGCACGTAAAGAGCTTCATCGGATTATAGCAGATCGTGAAATGAAAGATTCTATTTTATTGGTATTTGCAAATAAACAGGACTTAAGTGAAGGTTATTTTGCTAATAATATTTTCTCGAAATAAACTCGTATAGCTATGTCTCCAGCAGAAGTAACAGAAAAACTTCAGTTATATAAATTTAAGGATAAAATGTGGTATGTTTATCCAAGGTATAATTCTTTGGTTTTTCTGCTTTTTTTAAAGATCCTAGTTGTGCAAAAACGGGAGAAGGTCTTTTTGAAGGACTTGTAATAATATTTTTTTCTTCGGCTTAAAATAATAATATTTAGGCATGGCTGAGTTGCAATGCAAAAACTATGTTGAAAAAATAATTATTTATGAATGCGATCGTCTTCTAACATTGAAAAATATATCCGTGCTTGGCTGTTTTGCACTTGCTTTTGATATCCAATTTTTACGTCCGTCAGTACTATCTAGGTCAATTTTTCGGTAAACACTAGAGTCATATTTGCCTATTCGCTTATCTGCTCGTCTATTTATTTGTCGGTTCACTTTTCACTTTATTTATTGTATGTTTTAGAATTCATTATACTTCTTCCGACATTCAATTTCAAATAATTCTTGCACACATTCAGGGAGTTCCCTAATAACAAGACCTTTATATAAATGTTAGATGCATATGTTCCGTTCCCAAGAGCTTACCCGGTGTGCCTCCAACTAAAGAAAAGGATGGTATTACTGAGTTTTCCGGTAAAATCGTGCCATCTTGTATTTCCACACAATCTTTGATAATACAGAATTTCCCCTGCAACCAGTGAGCACAATGGCTATTATGGCCTTTTTAAGTGGCCATTTAAAGTACTAACAATAACACATTGTTTTCCAATCTTAACATATGAACCAATACTTGCTGCTTCTATCATAGAACCCTCGCCGATTTGAACAAAATCGCCAATTTTTAACGGGTAATAGTTAAATACGCTATAAAGAGCTTTAATCCCTACTTTCTTTTATTTTTTTACACACCCTTTATAAGTTTTACTCGGAGGCCGAATCACAGTGCCAATTGATAAAGAACAATATTTTCCAATTACAATAGCAATTGATTGTTGAGAACCTTCAAATCTTCTCAAATCACCACGAATTGTGCATTCTGAGTGAATCAGAGTCTATTTACTCTTAATATTTTGCAGCAAAAGTCTATGTAGGCTGTACTTTTCCACCAAGAATAATGTTTTGAGAGCCTAAAATTGTTGTTCTAAGACGAGAAATCTTATTTCCTGTATCCTAATGATGGATCAGTACTGTTAAAACTGTTAATAGTGCTTTTTGTTGTTTTTTTGCAGTTTTTATGGGTATATGAATAGCTTACCGTTTCAATATATTCCTTTGATTTTGCCATAAGATTATATTCACAAATTGTAAAAAATATTAAGAAATTGTTAAGAAAATTATAAAAAATGTTAAAAATAATAATCAAAAGTTAAAAAATGTTAATAAAATATTAATAAAGTATTAAATATTCGATAAATATTAAATCTCGATGTTAATAAATCTTAACGTCAAAAATTAGAAATAAACATTATAACTATAAATAATTGTTAAAAGCTTCAAAAAATGACAGGAAAATACAAAGTAACACTCATTTAAGTCTCAATTCCAAGTATTTAGTCTTTTTTTCCTGTTAAAACTTATAAACAGTTATAATAATATTATCTATTTGTTTGTATTTGATGGATACACGTTTTTTTGAATTGCGGTGTGGATATAAGGCATATGAGTGGGGTATGTGTTTTTTATCATGTATTAATGCTTAAAATTTCTTTTTTTCTCTTTTTTTCTGACTTTTTATTAATAATTCAGGAAGAATAGGACATACAAGTTGTATTGCAAAATATCTTTTATCAGCAGAACCACATAGAGTTATAGACGACAATGAGCATTATTCAGAGGTCTTTATAATATTTTTGCGCTGTTCGCGCGAGTTTTTGCTTGTGTTGATACGTACAGTTATGGATGGGTGTTCATCCTGCTTCTCCGTCTTTTGTTTGTTTATCTACAGAATGTAATTCAGAGAAGATAGTATTTCTACAAACGCTCTTGGATGCAGATGAACGGCTTGTATCTTATGAAGTAGCACAGGTTTATGGCAGAACGTTACCTTTTTTATTTAAAGTTCTGTCGGTGCGTACAGCCTTATCAATTCAAGCACATCCAGATAAAAGACTTGCAGAGATACTACATTATCAATATCCTGAACGCTATCCAGGTATATACACATAGAAGTGCTTGATTTATGTTGATTTCTTGTTGATGCAAACCATAAACCTGAGATGGCGATTGCTCTGACACCATTTGAGGCCCTATGTGGATTTAGACCAATAGATGAAATTATTTCGTTTGTTATGAAAGTTCGTGGATTTCGGAGGCTTTTAGGTAGTGTAGCAGATGTATTTGTCCATGAAGAACAGGCACGTCAGAGAAAATATGAAAAATCGATAAATTATGAATGCACAGAATCATTGCAAAGCCAAAAGGCATTGCAGACACTCTTGCATACACTGTTGATACAACCTACAGAGCATGTTGAAGCATGTGTAAAACAATTGCTTTTAGATATACATGAAAGGGCACAAGATGAGGAAAATATATATAAGGATCTATATGAAGTGATTTTGCGTTTGAATGATCAATTTCCTGGGGACATAGGAATATTTTGCGTTTTTTTGTTGAATCATGTGCGATTGATGCCAGGAGAAGGAATCTTTTTAAAAGCAAATACTCCACATGCGTATTTATGCGGAGGTAAAAAAAAAGAAAAGGAAAGTGCAAAGACTAATGAAAGAATAGAAGCTATTGAGTGTATGTCTTCAAGTGATAATGTAGTTCGTGCAGGATTGACACCTAAATTTAAAGATGTTGAAACTCTTGTGTCGATGTTAACATATAAATGTGCATCAGCATCAGAACAAAAGATGGCACCTGTTCGTTTTGACCGAACTGTTGGTGATGGTGAAGTGTATTTCTTTAAACCACCGATCAATGAGTTTAATGTTCTTCAAATTCGTCTCAAAAAAGGCAATATACAAACTATAGAAGGTCTGAAAGGCCCAAGTATCATGATATGTACACAGGGCGATGGAACAGTTGTTGCAGAAGAAAAATTATATTCTATACGTACTGGACTTGTGTTTTTTGTTGGTGCTTTTGTTGAAACAGTGTTTACAGCAAACAGCGATTCATTTATTATTTATCGTGCTTTCGTTGAGGTCTGAAGATGAAATATTTTTTTTAACCATATGAAGTTCAATTAAATAAAGTGTCAAATGGAATTAACTTTGTTTTTTCTCTTTATTTAATTTTTTAATTTTTCGTCGAAGATCACCTGCTGTTTGTTGCATTGCATTTAATTTTATATCTTTAGTCATGGCATCAATGTCATCACCATAGCGATCGATTAATTTTTCTAGGAAAATGGTTTCATTTTTAGACAATTTTCTATCTACTTTAGTAGATTTTTCTGCTTTTTCTTTTAATTCTATTTATATTAGTCTAGGGCTCAAGTAAAAAATAACGTTTACCTCGAATAACTTCTGTTTTTGGAGCCATTTCTTCTGTTGTTATATCGCTATCTGATGTATCGTCAAACTTTCGTTGTTTTCCATATATAATTTCAATAACATTTCCTTCATTATCTCTTTGGATTTGTGCTTCGTTAGGTTGCAATTTTGAGTTATCATTTTTATTCAAAAGAGATGTTTTGGTACTATATTTTTTTCCAAAAATACATTTTTCATTATTAGGCTTTGCTATGAGACCTAAATGTGCATAACTTTTAAAATGAATAAATATATTTGATAAATATTTTTTTACTTCTCCTTCAATGTTTTTTTTTTATCCCAGCTTTCAGATAAAATGGGGCCAAAATTAATAGATAAAGGTTGATGTTTTTTTGAAATTCTTTTTTTTTTTTTTATTGTTACTCTTCTTTGCTTTTTACGTTGTCTTGGATTGGTCATAGAAAATATTTAAATGTTAAAAGCTTTTTCCAAGATATTTATTTTAATAAATCTATAAGGAAATATTGAATATGTTCTTAGTATGTCCTTTTAATATTTAATGTTTTTTTATAAAAAGGTTTAAAATAGTCTTTATGTTTTAACTCTTTTGATAAACATTTGAATAAAAAAATAAAAAGTTAAAAAGCTGAAGGAAAATTGATCTAAGATACTTAGTATTTTATGTTAATGAATACTAATGTGTTTCTATTGTACCTTTTTATATAAAGCTATACTGTAAAATTTATCAGAGATACACAAATAATTGACGAAAACTATCTTAATATAAACTAATAAATAAAATCAGATTTTTTAATAGAAAATGAGTTTAAAATATTTTAAAAATAAGGTTATAGAAATATGTTTTTAAAACTTATGATAAAAATCTTTTTGATTATTTTGACTTAAATTTTAGTATGGTCTTTTAAAAAAGATTAAAATTATACATGTATTATAGGTTTGTAAATATATCTCAATATTAGATTAAAGAATTATAATTTTTTTATTTTATACTTATAAAAAAGTGTATTGTAATTTTCACAAGTGTTTTTGATATTTTAGAACTTAATTGATTCAAATCTTCAGATGATATATTTTTATTAAAAATAATCTTTGGATCTAAATTAACATATTCTATTAGAATTTTTACATGTATTTTTAAACGTAATCAAAAACGTCTTTTAAAAAGCATTCATTTGTTAATCAATTAATTAACCAATAAGTGCTTTTTAAAAGTTTTTCGATTAATATGTTTTTTTTTTCAAAATACAGCTTCAATTATAATAAATCATATCAATTATGGTAAAAATAGGAAATAATTTATATGTCTGACACTAATTTAAAATAAAAAAAGATCACTAACTAGCTTTTCAACTAGAATTAATATATTTTTAAAAAATAATCTAAATTATAATATATATATACATTGAAAGAATAAGTATTATAATCTTAGAGAAATAAAGTTGTTATTCGAGCTATTTGTTAAAGATAGTATTTTTTAAAAAAAATCTTGATCCAAGGATATTGTGTTATTGAAAATCTAGTATATTTGAGCTGAAACATTAAATAATCAATTTTTTATTATGAAAAAGTAAAACAACAGTCAAAAACATTTTATAAAAATAACTTCATCCCATACTTTATCCTGGGCCGACCTAAAACACAAATTAACTCTTCTTTAAATAAAGATATTCACTATACCTTTGGAATATCATTGTGTTCTGACAATTCACTCAGTTTTTTATTAAATTCGGCTACCCGTTCTCGATGACTTTTTGCTGCTGTTTTTTGAACCCGTTCATCCATCTTGACACTGTGAGACCTTCAAAAACACTTCCTATGACTTACACGCTTTCTCCATATTTCCTCAAACCTCTGTTCTGTTGGAGTTTTCAGCGGCAACTCTGAAACTGCTGGTACTTCAACAGATGCTATATCTGGCCCTATTTTTTCCCCAGAAACCGCTCCACTTGCAGCTTTGGACACTCCTGCAGCTATACGTTTACGTTTCCTATATAAATAAGCCTGTGGCGCTGTTTTTTCTGCATACTTGCTCGGTTCTCCGCCCTTAAGACGCAGTGCACCTGGTCGGTGTTTGTATTCTGCCAATTTTAACCCGTTTTTTTTCAAACAAAAACAGCCACTTTTCTAATGTCTTTTTACGTTCTTTTTTCTCTTTTTTTCTCTGTTTTATGCCTTTTTTTGCCTACTTAGACGTATATTTAATTTTTCTTAATTTTATGTCGTCTCAAAGTTGTCCAATAGCGATACGTACTGTTATAATACGTTAACAAACTATTTAAAAAAGTTAAGACAAAGTTAAGAAAAGATTAAGAGAACTTAAGAAAATGTTAAAAATAGATTAACTAATGTTGACTCAAAGTCAAGGAAAGTCTAAAATAAGTTAAACAAAAACTAACAAAAGTTAAGACAGACTTCAAACAAGTTATATTAAAATTAAGTAAAAGTTAAACAAAAATCAAGATTTGGTTAAATTTTATTTGAAAGTACACTTAGAAAGCACTTATCCTCTGCTAAATAAACGTTAATAAAGGCTAAAAACAAAAAACCAAGAAAACAGTATTATTTCAGCGGATGTATATCAGAACAATGAAGGTGTGTACTGGAAAAAGACCAGTTATGAGTAAAAACCGGCGATCAGCAGCTTACAAGAAGCATAGTTTCTAGAGATTCAAGATTTTGATGCAATAAACAAGGCACTTGTCTTTGATGCAGATGATTGCCGTGTTTTAGGGCGTTGTGAGTTGTATACGACAAAGGCAGGTGCAAATTGAGGATATATAGCACAGTATGGTGTTAACAGAGGGCTTTCAGGCTGCAGGAAGCGATAAGAAGCTTTATAAAGCGATTGACAAGTCGCTGGAGAGTCGTTATCAGGACGATCTGGCGTTTGGGCGATCCTTGGAGTCCAGTTCGGTTATACCTCAGGAACCATCACCATTTGGGCCACTAGACCACCCATTTTCACGCAAAACATTTGCATATATTGTGGCAACACTAAATGCATCTCATCCAGATCATGATTTTAGTAATTTGCAGCCACAGGACTTTCGTAAGGAGCGCTCGCTGGCGATGACGCTAAATATGTTGAATACAACATTGCTTAACCTAAGCCGACAGAGGTTTGCAACATGTAGTCTGTGGGAGGTGATTGACAAGCATATTGACTTGTCACAGTGCGATATTTATGTATACCAGCCTGACAGTGACTCAGACCCGTTGGGAAGTGATGGGTTGATATGGAGCACATGTTATTTCTTTTTTAACCGTGCTATGAAGCGTGTTCTTTACATTAATCTCAGTACAGTCTCAATTCAACGTTCAAGACGTGTAGATGACGAACTAGATGATGACGACACTCTTTCGAGTGAGAAAGGGTATATGTATAGCGAGTATGAGCATGATATTGCTAGAAAGATGGATGTTTAAATGGGGCTGTTAAAAATATTGATTTTCTTTAAATTCTATTTGAATTCCTTTGTGGTTTTTTATTAATGATTTACGGCTTTTGTGTTAAATAGTTTGTTATTGTATATTTTTTGATTCAGTGGTATTTATATTAAATAATTTGAATTTATACCCTTTATTAATAAAATTAAATAATAAATATTAGTAACAGAGATATAGTTTAGTATGCTTTATTAAAATGTTTAGAGCTGAATTTGAGGACTTTACTGCTCAAGTGAAATAGATATATAAACATTAACAATGTAGCGGGTATTATTGTAATGTATGAACTGATTCATCTAGATCTTCCTTCATCATTTCTTCACAAAACGTTTCAATGGAATCTATTGTTTTTTCTTTATTTTTCATAGCATTGGTCTCTTCACGTGCACAAATACCTTTATAGACGCCATTATATACTTTTTTTTGTTCCAATTTGCTACGAATTCTTGCTATAAGTCTTCTTGTCTCTCCAAGTGTTGCTAAAACTTGTGCTGTATCATCTTTATTTTTTGCTGCTTGTTGCAATAGATTATATATAGATTCGTAAAATAAATGTTTTTGACGTAAATTCTCTAATGCTGCTGCAAGAGAGATAAGTTGTGCACGGCTGCTTAAATATCTGTTAAATGGAATATAATTAGCCCTTTAATTACTATGTTTGTGTTTAATTATATATATCCACCTTTCATTACTTGCTTCATCCGCTGATGGCCAGACATTCGGTAACTCCTCAATATTACTGATATTCATGTTAAAACAACAAAATGCCTGAATAAAGCTTTACCTAAGTGAAAATTGCATTTGATACAATGGCGTCTCTTTTGGCTTGTATAATTTGTCAATTTGTTCAGCAACATGTCTTACTGCTTGAGAGCTAAATACGACTCGCTGGTGTTTGCGGAATAATACATTTACTATATATACATTAGTAGCATAGCTAAAATATGCTACTAACAGCGATAAAGAGCATGTTTAACTGTTGTTTCTGATAATTCGTTCTCATATTCATCCAACTTTGTATTTTCTCGCCAATTTTGTGGTAAATTAAATGGCTGTGAAAGCAGCCGTAATTGTGATTCTATAAAAGCTTTTTTATGTAAATAAACAGAGTTTTGCATGAATAAAACAGCTTTAAAAATTAGTGTTGCTTTTGTGTATCGAAAATACGAAAGAAAAATGGCAAAGAAACGATTAAGAAATACAAAAAAAGTATGAATTTTAATTTTACTTATAGGGGAGCGTTAGCCAAAAGCTTTGCATAAACTATAAAAGAATACATTCTGTCAAGATTCTCCGTATTATATCCTTTATATACCTTTAAAATACTAAATCGGACAAAACCATTCAAAAAAAAAATCAAAATGCACCCATCATAAGTATTTTAGTTTTTCTTTTCTCTAGATGTTGACAAGGAAGTGCTTTCAAATTTAATAACTTTATTGCATCGGTTTCACAAAACGGTTTGCCATTGATATCGAAATATTCATCATTTAGTTGTTTTTTACATGACTATTGAACATGAGTAAGCACGTGAAATAGGATCAAATGTTTGCTCACATAACATTTAAAACAATAAAAATGGTATTTTCCATCCGTTTCTGTTTGAAAGTATTTTCCCTCTATACCCTCCCCACATGCAACACATAAAGAATTGTTTAGGATGTGATAATGTTTTGCACAAAACGGTTCACCTTCAAAGACATAGACTTCTGAAGAGGTGAACAAAATTTGGCAGTTCTAAATCGATTTAGAATTGTGAAAAAAGTGGAAAATGTATAATGTACTGGTTCAAAGCATTTAAAGCATTCACGATGAAATCGACCCAAAATTTTGCCATCTGAACATCGAATGGATTTGCCTTCGATGGATTTATTGCATCTTCTGCAATGAAAATTCGAGTTATGTTTATCGTTGATTGAATCTTTTTGGTAATTATTTTGGGGTATAAGTGTATCGCCAGGGCGAGTGTAAAATGTACAAAAAGAGCTTTCCATACTATTAAGTACTTTGTCAAAGGGTTCGGCGTGCAAATCATTCTTAGAAATGTTTTTGTATTCTCCTAAAAGAGTGTCTGAAATAGAAAGATCGGAATTAGGACCTAAATGCATCATTAATCAATACACTTAACCCAGATACCGATATTCACTTGATATAGAAAACAGAGATATTTTTTCATCTCTACTAATATTACTTGAGGTAGAAAGTGTTGTCGAAAAAATAGTGGAATTGCTGTCTCGTTCAAAGAAATACCCATATCTACTACTGCTAGATGATTTTTTATCATTAAATATTCTTGGATACGTATTTTTCGAAACATGTTCTTGAATTGATGTAACAGGATTTGGTGTTTTTTCAATAAACTTTGAAGAAAGCTCTTTATCTCGCCGTGCCCACTCTAGCAAATGTTTTTCGCTATTTTCATCCGGAAATTTAGATTCTTTCTTTAAACCATGTGATGAATGATAATTCAACTTATCATTCTTCCCTTTTTTCAATTTCTCCGCTATTTGGTGGTTTTTCTCCCCCCTATACTCTCTTAAATTCGACCGATCTTTCAATGTTGATGCTTTTTCATTATTCTGATACACAGGCGACAAAATCCCCTGTTCATGCCCTGTATTTACACCTCCTTCACCTATTTCTTGTGATATTTTTCTCTTATAATTCTCCTTCGTCGGTGATACATTAAATTCATGCATTGATTGATTTAATATACCATTTGCCCGCCGACATGATGGAGACCGTCCTGTAAACATTTTAGGACTTTTATTCTGTGTTCCTTGCTGTAAAAATAAACTTCCTTCCGAATGACCTGATTCTATGTATTTTGTTTCTCCTGTATTCGAATGACTACGTAGTCCTAATGGTCCCGGCATCACTGCATTCAAACGCTCAAAAACTTGCCGTTTTTTCTGAAGATATTCTTTGCTTTTTACTGCATTATTATATGCAAGTTCATCTGATGACACAGATTTGTTGTGAGTTGAGGGATACAGAAACATCTCATTTACTATACTCGCTACTCAAAAGTTAGACGCATATATGCGCGCATATACCCCGTTATCTTGCACATACTTGATCTTAGAGGCGAATTAGACCCATCTGGCAGCGAGGACGAATATGAATAGTCTTTAGATGCATCTTTGCATGCTCCTTGCTAAGTAAACAAGGCGCCAAAATACGTTTTTTTGCACTGTACCCTTTGTTTTTTCGCATATATGCTCTCCCATCTTTGATAATTCAACATAATTTTCACAATTGGAGCATTTTATAGACGGTAAAATGCTGCTTATCCGCAGCTTTGATATGGATGTCATTATTTAGCATTTACTTGCAATTTGTTAGAAAAATAGCCAAATTCTAAGGAAAATAGGAGTTCAAATACTTAATATATCGGAATATATGCATATAATTTTTCTTTTTTTTCATACAAAACCCACTTTAAGCGTGTCGTTTCTTTGTTATGTTCATAGAAAGGTTCACCACGACTCAAAGAGCTTTCGCGTCGTAGCCCAACAAGGGCTTAAATAAGCTGTCTAAAAAAGATACACAAAAACGTGCTGAAAATGAAGATAATGGTTCTTTTGTATGTAGAAAACCTTTATTTTTTTATATTTTCTTCGTTGTTTCTTTTTTAACTCTCTTTTCTTTGTTTTGTTTTTCTTATCTTTATAAATATATATTTCTTTATATCGATAGGTAATTATAGATTAAAGGAACACCATGCTTTGGCACGGACGCAGAATGAGGGAAGCAAAACAAAAGAAAAATGTAAGAAAGGAACTATTTTTGTGCACATATGGGGCATTAGAACGGGCTGTTTATGGGGAAAGCGTTTGAGTGTATTTTTTGAGAATTGTGAAATGGGGACTATAAAGAGGTGGAAGAGACGAGGGATGAGAGAGTATTTTTGTAATATTGGAAAACGCATTTTTGGACAAGCAGCAGCCAGTTTTATGCACGATGGATCTATAAATAGTAGTTAGTTTTCTGAGGGATTCAGGTGCCTTAGAATGAATTTTGTATATACATATGTTTGAATGGAGAGCTAAAAAAAATACAAAAAAATGGAGGAAAAAGAGTGTTTTTTGTTCCCAGTACTGTCCTAGAATGCCTTATGTGCATCTTGCTTATATTTGTGGGGCTTGACCTGAGGATGTTTCATTTAGGCGGATAAAATCTGTAGTGGAGAGCCAAGGAATGCTTTTTTTGAAACAAAAAGCTGAAAACAGGTAAAAATACTCGCATGAATCTTTATATATCTTTAATTTTGCGTCCTAGTGCCGATCTGTGCTTGTTCCCTAAGATTTCTGCTTTATTGCAAAATCAAAGTTTGATTTTTGGTACAAAAAACAGCAGAAAAAGCCCCAAGCCATAGGACTTAAGAAAATATATAATATCCAGAATGTTTGAAAGCAGAATCTACCATGATTTATGTTCTTATTTCAAACTTTCGTCGATCCATAGGACACTGTCCCTTAGAAGACTCTGTATTAAGCCATTTCATGATGCAATGAATATGAAAAGCATGGTTACACTTTCCCCAGACTTATATTGTTAAAACATGCCTCTAAGATTTGTTTTTACCAATTGGACAATCATCTCCAGGCATTTTGCAATCTGGACAACATCCATCAAACGGAACTCGGCAAATCCCGCATACTTCATCTGAAGGCACATTCCAATGCCAACTTGCAACAGCGTGCCAGCCTTTAGAATAATTATTTTTGTTTAAAAAGACAGATCTAATGTTTACTTATAATATTGACTTTCATAAAATGGTTGAACGGTTAATAAATACAATAAAGTACTATATTGCTAGTTTTTAATGTATTTCTAAAAGATATTTAAAGAATATTGTGTTTTTCTTAAGTATTTTTCGTTTTTTTAATAATTTTAGAAGATTTTTATGAATATAAATTTAATCGTAATATTTTGATATATAAAACGATATTTTATGGACATCTAAGGCTTAATAATGTTTAATAATATATTAATATATATTAATTATATTAATAAGATCTAATAATGCAAAACAATGTATTAATATGCATTAGAAAGAACTAATGCGTAATGTATTAATATTCTGATATATATTATGTGTAAAAGTGATATGATCAAAAGTATTTATAAGTTAACATTTAAAATTCCGAGAGTATCTTCAGCTTTTTCAATATCTTCTTGTGTATCTTGCTGTGAAATAGTTTTAAGAATGGCTTTTTTACTGCTTTCCTGCATTTCTCCAGCCATAATCAATTCATCAAGAATAAAATATGCTTTTTGAAAATTAAAAATAATATCCAGCTCACACACCTGAAAGTGTTATAAAAACGCACAAAAAGTGTTGCTTTATGTATATTTACATTGCCAAAATATCGGTCAAGTGCCTCAACATAACGATGAATAATTTCCAAAGTAATTAGTTCATTATCTGTTTGTTCAATACCAAGAATAAAGAAAAGAGATGCATAGCTAGATTTATATTATTATACATAGTTTTGTATACACAATTTGATTTACCGACGGTAACATATTTTTTCATCTAAAATGTTTATTATTTCAAGGAAAAATTGTACAAAAAATATATACATACCTTTATATTCTAAAAAATTACATGTTTTTGATCTTCTTTGAAGAACAATCTGTGAAACATCTTTTAAAATTCTTGATTTTTCTTTTAAACTTAATGTTGTAAACCATTTAACAAGTCTGATTTTTCCTTGTCTGTTAATTAAAAAAATATATGAAATACTCATTTCAAATGCTTTGTTTTTTATATCTTTAATGTTTCATTTCTTATTAACCTGTTTTAAGCTTTATTTTAAGCTGATTATAATCAAAGTGTTGGGATGATGTTACCGTGCAAACGGTTCACTATGAAAAATAATAATTTAAAATATATATATAAGAATATAACATATTGCAATATAATTATAAGCTATGTTATAAAAATAGATGTAATGTATGTTTTGTTTTGTATGAACGTTGAGACTTAAATCTGATAAAAAATTATGTATTTTGTATGCTTATATGGTAAAAAAAGAATGAATTGATTTATATATATTCTATTATTTTTAGTATATTTTATTACATATTTATCAAGATTGTCAAGACTATTTTGTTTTAAAGATAATTTTTTATGCCTGTTTTTACTGATATGATTTTTATTTTTTAATTTGTAGAAAATGATGATAGAGACAGTAAATTAAAATATCTAGTTCTTATACGTTTTTTCGCTTTTCTTTTTAGTTTTTCTACATTTTAATAACGATATATGTATTGATTGATGAAGAGCTTTGAAAATGTAACAGTTAAAAAAGCTTTTTGGAATACTTTTAGTTATAAAAATAAAGTTTATAAAAAATAATATGTTGTTTTAATGTTTTCAGCCAATAATATTTCGTTTTCTTCCCCTTAACCTGACTAAAAATAAGAAAAAAGGTTTTGGTAATGGAAAAAAAACAGTTTACCTTCTTCTAGCCGACGTAATACATTTTTTGAACCCTTCCATGACTCTAAATACCCTTCTAGTATATATTTAAGCTAAAAAGTCAGTCAATGAAGAAGCACAGATATTTGTTACTAAAAATTCACTTTGTGGGTGTGTGCTTTGAAATGTCCGTTCTAAAACATACAGGTCTACTGCTTTATCTTCAATTATATGTGTTACACAACCAAGACCAAAGTCAATAATTACAATTTTGTCATCCTCCGTTAACTCTAAAGATAAAGATGATTGTTGGTAAGATGGTAAGCGTATTATAATATTGCTGGTTGTTAAATCACCATGAACAACATCAAGCTGATGCATTTTCCCAATATTACGGCCAATAGATACCATAATTAATTTACAATCTTGTTGATATGGCCGTGTATTGTTTTCCCAGTATAAAAGCTCGTCTTTTAATGTTTTTCCTTCAATCCATTCAGTCCAAAGTTCACCTTTTTTTACATCTACAAAGTAAAGAGCTGGACAGCTAATTCCTCCTTTATAACACTTATATAAGAGCCTTGCTTCTACATGAATTCTATGTTTTCTTAAACGTTCGTCTAGAACAGGGTGTCTATAGGGCTTAGCAAATCGAATTTTCAAAAGACATGGTATTCCAGGAAGAAACAATGTTTTATATGTTAAAGACTCTGCTCCTTGCTTAATCAAAAGTCTTTCTGGATTCTCTTCCATGATTTAAGATGATTAAGAAGCTTATACGGTGGGCGAGATAAGTTGATATTTTTTACAATAAATATATTTAAAAAAGATAAAACTAGTTCCAAATACCAAGAAATAAGTGTAATTCTTTATATGTTAATTATGCAAAAAAGTAAAGAATAAAAATGAGAAGATGGTTAATTGTAATGCAAATGATAATTAAGTATCAAGCTTTGATAGGTATTCGGTTGCTTTTGGGCAATGTATATTTAGCAAATGCTTTGTTTGCATTAGATTTATAGAAAATTATATAATAGCAAAGATTACCTCTTGACAATGATTTTTTAACACTTAATTTTTGAGCACTAATAAAAGAATCAACAATTACTTTAATAGCAGAATCAATATGTTGTGTTTTAACATATTCGGAAAGATGCATTTTAGCAAACTAAATAAATAAACAATAAGAATGGGGTTTGAAAGGATTGTTACCGCTTCGCTTATTCGAATAATTGATTCTAAATGGCGTACAGTAATAGGATATGATCCGGTTGCTAAGGATTCTCGTCTCATATCGCTATATAATTTGGAAATTTTATCTTGATCCATCTGATGAAGTTTTGGATGCACGCGTTCTCTAGCGTATATTATATATTTTCGTAATAAATCCTGAGGTATTGGCTCAATTGAGTCTTTAGATTGTTCAGAATGAGTCAAATTTGTAGTAGAATTGTAATGAGGATGACTTTTTAGATGGGATCCGATGACAAATTTTGCTAATCTTTCGTCTCCTTCTGGATCTACTGTATCTTTTACAACATTTAAAATATCAAACCGAGATAATATCGGCTCTGTAAGTTCAACATTTTGACTAAAAGGTATTGTTGTATTATATCTACCACCTATAGGATTTGCAGCTGCTAGTATTGCGCATCGTGCTTGAAGTGTTGTTACAATTCCTGCTTTAGAAATTGAAATAGACTGCTGTTCCATAGCTTCATGAATTGATGTTCTTCGACAGAGTAAATAAATTAAAATAACATAAATTTTAATCACCTATCTTTGTCGTTCATTTTATCAAACTCGTCGATTAAGCAAACACCTCTATCTGCAAGGACCAATGCTCCACCCTCTAAAGTCCATTCTCCTGTTACTGGGTCTTTTCTTACACTAGCAGTTAAACCAACAGCACTTGCTCCTTGGCCTGTTGCAAATACTGCTCTATGTGCTATTTTTTCAACATATTTTAAAAACTGAGATTTTGCAGTACCAGGATCACCTAGCAAAAGCACATTGATATCTCCACGAATACTATGTTTACCATTTATATCTTTTGGCACACCACCAAATAAAGAACATGCAATTGCTTGTTTTATATCATGATGCCCATAAATAGAAGGCGCAATAGATGCAATAATCTAGTATTATTAAACAAAATATAAAAAAACAACAAAATATTACTCTTTTATCTATATTTTCAGTTTTAGATAACTGTTTAACAGCTTTTTCATCTTCTTCTGTTAAATTAAATGCAGAAAACTGATCATACATTTTATTGATATGATTAGCTTCAATAATTGTAGCAAAAACAGGAAATCCATTTTTTACGTTTAATGATGCATCGAAATTATTCCTATAAACCCCTGTAACTTCAATTTCTTCGCCCGGTTTTGCACTATCAATTAAATCCCATAGAAGAATAATTTCTCTATGACGTGGTAAACGACCTGGAGAAATAGTTCCAGGGCTTTCTTGTAATGTCATTTTTTGATAATTCCTATATATTGTTTTCTCTGAATTTAAAGAGAAAGGTCCTTTACTTTGACAGTTGTGGCAAAATCCTATTTTTATTTCCATGTTACTATCTTGAGAAAATGGACCGAGGATAATTCCACATTTTTGACAATTAAATTTAACATATTTAAGTTGAGGAAATACACCTGTACGTCGAGTTACTACACCCGAAACTTTGATAAGACAATTAAGATGTGCTTGTCGTAATTCCCCAAGTTTAAAGGTTTTAGGTAATCCTATAATACGAACATGAATTTCACTATGGATACGCTTATAATCAGGATAATGCAAAAGAGTTGCTTCCATAGCCACTCTATCAAATACAGAAAGAACTTCAAAAGGCGAATGGACAAGAAAATACGCTAATACTGCTTTGGACTCCGAAAGATGTGTATAATTGATTTCAAGACTTTCTGAATTCATTTCTCCAAGAGTTCGAATACGGTTACCATAGACTGATATGCCTTTGCTATCAGTATATTCGAGAAGAAAAGCTCTGAATTCACGTGAAATCGCTCGCTGTACTGGTTCCATCAATACCCATTCGCTCATTGAATCTGCTTTAATATCTAGAAGTGCATCTAAAGTAAGCTCTTCATCAACAAGTTCCTCATTCATGTCATCCTGACGATCATCATAGTAACGTCTACGCCTACGTATCACAGAAAAATCAAGTGGATCATCATCATCTTTAATTATATTAAAATTAAATCATTTACATAAATTATACTACCGTCTTGAAGAAATGCTGCAGTTTTATGTATTCCCTTTGCACGTTCAAGCTCTTTGTCACGTCTTCTGAGCTTAGCTTCGACTTGTCTACGCAATGCTGGGTCCATTGCTTCATATTCTCCCTCATCATCTAGTTCCTCAATATCATATTGATCAAGTTCCAAATTTTCCATGTAATCTCTTAACAAAGATATAAGATTCTTATAGTCTATAATAAGACCTTATTCCAAGGCCTATGAAGCACATACCGTTCCATATTTTCTCCAAAAAGATCTTCTCCATCTTCTTCTTCAGCTGCTTCATCTAAATCATCAATCATATCATCAATTAAAGCCTCGTTTTCAGAAATATCAAGTCCACTTAGCATTGGAGGACTGCTTGGAGGCAAAGAAGAGGGAAATGCATTCATTGAGTCATCATTTGATACAGGTATTTCTGAATCATTTCGTGTACGTTTACTTGACTTATTTTTTATCAGAAAAAGCGGATTTTTTTGTAGAAAAAACATACCATCTTAAAAATATTGAATAAAGTACTGTTTCTATTTCAAAATATGTACTTTTTCTTTATTTTTAAGTCTAAAATGAATATTTTTCTTTATAATAATAAAAACTGACGTTGACACGATTCACGCTCGAACGTGCTTTTTGAAAAGGCTAAGATGTTAGAAAAAGAAACAGATAGAAATACTGATCAGGACTCTCAAATAGGCTCTGAAATGAGTCTTCTTGATTACATTGAGGAACAATCTCAATTGTGCGTTTTTCCGCTTCAAAAATACTGATTTTTGCCTATTTTTCTAATATTTATTGATTTTAATATTAATACAGGGAAGAAGAAGCCAGAGAAAGTTTACCATACAATTTTGATCACTGTACATACGATCGTCGTCTTCGCCAGCCTCTGTATATTTGTAAAACATGTTCTCCAGCAAAAAAAGAGCTTCAAAAAGGCGGTATTTGTTATTCTTGTAGTATTCAATGCCATGGAGGTGGTTAAATTGAAACATTATTAAAATATTTTTTGATTATTTTCAAGAACATGAACTCATTGAGCTTTTTTGCAAGCGTGATTTCCGTTGTGATTGTGGAACTGATAGACTTGGAACAGAGATGTGCAAGATCCGTAAAGAATGGTCGCCTATTGATACTGATAATCAATATAATCATAATTTTGAAGGGAGATTCTGCTGGTATGCTATTTTCCTGCTTTTCTTGTATTTCTCACTTGAATAACTATTTATAAGGTGTAATATTGAATATGATCCTGCAACCGACCAGCGTACAATGTTTCAATGTCTTCTTTGTGAAGACTGGTTTCATGACCAATGCATAGGAATAGAAAGCATTCCAAATGATGAAGACTCTGACTTATTTATCTGTCGAACATGTGTAAAAAAAGAGTCATGGCTAAAAAGATATGTAAATGTAAAAGGATTCCAATGGAATAAGAATGAGAAGGAGTACAGTGAAGACAAAGCACAAAGGGACATATTGAATACAACAATTAATGTTGATCGGAATTTTGAAACACAAAATTCAAGTGAATCTTGGGAAAATAGAAAACGAGAAATGAACGACAATGATTCGATTAAATTTCCAGCAAAAAAATTTAAAACACAAGACTATACTTTAATATCTTGTTCTTGGGAAGCCTTACCATCAGGCCCTGAAGAAGATATATCTCTTTTTCTTTCAAAAGACTTTAGGCTTTATATGTGTCATTGTGTCCAAGTAAATTCGTAAACCGACTTTTATAGAAGTATTGAACTTAGTAGTGTCTCTCTTTAATGGGAAAAAATCCTGTGTTGCTAGCTGAAGAGGAAACATATCAACCGCCAGAAGACGAAGATGATGGTAAACAAGATTTATATATGTATATATTCCTTAACTCTGCCAATAGCTGAAAGCTTAATGAATGCCGGTATTCGAGTGTTAAATACTCTTCCTCGGGTCCAAGCAATCGAGGGTATTATTGCATATAATCATATAAAAAATGCATTAAGTAAATTCCTACGACCGTATGCAGAAGAAGGAAAGGTTGTTACAGAAGATGCTATTCGTGAATTTTTTGAAAAGCAAAAGGAAGAAAAGGCATCCAATATACTTAACGCATATAAGGATACGACTTTTAAAAGTAAATAATATCATAAACCATATATTCTTTAGCCTGGTTCTACATTAAGAAAGGTTCCCAAAAATATATTGCCACAAGATTAGGCTCTTAAGATATACTCTTCAGAATAACCCTGCAAAAAATCAGTATAAATAACACCATGTCTGCTTATTACAGAATAAGCTAGGAATAATATCAACTCATTATGCATTCTATGATACTAGTGTTAAGTGCCTTATGCGAAATGAACTTGGTTTTTATTTTAATTTGATATATTTGCAATCCCAAAAACTCATAATTTTCCAAAAGGCGTAAGTTCTTGTAAGTCCTTTACAAGATTGCGTACGTTATGTAGGTATTTTGCAAGCATTGATTCTTTTTCCTCGGTGGAGCGGCGTATATCAAGCTTTTTATTCGTTATAGGCCCAGAAAATACGGGCTCCGGAATAAGATAAAAATAAAGAAATTCTGCAATTTTAAACCTGAATGGATAATAAACAACCGGACATAAGCATGGATTGGCCATACTTGACTTTTTGCGACGAATTTTTGGATTTCATAAGAGATGCCACTGATGCTAAACCGTCCAATGACTCAAATACCTAGCACACATTTACAATTTTGCATAGACAGAGCCATATTCTACCCGAACATTATCCCACCGATCAACTAATGCCGCCACCAGTGTTGCAAGCGTTGCAATATGCACATCTGGCTCCAATTGCGGCTCAAGGAGATCAAGTAGAATCTATAAAATATTAATACAACCCTTTTTCCGCAAACCATACATTCATATTAATATGACGTGTAAAAAGGCTCCGTGATGCTGGGTGCAAAAGCAGACTTCCTTGCAGCAGTTCCAGCGTATGACATATATGTGATGAAACTGCACGACCTAAAGCCAATATAAGCATTTGCTCCCAAATATGCAGAATATGTCTCCAAAACAACAATATACGCCATCTGCACTGTTTGTGTATGTATACACAACAATTCCCTGTATATTCTCTGTATAGACAGTCCAGCGGGTGTATTGTGCTAAAGTGTATATATACAATATATACAGTACATACAGTGTATACAGTATGCATACAGTATATACATATATACTGTGTACACTGCACACTCTGCGCTGTATACAATATACAGTCATAGTATATATGTATAATAATGCATGCAGCATATACATATATACAGTATATATAGCACTCCCAATATGCACCACAATGCACACAGCATGCACTACACGTCCTGTATGCGCCTTGTATGCATTATATGCATTATATGCGTTATGTATGCGTTATGTATGCGTTGTGTATGCACTATATATGTGACATGCGTCATATATGCGCTGCATGCGCCACATACTTGTCTCCTTCCCAAGCAGCCGCTCAAGACACGCAATTAGCTGTGTTGCAACTAGAACCATCAGCCCTAACCCTCTACCGCTTCTGTATGTGCCGTTAAGCTCAAACCCGTCCTGCAGCCGGCAAAACTCGTGTAGTCCGGGCTGTCCTCCCAAGCACAGCTCAGCCATGAGCTCCTCAATGCTGCGCTGGCCCTCCCGCATGCTTAGCGGGTCGTACGAGGACAAGTGGTCGAATGCATCGCTCAGAATCCGCCGTATACGCGTCTCTGCGCCGCCTTCTTCGCCGTCGCTGCGCCGCTCTGCCTGGGCCGACTCGTCCATGCCGGCTCCGACGCCGCCACCGCCCAAATAGTGCCCACGTGAATGTCACGTGAACCCTTTGCAGATCACGTGATTCATGTATAAAGTCACGTGATCTATGTGGTGTCACGTGAAATACACTTTAAGTCACGTGCTTTGGTGTGATTCCACGTGACCTCTGTGTGAATCACGTGACACGGCGCTCGTCTGTGGTGACGGGTTTTTCGGTACACCGTGAGCGACACAGCAAATGGTGAGTCGGCAGAGCAACGGCGCAGCGGCTGACACAGACAGGTGAATATCCCAAAGCTTAGGAGGACGTTTTGTAAGGGCAAAGAATGCCGGCGACACACGCAGCACAAGGTGACGCAGTACAAGAAGGGCAAGGACTCTCTGTACGCGCAGGGGAAGCGGCGGTATGACCGCAAGCAGCGGGGATACGGTGGACAGACGAAGCAAATTTTCCGGAAAAAAGTAGGTTTTGGGAGGTTCCAGGGCTTTGTGACATTTCTAGGCAAAAACAACGAAAAAAGTGGTTCTCAAGCTTGAATGTACCGTCTGCAAACATAAAACACAGGTGCCGCTGAAACGCTGCAAACATTTTGAGGTAAAATATACATAAATAAGTATTTGGCTGATAGAAAAAGCTTGGCGGTGATAAAAAAACTAAAGGAGCAGCACTTGTTTTTTAAACGGGATAAGTGGTGCAGTATAGGTATTATATATGGGGTATGATGTTGGGCACTATATATGTATAATATATATCTTTTGGATCTAATGTCTATATTGTTTGTCTTTTGAGCCTATATACGTGTATAAAATATAAAAATACATGTGCTATTTGCTCGAATAGTGATATATGATGTATAAATATAGCAGGAAACAGTCTTCTAAAGGAGTGGTAGAATAGTATTAAAACAATGCTAAAATAATGAAACGATACATTCAACACTACAATGAATGTTGAAGATATAGTGTTTTTTGCTCGACAGTATTTTGATTGATTTTAATTGCCAGCATAGCAGTGTTCCCAAAGACGTGATGCATGGTTAACAAGGTTCGTGTGTTTCTTAAGCGCGCACATCAGTGTATTGTCGGGCAATTGCGTCGACAGCACGAGATATGTATAGGCAAACAGTGTTGCATCGATAAAGGTCGGGTTTCTATAGCAACTTGTTAGCTTGTATACACCGATACACTCGTAGCAATGCCAGTCGACTGCTATACAGTCCTACACACCGGGTCTGTTATTTTGCATTATAGAGACATTTAGACCCAGGTAAAGGACTTGTCCTATTTAAAAACACTTGGTTCTTACTCTGCACCAAAAAACCATGTATCTTGACCAAGACGCATTGCAAGTGCCGAAAGCGCATGAGACGCATCTGCATAAATCTAGTCTGTATTAACAGTGCATTTTCCGTCCAAAATCCACTACTTCTCGTGTATTTAAAAGGCCTGTTTTTTGTCTGCCCGAGAGACGCTTTTTAATTTGTCTGCTAAGCTGCCACTTGAGGATTCCACGCAATGGCCATGCTCCTGTAACATACCGCGGACCCCCCACTTTTTCAAAGTTTTCTCGCTCCATAAAACATGTATATAACTATCAAGCATGTTATTCCTGTTTTCTCTTCATTTCATGTATATTTTTCGTGTTGTTTCTACGCTCTTTAAGCTTTATAAATATACATCAACATATATTCCATCGATATATATTAGTATATATTGATATATCTCATCACCAATGCATATGTTTGCTATTTTCCGCGTATACTCTCTCGTCAAACACATTTCCACTGCCAACGCTTCAGAGACACTGTACTATATATCTATATACAGTGCTATATATATACATATATATACAGCTATATACTGCTATACAAATACATACAGATATACAGTGTATATACATATTACACATATATACATTCTATGCACATTACACACTGTATGTACAGCATATACTGTATGCACTATATCTACTGTATGCACTGTATATACTATATATGCTTTATATACTGTATATACTCTTCCTACAGTGTACATAGTATATATAGCGAGCATACATGCTCTGCTTAGAACAACACTTATTCAACTTACCCATGCGTCATAAAGCACATTTTCAATAAGTGATAAGTAACTGTCTGCATCTGCAGCCAATGCTGTATTTCCTGCAAATGGATGTAACTCTGCACCATGACGTGCAAGCCATAGACGTCCTTCGGCAGACGGGAGCGCATATACTGCAGAATGCGGGCTGTTTGCAGCTCCAGCAGTGCAGGATGCGCTGCCAGTGTCTGCAGGCGCAGCAGACGGCACAGATGCACCATTCAGTGCCTCATTTGACGGATTATATGCGTTATATATCGGGTTATATGCGCTGTTTTTTTCTGTCTCATGTATATTTGCTTGTAATATAGACTGAGTATTCTGAGTATTGCTAGCTGCAACGAAAAAAGGCAGTGTGCCAGAAGGAGAAGCATGCGGTGATGCAGAAAGAACAATATGTGGAATACCAGTAAGCAGTAGAAAGGTTTGCCAGCGCAGAGACTCGAGATCGTATGAAGGAGCACCATGGGGTGTATGTGGCTCGTATGCAACAAATAAGTGGTGACGAGAAGTGTCAATAGGGGAATTTACTTGGAGAGATGGGTATTGTATGCAGGGAAACTTTTCGAAAAGACGGGCAACGATTGGAGGCGCGTGTATCATTAGCAGAGTATCGTTGGGGGTTTGTGTGGGGGTTAGGAGGTGCATATACACGCATATACACGCATATATAATGCATATATAGCGCATATATATACTGTATAACGCATATATGCTGTGTATACAGTGCATATAGCGTATACAATGCATATAGTGTGTATACAGTGCGCATATATGCAGCAAACAGGTGGAATATGAGGATAAAAAGGCATCAGAGGTATTTTATGCAGAGTATTTGAGCAAAATGTGGTTTATGTGTGCTTGGAAGGGCATAGTCAGCATTGTATTTGGGGCTGAAAAACGCATATATATGGGGAAAATTTGTGCAAAGTATAAAAATATACAAAAGTATAGTTTCTGTGGGGATTATGTATATATACAGTACATATAGTCTATACAGTGTGTACAGTGTATATAATGCATGTTGTGTGTATACAGTATATATACATAGTATATACTATATACGCTGTATTTGAAAGGATTCAGTGGGACAGATATACAAAATATATTGAAGAATCTTAAATAATGGGGCTTAAACAGGTTGATATTATAAAAAAGACATGATTGGAATACTAGATGGAAATCAAGTGAAAATGATATATAACAAGGGAGGAACTATGTCGTAGAAAAGATGGGATTTAGTACTGAGGGATTTGGGACTTATTGATGAAGAATATTACAGTAATGTATTGTTTATTTTTTATATTATACTGGTAGATATGGGGATATTTGTGAAAATGGATGTATTGAAAAGGAAACAATTATGAAAGTCTGAATGATGAATGTATTATTGGAAATATAGTGATAGTCTATGAAAGTATGGTGATCTTGAGTACAGATTTTAGGGTTAAGAGTGTTTTTGAGAAATAGATTAACAGTAATGTTGGATTTATACATGGATCTATGACTAGAGCAGTCTATTTTAAGGATGTTGTTTTTCTACGGTTAAAAGTGTTTAAAATGAACAAGTATAAAATTTGTATGCAAAGAGTTGAGAATTAAATAAAAAGGCGTTTAAAAGAGGTACAGTTTCATGTAGTCCTAATGCTTTAAAAAGGAGAGCAATTTTTTTTACGAGATACCAAGTTAAAAGACATTTTTATATATAAAAAACTGCAAAGTATATTTGCACTTTATCAAAAGTGGATAAAATTGTCTATTAGTAAAAAATTAAACAAGTTAAATTTATTTTACAAACATTAACTTTTTGTTTAATTTTCGGAAATGGCTAGTTTTCTGATTATTTTTCATTTCTAATGTAAGTATTGTGCAAATTTTTTGATAAAATTCTTAATAATTTTATAATTTAGATAGATATAAGCGAAAATACAGAAACGCCAAAGCAAATAAATTTTTGAATAGAAATCAATTTTTTATATTTTAAAATATATGATTTTCTTATTTATATTTACGAATTTAAATATAATATTCATTTTGAAGAACTACACAGTAGATTTATTATTTTCTTAAAAATGCTCAAGTTTTGTTTTCATTTATACGTTCAATTTCATATTAAGAGTATTAAAAAGAAATTGTGTTGAATGGTTTATCAATGATTTTAAATTGAATCAGTTTCAACTAGTTATTTAAACTTGAAAAGACGTGATATTTTTTATTTATTAATCTTTATTTTTATACCCAAAACTAAAAAACAACTAAAACATTTATAGGATTTTTTTTAAAAATAATAAGTAAAAACATTTTAGGGCTTTAAAGAAATTCAGTATTTATTAGGATTAAAAAAGTATTTATTTGAATATAATGTTCAAATATGATATTTAGATATAATGTTTAGTATTGGTTAATTATTTAATGGTATCTTAACAATACATTTAAAATAGACATAATTTTTAATAGGATCAAAATTTTAAAATTATGGAAATTTTCGTAGATTTACATGCACACTAAAACTTAAACGTCAATATTTTATAATTAAGATGTTCTAGGTCTTAATTTTAATAACCCTAAAAGATTTGCATATAACTTTTGAAACCAAGTATTTCTAGAATACTTTAATATTCTAAAGTTATACATTTTATTTATTTTCTTTAATGGATCTTGTTAACTTCTATGATTTTAAACCTACGATTAACAATGAACCATATGATTTCAGTAAACTAAAAAACACTGTTGTTTTAATTGTGTTTGTTATCTTTATTCTTATTTAATGAAAAAATAATTATATCTATAGGAATGTAGCATCTAAGGTATTATATATTAGAATTGGATGTATCTAATAGTGTGTTAATATTTTATTTTTTAGTGTAGATTTACACCGTAAAAATAATATTTTTTTATCTCTTTATTCATTGTATTTTAGGCAATATTCTGAACTTGAGAAACTTTATCAGAAGTATAAAGATTCTGGTTTTGTATACTACTTTTATTTTATAATCTATTGTTAATAAGTTATCTAGTTAGTAATTGGATTTCCATGTAATCAGTTTGGTTAGAAATAGAATCTATTTTGATCTGTACTATTAACTTCCTATAAGGCAGCCAGGAACCAGGGTCATATGAGGGTATATCATTAAGACTTTGTATTTTGAAAAATCTGATTATATATATAGAAATTACTCGATTTTGTTCAGAGACATATAACATTACGTTCCCAATTATGGACAAAATTGATGTCAATGGCCCTAATTCTCACCCTCTTTATCTGTTCCTTAAAAAACAAAAGTAATTTTTTTATATTTTGGCTTTTTTTTATATGATTAGGGGTGGTTGTCTTGGTTTGTCTCGAATAAAATGGAACTTTGAAAAATTCCTTATTGATAGGAATGGGAATGTAATTTTTTATGTTTATTATTCAATTAAATCTAAATTGCTTTAGGTTGCCTCTCGTTATTCGTCAATAACAAGGCCTGATACAATTTCTTCTCAAATTGAAAAACTTTTAGAATAATCAGCCTTTGGTATTCTTATATCTTCTCATGCAAGAGCATGTTATTAATTATTTTATTATTTTTTTAAATTTACAACATTTATAAAAATACTTTTAATATTTTTGGATACAATTTCATAAAAATATATATATTTATTAATGAAAAAATATTTTATATACTTGTTTATATTTATATAAATATCTTTATTTCTTAATCATGTTTTTTACAAGTATTTTAAATTTCACTGTTTCTCAGGGCACATGTCTGTCGTTTGAACTTAAAAATTGCCGATCATTCTTTCAACGTCATTGAAACATTTTTTTATCATTTTATTGATTAATTCATTATTTTTTTCGGTATTTTGTTATATTTTTGATAAATTTTTAATATTTTTTAGTTTTTTTTATATAAATACCTTTTTTCAGCACTTTTTCAGCACTTTTCTAGTACTTTTTTATTGTTCTTAGTGTTTTTTTTCAATACTTTTGACAGATGTTTGAAGAAACAGAAGGTGGCCATTTGTGCACAAATAGACGTTAAATAACTCTTTTAGAGCTCATTGAAGCCAGAAATCACCTATATCAGGGCTGTTATACTCGATTACTTGATGAAACTACAAATAAAGTTATAGATAATCCTACAAACGAAAATTTTGACGATGCATCAACTGCTACTACTTTAGACTTGGCTTTGCATGTATTAAAAGGGCGTGCAAAGTGCTTATCAGGTGGTGCAAGTGAATTGTTATGGGAATTACGTGATGCTACATCACCAGCGTTGATAGCGTTACGAGGATGGGCACGTACATTAGAAGGAGATCCGGATGGTATAGATGAAATTTGCGCGTCTATAGATGCATTAGATGTGTCGGATTCAGATCCATCTGCTACTACAGTTCATATTCTTGCGGCTGCAGCACTTTTTTGTGCAGGACGGGTTGATGAAGCACGTACTGTACTTGGTCGTTGCACACATGTCGAAGCGTAAGTTAATTTTTAAGTGCATAGAAGCTATTTAGAAAAGTTGTTTAATAGCCATATTTTTATAACATTTTTCTAGTGTTTCTAATTATATTTCTATTATATTTTTGTTTTATTTTAAATATACATTGGCTATGCTTCTGCACTGTTATATTTATCTATTTGGCTAATACTGGTTTAGAGTTGCATTGGCGGTACAAATGTCGCTATCAGAGTCTTGTTTAGAGGCGGCTCAACGAGAGATTGATGTGGCTAAAGCATGGGCAAAAGATGATCTCGTAATGCAACTTGCAGAAGCATGGGTTGATATGTATAGGGTAATATAATATACATATGTTAGTTGCTTATTAATAGCAATATAGGGTGGACAGCGTATTCTCAATGCTTTTTATATTTATGAAGACTTGGCACAGACAGTTCCGAGTTCTACTATGCTCACAGGGCAAGCAGTGACTGAATTGCTTCTTGGCCGTGCTACTGATGCGGCTGAAACACTTAAGCAAGCATTGGAGCTTTCTCCAAATGATGGAGATGCACTTGCAAATGCAGTGGTTGCTGCAACACTTTTGGGCAACGATGCTACGAATTATATAGAGTATGTTTTTGTATTATATTTTTAAGCTATTCTTATCTTGTCAGGTTACTAACACTTCATCATCCCTCACATCCATGGGTTGTATCAACGTCACATCAATCAACTTTATTTGATCAGCTTTCAAAAACTTATTTAACTGAAGCGTGATCGTGATCTATTCTTGAAAATTGTACTAAGATATTGTGGCATGTCTTGGTGTGCCTAGATATCATAAAGTTCTTCAAAAACAAAGTTCTCTGTGTCAATTTGTTTTTTTTATTTTTGCACCTCGATTGCTTGGCAGTAGATCAATACAGGTCACATGGTATGGCAATACTTGATACTGTTGAAGCATGGCACTGGTTCGTATTTTACTATTTTATATTTTCCAATGGTTTTTATACAATACACTTAATACTTTCCTATATTTCTTCTACCTCATGAACTTACTCTGGCAGTGGTTACCTTGGCAACAGTTACCATGACATCGAGGTACCCTAATACATTTTTATATCCTATTTTTTTGAGTCACTAAACACAATGAATTATTGCATATACATATTGGAAGCTATTACAGACATTCTACTGTTCTTTTTTTGTGCAATACTGTTGTTTTTGTTTTTCATTTCTGAATACTCAACTTATATATTTATATTCACACTATGTTCTATCGATAATACAACGATTGCATAAAAATGAATTAAAACGATAATAGACTAATATTGTAACTAAGCAACGAGTTTGGGGCTATTTTTGTTGGATATATAGCGATTATAAAAAAAGCAGAGAAAAGATATTGAGGATCAAACGTATGCGCATATAGAGCGCATTATAGCGCATATATAAAGCATATAATCGAATTACAACGCATTATAGTGGAGTTTGGGTGTATATATTCTAATTTTAAGCTAGAGATTGGAGCAGTGATATATCTACGCAAACCCAATAACGCATACAGCTTGATATCCAGACGCATATACTGAGTACTTTTACACATATATTTAAGTTTTTACACATATACGTTGCATACAAATAGTTTTGGTGTATATAGTTTGTTTTTAGCACTTATATACACGGGTTAAGGATGGAGCTTTCAGTAGAACGTGCAACGGATCCTGTAGTGAGTTCAACAGCAATCAGTGAGACGTATAGTGCAGATTTCCGTATAAACTTGCAAGATTTATATATTTTTTCAGATTTTGATGGGTACGTGCAATGCTAGAAAATTGTTGTATGAATGTTACTATGAGGGTTTTAATTATTATCAAAACAATTTATACAATAATATATATAATAATTAAACAGCAATTTATACAGCAATTTTTGCAATAGTTTTTGATATTTTATTAATACAATTTATAGAACCATTGTTATGCAAGATACAGGTCATCTTTTATTTGACAAGTACGGTTGTGGCCCGGAAAGACGTGCAGCGTTAGAAGCATCGCTTGCACGAGGAGAATGTTCGTTTCGTGATGTTTCTGAGGAATTATGGGGGAAATTGAGACTTTCTTTAGCACAGAGTATTGCATGGGTTCTTCCAAACCTTGAAATTGATCCAGGATTTCGTAATTTCTTAGAATTTTGCATGTGTAATGGTATTTCATTTAGAATTATTTCATCTGGATTACGGCCTTTGCTTTTAGCTGCATTGTCAAAGTTTATCGGTCCTGAGATTGCAGAACAGATAGAAATTATTTCGAATAATGTAAATATAACGCCAGAAGGTCATTGGGAGCCTATTTGGTGTGATGAAACACCTCTTGGACACGATAAAGCTGCTTCAATTCGCAAGTGTATGGCTGTAAGCAGATTATCATGTGGATCAGAGTCAGGTAATGCTATGGGGCGTGATAGGACACCACGAATTGTGTTTATTGGGGATGGAGTTTCGGATTTTTCAGTTGTTAAGGATGTAGATATTTTATTTGCTCGAAAGGGTTTATCTCTTGAGAAATATTGTCTTGAACGAGGAATTTCATATATTCCATACGAAACATTTGCTGATGTTCAACGAGAAATTTCATGGATGACTTGTAGTTACCATTCTTAAGCTTTTCTAATTTTTAAACGATGTTTATAATGCTACTTCTAAGTCTACTCTGTTTTTTCTGGTATAGTGCTGTTTTAAAAAAGAGCTGTGTATTGGTCTTGACTTAAACAACATGCTCATTTTAAAACTTTTAGTTTTGTTGCATTAACAATATTCTCTTTTGCTTGCATATATTGTTTCCACGGGCAGTCACCTTAAAGGACGTATGGAAATATCCTTTTCAACTGTATGTCTACTTGTAAGTGCTTAGTTTAAGTTTTATGTATTTATATGTATTATTTTGCACTTTTCTTTCAATCCTCATTTTTCAAAAGCCATTTTCAATTGCACCGATCCAACTGTCGATTAACGACAATCTCCTGAAAGCATCTTATGGATTATAAATACTCTTAAATGGGCTTAGAATTGTCAAATAATGCATCATTTAACACATTCTATCATTCCATTACGTTTTCTCCGTTTTTCTTGTGTTTTTTCGCCGTTTTTTAAGAGATATATCTCTTTAAATAGACATCACAAAACACCATTATATGATTTACATATAGAATATGGCGCAAAGATGACTGAATTTGCAGGGTTTTGGATGCCTCTTTTCTATGCAGATCAGAGTATTTTAGAGTCTCATCTTCATGTTCGTTCAAAAGCTGCAGTTTTTGATGTATCGCATATGGTATATTTATTTGTTTTCTCAGTCAATACATACTAAATGGCTTAGTTACAGCTCAGGTAAATCAATGAATCCAGTTCACGGCGGCTCAGCTGTTTGCTGTGTTTTTATTTTGAAAAAAATGTATTGATAGATATTTAGAGTCTCTGGGTCACAGGCTGCACCTTTTCTTGAATCATTGACTCCTTCAGATATCCAGCAGTTGCCACTTGGGACGTCCGTATTATCAGTTTTACTTAATACTGATGGAGGAATTGAAGATGACTTGATGGTGTATCGGCATGAAGATAATGTGTTTTATCTTGTTACAAACGCAGCTACACGTTCAAAAAATATCAAATATTTTGCAGATCATCTGTGTGCTTGGGACAATACACATGTAAAAGTTGAAGAGCGTACAGAAGCGGCATTGCTGGCACTTCAAGGTTTGTCTAGTGTAACGTGCACTAACGTTGATTGAATGTTTGGTTAAGGGCCATTGTCAGCCAGTATTTTGCAAACACATACCCATTATGATCTTTCAACAGTCAAATTTGGTGGTTTTGTCTCAGCTAAAGTTGCCGGAGTTGATACATATGTTTCACGAACAGGTTATACAGGAGAAGATGGCTTTGAAGTGATTACTTGAACCAGACATGTCTCTAGAATAACGCTTAGTAGATTTCTATTCCATCAAAACATGCTGTTTCAGTATTAAGGGCGTTTCTTCGTACAAGTGATGCATTGCGATTAGCTGGACTTGGTGCTCGAGATTCTCTTCGTTTAGAGGGTTAGATGATATCTTTAGATTCTTTCTAGGACATTTATTGATATTTTGAAGCCGGCATGTGTTTATACGGCACGGATATCGACCATATGGTGACACCGGTCGAAGCGAGCCTTTCATGGATTATTGGGAAACGAAGACGTGAAGAGGGTGGGTTTCCGGGGGATCTGCGGATTCTAAAACAATTGCGTGAAGGCGTTCAGCACAAAAGAGTTGGTTTGGTTGTTAAAGGTGCCCCTGCAAGACGTAGAGCATCTCGTTTATTTTCTTGTATTAATTCCTAATAACTATAGACGGTGCCTCTATTCTTTCTGCTGATGGTTCAGAGAAGATTGGACATGTGACATCGGGATGTCCTTCTCCTTCTCTTGGGAAAAATATTGCTATGGGCTATATTAAGACGGGTTATCATAAAAAAGATACCCAAGTGACTGTTGATGTTCGTGGGAAACCTCGAAACGCACTTGTTTCTAAGATTCCATGGATTACTACAAAATACTACAGGTAGCCGTGTTGGTTCTACTTTTTTTGTTGTTTATGGGCAATTATCTGTTAAGATATTTGACAGTTCTATTTTTCAAATCACTCTCTTTACATTTTGACAAATTGTCTCTATTTTAATAAGGAAAACTCCGTTAAACAGTCTTCTAAAGACGGAATAATCCATCGTTAAAATAAACAGCAACTTGGCAATTTTCATGTTTTTTTATACTGTTTTCTTACTTGGAAACCACGACAATTACTCACACTGTACTTTTAAAGCATTTCATGCTCGGATAATCCATACATACGTCTCCAAAATTCGCCTCTAGAGCTCATTTTTTCTTTTCTATTCCACTATTCACTTACTCGGCTCATTGCAACACATTTTCATCTTTGAAAGAAAAATACAGCACAAACACCTCTGTTCTACTATTTACATTCTTGGCTCTTGGATTATCTCCTCAGATACCATTTTTCTGCTTATTCGGCCTCTCCCTCTTGACTCTTCTTTTTCTTCTCGTCGCCCCGGTGACCTCCATAAACACGATCGTTTAAAAGCACTGGTGTATACTCTCAAATAAGCCGTATTGTCTATTAAACAGCATAAAACTTTATCAATCCCAGTCATTAAACGTGTATACACGTCTCAAATACACTCTTTAACGTGCATTATTGCACATATTTGGGATGCCTTCAAAGAGTACTCTTGACACTACAGGATTCTGCCGGACTTTACAGGACACTCAGCGTGTAAGAAGCATGTATATATCTATCTTTTTCTGACAAGAACCACAGTCAAAGTCCCGTAGGAGGCCTTTTTTACCAGCAGTTTCTTACTCTGATTAGCAATCCACGAAGAAGACTCGGGGTTTCAGTATGTCCGTACACGGCGCCCAGAAACCGGCCAAAAAGCGGGATCCACGCGTCATACAAAGGAAAACAGCACAGACGTGTGTTCTGCATGCATCTAGGGCTCTTCTGATGCTTTTTCAGGCCTCATTGTCCGTATGTATGCGCGCATTACCCGACACTCGGCCACCGTCCCAGCCATTGCATGCATCACATCTTTCTGCCGATACTCTGCTCAATTTTTCCACGCATACATCCCATACAACCGACAGCTTTGTAGCGCTTCCGGTCTCAGATACGCCGGTTATTGAGAAAAATAGAGATCTTCGCCAACGGAGGCGCAGCAGCCTTGGATTCCGTGGAAAACGGGCCAGTTCTATCCTTTCCAACGGCCTAATAGGTGCATATATACGTGGAAAATAAGTGCTAATATGTGCAGCTTTGCCGCATCCAAGTATTAGCCATGAAAGCTTTTTTAAGCATATATCGGAAGACCTGCCGGAGGCAGTAAGAATGAAGCAATTATTGGTTTGGTGTGCAAAGCGGGCATTAGATGATCAGAAAATGTATGAAACAGGGGGAATAGAAGAAGGGAAAGAAGCAGTGTTGTTGGGTATGAAATTAGCAAAAAAAAGAGGAATCTAAGAGTATATATAGCACGGAAAATTGGAGAGGAGATTTTGAGTGATTTGATAGAAAACAGGCTTTCAGCAAGTTGGTATTGTCGTGAAGTAAGGGGGAAGCTGTTTTTGAGTGGGGTTGATGTATTTTTTAGGAGGAAGGAAATTTGGGGAAAGTAAAGCCGCACCCAAGAAATGTAGAAAATAGGAAGAAAATAAAAGAGTTTGAAGCGAGATTGAAAAAGTATGGATTATGTATGGCTACAGGGGTATTTTTTATTTATTTGGAGTAGATTGAAGGAGGAGATTGAGCGGTGGAACCGACTTGAAGCGTCTTTTTTGTCATGTCATGGAGAAAAAAGTGAAGAAAAAAGTGAGGAAAGAAGGAAAGAAGAAGAAAAAGTAGAAGGGGACAAGGACAGCATGGAGGGAGAAGGGGGGGACGAAAATGTTTTGGATAAGATGGTAGAAGGGGCATTTTTGCCCTCGAAAGAAGTTAAATGGGTGCCGCCGGCAAAGCATGCGGAATTGAGGGGATGGATTGAGTCAGTGGAAGGGGGGCTGGAATTTAAAGTTGACCAGCTGTATCATACGATGTACTCGATTGAATCATTTGGACAAGTGTCGAGCCAGTATGCAGCACGGCTTTTGAGTCATGTGGCAAAAGCGATTGAAGAACGTAAACGGCAGGCCGAAATCGAGACAGGGTCCAGTGGTACGAGTATAAAAGACGTGCTTAGAGCGATTACGAGACACGAGGGATAAGCGGGAAAAAGTATTCATGATATTTCTGTAAATTAAAAAGCCGGATTGAGGATAATACGGCAATATATGAGACTGGATGGGTTGTACGGGGCTACACGGGATTATACAGGATTATATAGGGTCATATGGAGCTATATGGGATTTTGGAAAGAGCTACTCTTTAGGGGCCGTCTTGATAGGCAGTGTATATGGTTGTTTGAATGATCAAGCATATGTATAGAGTTTTGTGCTTTAGTGACATTGGTCACTTGTTATTGTTCATATGAAGCATAGTCATTTTACAAGTATCTACAAGTATCCATCATGAAATGCGTGTCTATTTGCACTATACATATTCTGCATAAGATATTTTTGTTCTAAAGACGTGTATATATATTTTTCTTGTTTGCCATATTTTTTTATTTTATCTTTGAAAAATCTACTTTAATCGTCAAAATTTCAAAACGCCTATAAAAGAGCATGAAAAGTATTTTTGAATTGCGTTATTGTTAATTTGATGTGTTTTATATGTTTTAATTATTTAGAAAACCCTTTTTTTTAGGTATATTGTCGTTTTTTTCCCGGTTAATCCCTGAAAATAATGTAGATCATTTTTATGAAAAAACGTCGAATTTTTGCATAAGAAAATCTATATAAAATATATATAATCTTATCGGTTTTTACACGTTTTACTTGTTTTTACACTTATATCTGGATTTTTAATCGTTATTTTTATCATTCATGGACACTGGATGTCTTATTTCACCAGAATCTAGTTTGATGGTTAATAATACAATGGCTACTAATAATGTTTCTGCGTCTAAAACGCCTGGATATGTTGCTTCTAAATGTGCACGTAATGTTAAAGATTTGTCTCTTGTGCCTACTATTAGGCTAGATACATCGCCTACATTAGCTCCTTTAAATACACCTCGAGCTCATCTTTTAGCGGGTTTGCGTACGACACCGTGTTCAGATAGGCAGGGAGAACACGGGCATGAGGGTCAGGAGGATGAAAAAATACATGGTTCTGTATGGATTTCTTTATATTAAGTATTTTTGGTTGATAGTATTTTTAGTCGCAAAATATTTATAAAAAAGACATGCTTGATGTAAAACAGCACAAGGTTGTGTATTTCTTGTTAGGAGTGTCTATGGTAACCTGCTTCAGGCTCCAATGTATCCACATACAGCTACTTTGTCTCCCAGGACAACTCGAGGACTTGGTTTACCTGTATACAAGCAACAAAGTATTCTTATGAATTCTGTGTCAGAGCCTTCCACGCCTTATCAGTGTTGTTTTGAAGAGCCTAAAAGGATGATTCAGGAGAAATATCCTCAGTTCCTATACGGTGATTCGTCTTTTGCACCACAGATTTCGTCTCAACAATATCCGTGTGTGCAAAAACAAGTGAAAAATATGGTTCCTGTGTCTCCTAATATGTTTGTCAAAGGCGTTGTTCCTTATTGTACACAAGAACAGCATACTTTTTCTTATTCTCCAATAATCCATGACTCATTCGATGGATCTTTCTCTGGGTATTCTGTTCCAATCGAGTTCCAGAATCACTCTATTAAGAACTCACTTTTTCCTTACTATTTCCAAAACACTCCTCAAAATCATAATAGCTTTAAAAAAAATAGATATGGTCAGACTCCTAATGGATATACTCCAAACTCCAACTCAGCAACTGGATATCACAAAAATGTCTTTTCTCCAAGCAAAGAGGGTGCACCTTGCAGGCAGCCACGTGGCCCTCCCTCTATGGAAGAGCTTCTTTCACCCAGTGAATCTGAAAATAAGAATTTTTCCCTAAGATTACGCAAACAAGCGATTAACAAAATTCTTCATGCAGGTGTACAGCGGCAAAATAACATGTTACCTCCGGATCCTGGTACTCAGAAAAACCGTGCTTTCAATGCTTCTTCTGCTCTTTAGCACTGCTAATATTAAATGATTTATCTTTTTTTTACTTATATATACTTGTTTTATGTATATATACTTGTTTTTGCGTTCTTTATATAAAACTACTTTTCCTGCAATTATTATTATGTTTCTATCTCTTTTCTCTCTTTTTTCTATATTTTTTAATCTTTTATCTTTCTTTGATTACATTTAACTATATTTTACGGTTGACACGCTGTAATCAACGTGATGATCCTTTGAACAGCGTATAAAAAGCCTATTTCTTGTTCAATTCATGTCAGAACCTTCAAAAAACACTTCATCTGACTCGTGCAATATTCAAGATGATTCTTTTCATGATGAATCTCTCCTTAAACCTAAATCTAAGAGAAATATACAGCGTGTACGGTTTAATGCTGATGATACAACAGATAACAGTTATGATGCAGCAGAAGCTGCAAATGGACCATCTGGTACCTCTGATACAGCCTTTTCTGAGCTAAGACATAAACGTGCATCGTCTTTTTATATTCAAGGAGACATAGAAGCAGAAATTGTCAATGATGATGATTCAAAACAATCAGTAACAAACATTGGAATAGGTGTTTTAGAGGATTCATCACAGGCATATGACTCACATGAAGTGAGTCAACGTTCAGTATTATCTCCTCTATATACAGCAGCAGGCTCTAGAATATCAGGAATCCAGATGCCGGCTTTACCGAGAGCAGCGTCAAGTAGTGCATTTTTGAATGCTCAGGCACAAGCAGCTTTTACAAGTGTGCCAAGTGCTTTTGATCCTGATATGTGTGTATCATCAGACCAACATATGAATAGCCATATGCACCAACAGAATATTCAAAATGATTCTCAACATGGATCATGTTGTCCAAGGTTTCATTTGAATTCATTGTCTAGTTGCAGCCCGGGTATACGTACTCAATTTCATTGAGATTTATTAACATACCAAGAACCATCACATAAAAAGTCATGTCGGCGTCATGGACATCAATTTCATTCATTAACAAGATATGCATATAATTTAGTAAAAGCTCATATGCATGGGGACTCGTGTAGGCATAAGAATATCTTGAAGGAAACAGATATGTCAGATGGGATGGATTCAGAAGACACAGCGGCACATGCATCAGATGAAACAGTTTCATCACATTTTCGTGGAGGGGTTTTATCATATATTTTGAAATTGTATGAAGATTAGGAAATAAAGTTTTGAATAGTTTTTAATGAAGAATAGATATCATTCAGAAAATCAATATTCAGGTCGTCAATGTTCTAATACGCCACCAGGAACAGGGCGTAGTACGCCTAAATGGAATAGTAAATCGGCAAATAGTTCATCAACATCTCTATCAGCTTTATTAGCGACATCTTCTGCAACGGTAGCACTTCCGGGTTTATTGAGTTTACAAGGATTTCAACGTGAAGATTCAGCATCGGGATTGTCGAGAATGATGCGTCCTTTTTATAGAACACGAAAGCATAGTAGTGGGATTGCAACTGCGATTAAACATAGTTTTTCCCGATCAAGGTTAGAAGATGAGATTCGTATTACGGTACATTTAGCGGATGTTTTACAGCGACAGAAATTTATATTGCGTTTATGTCATGCTTTAATGCTTTATGGGAGTCCTACTCACCGGTTAGAAGAATGTATGAAGTTAACGTCAAGAGTTTTGGAAATTGATGGTCAATTTTTGTATATCCCAGGGTGCATGATTGTTTCTTTTGGTGATTTGATTACTCATACATCTGATATACACGTTGTTCGTGTTAATCAAGGATTGGATCTTGGAAAGCTACAAGAAACACATTGTATTTATAAACAGGTGATTCATGATTTAACAGGAGTCGAAGAGGCAATGAAGAATTTGGATGAAGTTATAACTCGGAAACAGTATTACAATGATTGGGTCGTTATTTTATTTTATGGGCTTGCAAGCGCACTTGTGGGGCCTTTTGCATTTAATGCTTCTTGGATTGATTTACCTATTTCTTTTATTTTGGGATGTATTTTAGGTTTGTTAAAAATAGTTGTAGCACAGAGGAGTTTATTATATGCAAATGCTTTTGAAATTTCAGCTACTGTTATTACAAGTTTCCTTGCAAGAGCTTTTGGGAGTATACGGGATCGAAAAAATAATGGAGAGTTTATTTTTTGTTTTGCAAGTATGGCTGAGAGTTCAATTGCACTTATATTACCCGGATATTTAGTTTGTAAGTTTGTTTTTTCATTTTCTCTCTTTTTTACCTTTGAAAAGTGTGTGGATCATTAGAACTTCAAACTAAAAATATTGTTGCAGGTTCTGTAAGATTATTTTATGCTATTATTTATTCTTTATTTCTTGGTTTTGGAATGACCATTGGTTCTGTTATTTATAAATCAATAGATAAAACAGCAAGTGATGAAATACAGTGTCGTAGTAATATCAATCTTTTATTTCGATTTCTTTCAGTTCCTATTTTTACTGCTTGGTGGATTTAATTTATTATTTATTGTTTGAAATGACTAACAAATCAATAGTATTTTAGTTGTTAATCAAGCAAGGCCTCGGCAGTTTCCTGCTGCAGTGATTGTCGCAACAGCGGGTTATATTGTAAATTTTTTTTCTGCAAAAAGATTTGGTGCTTCTCAAGTATCCAATGCAATAGGGTATGATATATCACGTTTCTATTTTTATGATTTTGATTTTATTAGAGCTTTTGTGATAGGGTGTTTAGGTAATCTGTATTCTAGGATTGGGCATGGCTTAGCTTTTGCTGTTGCTTTGCCGGCCATTTTTGTTCAAATTCCATCTGGTTTAGCTGCACAAAGAGGTGTTTATATAGGTATAGAAGAATCGAATGGTATTTTTATTGGTAATGCATCACAAAATCTCAATAATGATGTAAAATCATCTGATCCTAATTCTTTATCTTTTGGTATTATTATGATTCAAATTGCAATTGCTATCACTGTTGGTTTATTTTTTAGTTCTATCCTTGTCTATAGTTTTGGGGGTATAAGGAAACGATCTGCTTTATTTTCTTTGTAAGTTTACTATAAAGAAATCGATAGTATTGTTTTGTTTAACAATAGGATTTTTGAAATATATATATATTCTGAAAAAAAGCATTGTTAATGAACAAAATATTTCTTAAATATTTTAGAATTCATAATATAATACAATGATTGTACTTAATTGTTTAATTATGAAATAAAGTTTTTAATGTTTTAGATTTGGGTATTAATCATTAAATGTAGGTATTTAAACATACGTATTTGTATTTAGATATCAAAATTCCCACAAAAGGATTTTGTTTTGTTGATTATAAATAATCCAATTATCATTTCCTTGTAACAAATATTTATTCTTTAAATAATGTAGTTGATTATAAATAATATTTTCACTTTCTAAAATCTTGTTTCTGGATATAAGAGCCCCATTTTCAGAATTAATTTTTTCTACATACAAACCGTCATCTGAAGAATTATTTGCTGATTTTAAATACTTAATGATCAATGAGTTTCGAGGATAAATAAGACATTCAAGTTCTTGAATATGATTTTTATGAGATAAACATGAAGTAATTTTCATCGTTCTTAGATCTATTTTCCAATAATGGTCATTGTTAAACTGATAAAAAATTATTAATTCATCTTTTTTAATAATATTAAGTTTAAATGGATGATATTTATTTATCAAATTTTCATGTCGCAATAAATGTCCATGATCAGCTGAAAAAATATAGATTCTATACTCATAATAAGAAACCTCGTTATTTTTTGTTGTATTTTCAATACATAAAACTAATTCGTTATTTCTTTCCAAAAACTCTATAGCTATGACATTGTGTTTATTTGATAAATTCTAAATTAATAAAAAATAAAAAAAGATTAGATGTATATTTATACTTACCGAGTTAATTTGCTTCAGTGATATACGAAATATGAATTCTTTTAATTTTAAATTCCATACGCTTAATACATGACTAAATGTATAGATACAGATATTGCCATTATAACATATCATGAATGCAATATCAGAACTTTCTATTTTAAATGTATTTATTAATTCCAAACTTTCAAGTGACCATATATAAAATACGCTATATATATAATGAATATATTTGAATAGACAATTAAATATACCCAAAATAATTAACACCTGCAAGAATATATGAATCTAAAGAAACATTAAGCATTCCTTCATTTTTTGTAGAAATATATATTGCATCTTCTTGGGTAATATTTGACCCTAAACGATATAAAGTAATTCCTTTATTAGAACTTTCACTAGTTGCATGGCTATAAAGTATAAGATAATTGTCTTGTAAACGAGAACAAAGTGAACATGTAGTAATTTTGTTGTGAAAATAAAGTATACGAAATGATTTAGGTTTCCCTTTCTTAAATCTAATATATTTCTTTGTATATTTTTCAAAAACTGAATACCAGTTATTTATATTTGCATCTTTTATATTTTGATCAAAATAATTGAAGATTAATATTTTTGCAATTTCATTACTTGTAAAAAGAGTTCTCCACCGCTTGCATACCTGGTAGATATTATTTTTTTTAATATTAAAAATATGATATTTTCCATTGGAAATATAATTATATCTTCTATATCCAAATATTTAAGAACTATTTGTAAAAGCTCATATGGCAAATGACTAAGAATATCAAAATAATATGGGTGCTTATTTTTAAGTTTATAATGAATGTACCACAAATCTGCTGGTGATGATTCCATAAACAGTATATCAATCCTATTCTACTCAACCCTAAACTTTGAATAATAAATATATTACATTGACCGACGTTTATCTGGATTCGCATGAACATACATATCTTTAAATGAATATGTTAAATCTTTTTGACTTATTATTGGATACATATGCCTTTTTTTTGAAAAAAAAAAACAGAATTTTGATATATTCTAAATAATTTAAGTGTATAATCTATAATTTTAAACAAAGAAAGAAATTTAATTAAATTTATAAGTTTATTTATTTTTGAGTAAAAAATATTAAAACAATTAAATATTAACATATGAAAATATAAAAACTAAATTTATATTAAAATATCATCTAAAATGTAAAAATAGAGTATATCATTCAAAAGGTAAAAGTTGATAATTCATAAAAGACCGCAATCTCTTAAATTTGTTTGTACAATAATATCATTAACAGCCGACATTACAAATTTTATCTAATAATATAAGATAATTTTTACAAAAGAATTTAAAAATACTTGAGTACTATCCGTTGCACACGTAAAATGTGTATAGATTTGTTTGACATCAGATTGGTTTAATGAAACAAATCTGTTCAAAATATAATCACATGCTGCATTATAATTGTCTCCTCCTAAATTAATGAATTTTTAAGTAAAATATAAAATCTACACAATCAATTATACCTGTATAATCAGGAAAATAATTTTTCATTGGAGAAATAGGGAGTTTTTCACGGAAAAGGTCTATTTTGTTCAAAAATAATATAATACTTGTTTTTATAAACCAGCGAGAATTACATATCGAATCAAAAAGTGTAAGTGCTTCATGCATACGATTTACTGTTTCATCTTCAAGGAGCAATTGATCATATTCTGAAATAGCGACGAGGAAAATAATTGTTGTTACATTTTCAAAACAATGAATCCATTTTTTCCTCTCTGAACGCTGCCCCCCTACATCGAACATACGGTAAACCAAATCTCCAATAATAAATGTCGTTTCTGTAATTCCCGTTGTCTTTACACGTGAACGTAATACATCTTGGTCTGTAGGTAAATAATTCGGATTAGCAATTCTATCAATCGCTTCAAAATAACTTCAAAATATACATTAAAATTCCCTTCTTACTGTATAAAAATATCACCTACTATTTAGCTGAGTCATTAAGTTGATATTCACGAGACCGTTGAAAACACTGCTGTACTCCTGAATCCTTCCATAAACACACAATAGCATCCCCTATTTCCTGAGGCAAAAACTCTCCCTCAATCTGATTAGGCTGGTCAAGAATAACCTGCATATGACACACATTTTGCATGTCTCCAAGCAAAATACCAAGTGCATTCATTGCTTCAAGAATTACACGCATTGACTGAATAGTATTAGAAAAAATAATCTCCTTAAATGATTCCCGTTCTTCTATACTATATCCACCCTCATGAATCAGCTTCATTTGCTTCAAAATCGTTGATTTTCCTGATTCTCCTGCTCCTATACTTATAAGACGATATTTTTTATTTCTATCAATTTTACCAAGAAGAAGCATTTTAATCTCATTTCTTAGAGTAATCCTATCTTTTTTCAATTGATTTTCTATCTCTTCATTTCTTTGTTTTCCTGCATAATTTTCTCTGCTAATACCGCATCCCATTATTGTAAAAACAAAATATTAAGAAAACTTTATTAAAAACCTGTTTGTTTTTCTTATATATCCTTTTTTATTTAATATATACACTGTTTAACTTTAATAAAATGTCTATTTGGCCTATAAAGGCGCTGATGGATTAAAGGTCCAATAATGTGTGCGCTAATGCACCGATGGGCCTAAGCTGTACCGATTCAGAGTGTTCTGTATATATTTTATGCTATTTATGCGCTATCTCTATCTAATTTGATTCTCTCAGTTCTTAGTAATTCTTATAAGTATGTAATTAACTTGCGGTTTAATCCGTACTTTTATTTAAAGAAATTAGTATATATATATATTATTAAAGAAATAGTAATATATATAATATGTTTTTATTAGGTTTTTGCTATATAAGATATAAGTATAGTAAATATAGTGAAAGTAGTTTTGTGTTTAGGATTAGTGTTATGAATAGAATATGTATGTGATAAGTTTTAGTGAATATTTTTATTCATAGATATACATATTATTTTAGAGTTAAATCTGATAAAACTTACAGTATAATAATATGGGAATATAATGAATAAGAGATGTATATTTGCATATGGATAGTATGGGGGTTAAGATAGAGTTTAGAATAAAGGATATGATAATTCATTTCTAAGGACAAATAAAGAAACTAGAGGGTTTTATATAAGTATTTATAAGAGATAAATATAAAATAGATGTATTATATTTATAAAAATTTTATAAGTGTGATATAATTTTAAATACTGGTACTAACATGGGATCTAAAAAAGTTTTTTAGTTTTTAAAATAATGTAAAACTTATGCTTATTAAGGGCTAAAAAATAGTTTTAGTGTATATATACAAGTGTGAAGTTAGACAAAGAAGTATTTAAGAGAGCAAAACTATACAAGTTTGAGAATTAATAAATTTTTAGGTATCGGAATTGGTAATAATAAAGATAAATAAATTTGTGTTTATTAAGAATGTATTTTTATTATAATGCAAGTAATTATACATTTTATTAATTGGTTTTGAAGTGATGAATAGTCTATTATGACAAAATTAACTTTGTTTATGTCAAGAGAGTAGTGCGTTAAGAGATATGCAATGAGGGAATATAATTGTCTGAGCATGCCCATTTGTTTTTAAATTTTCAAAAAAACATAAAATCCTTATACGTGTATTGGTTATAATCATAATATTCATATATACTAGTTGACTGAAAAACTTTGCTGACACCCTATAACAATTAAAATAAAGTATGATTAAACAAACAAATACGCCTTCTTACCACATGTACTTGTTGCATTAGGGTTATCAAATACAAATCGTGCAGTAAGCCGATCCTCGATCCAATCCATTTTGCTACCAATAATAGTAAATAATGCACGATTATCAATAAGAATAGTCACTCCTAAAGACAAATTACCACAAGAAAATAATGTGAAAAAACAAACTAACCGTCTTGGATTACTGTTTCATCAAATTTCCCTGGTTTATCTACGTATTCAAGTAAATATGATAAACCAGCACAACCTCTTTGTTTTGTGCCAATTCTTATCATTTTTGGTTGTGGTTGATTCAGGAGTTCTTTAAGTCGCTTGACTGCACGCGGTGTCTTGATCAAATGTTAGTTTATCTTTATATTTGGCTTTAAAAATTAAAATGATAACTTACCAACGTCATTGCTGCTTTCCTTGGATTAAATCGTGTATTTACAAAAGAAGCTCCACGTGTTATTTCCCGGACCCTCTCTTTAACAGGACTACCAATATTTTGATGCAACCAAAGTGTAGAAGACGGTCTTTGACATGTTTGAAGGAATCCTCGGTATGTATTTGTTTTAAGTGACCATGGCTTTGGAAATAACCATTCAAGTTCCGTACATCTCCAAAAGGACGTAGATCTTTCTTTAAAAAACATAATAACTTACTAATAAGAGTATTTTTTCTTTCAAAATAGCCTATTTATTAATATTTTTTTTAAACGAAGATTTAATTTATAGCGAAAGTTAAAAGTATCGATCATAAAATACAATGATTAGGTAATCAACTTTACGATAATGTAGGTTTTTGAAAAACGTTTAATCCTTTGAGTAGTTGTTATTTTTGACTTTTATATATTATTTTATTTATTATTATGACATTTTTTTGTATTTGAAAGACTTTATGAGTTTTGGATATATTTTTATATACCTAAAGATAGGTAGATGTTAAACATCTCTTTTGCGTGCTTTAGTAAGCTGAAAGGGAGCTGTTTGTGATTTAAGGGATCTATTTTCGCGTTTTTTCATGCATAAAACAATGCATTTTTGGATCGGTGATTGAACGGTGGAGATAAAATATTGAAAAACGAGAATGGGTTGAGCGTTTAAAAAGAAAATAAATACTCTTATGCTCATAAATGTACATTTTTAATATGTAAAGAAGTAAGAAATACTAAAAAGTACTGTAGTTATATATTTTTTTCATTTCTTAACTTAGAGAAAGAACTCATAGACTGTTTTTTCAATAGTTGTCATAGTAACCTCTTCGAAGAATATTAAGATAACGATATTAACAACAGATTTTTAAGACAAAAAGCTGTGTTTTATAATTTAATTATGCCATTAATTATTTTTACAGGTTTTTATATTCAATAATTATGCTTTATATTTTCTTATATATGTATTTTTAGGATATCCTTCTTCAGGAAAAACACAGAGAGCTTTAGAGCTTAAAAAGGCACTTTCTGATAAGATAAATATGGATAAAAGAGTACCACCATTTAATCTTGTTTTAATAAATGATGAGTCACTTGGTATTAAGAAGAATGTCTATGGGAGTACTTTTTAAACATTGGAAAGTGGATCTTTTAATATAATTTTAGATGCAACACTTGAAAAAACAGCAAGAGCTACTATGTATTCAGCAGTTGAAAGAAATTTGAATAAAAATACAGTGATATTGTGTGATGGAATGAATTATATTAAAGGTTACCGATACCAACTCTTTTGTGAGGCTAAAAATAATGCTACTCCTCATTGTGTGGTAGAACATTATGAAACAAAATATTGTTACTTATGTTTTAAGATTCATTGTGGAACGCCGATTGATATATGTAGGGAATGGAATCGTTCTAGAGGGCTATTAGGATATTCTCAGGACATGTAAGATTTATTAATTATTGCAATATATTTTTATAAAGTCAGATTCGAAGAGCTTGTGATGAGATACGAAGAACCCAATTCAATGGTAAGATGGGATTCTCCATTGTTTACAGTATTTTATTCAGATGAATTTTGTCCGGTTGACCGTATTTGGGAAATTATATCTAGTACAAAAACCATCCGACCCAATGCATCTACTGTTGCGGTAAATTGATAAATAGAGGAGGGGATTTAATTGGAAAAGAAATTAATGTTTTTAGAAATCAGTACCGGCGTCTGATTATTTATTTGAATTAGACAAGGCGACACATGAAATTATAAATATGATTATTCAAAACCAAAGGATTAATGGACCAGGATCAGAAGTGAAAGTTGCTTCAATAAATCAAGTATATTAAATAAATAACTATATATATTTATGTTTTATAGAATATTATATTACCAAGTAATGTTATTACATTACCAAAATTACAGCGTATAAGACACCAGTTTATTAATCTTAATAGAATACAAGCATCTAATAAAAATAAAATTCAAGAGAATTTTGTGGAATTTTTAAATAATCAATTTAAATAAATTTAAATGTTAAAAAAAGAATTATCTATAATAGTTATATATTTTATACATATATTTATTATATTATTTTAATCATTTATTTTTTATATCTTATTATAAATATTAATTATAATACATATATTAATTTTATAAATTATTATTTAAATATAAAAAACTAGTATATTTTGATGTGTCAAAATATTAAATTGATATAGAATTATAATAAATTTATAATTTATACTACTTTTTTATTATATATTAACATTAAAGTAAAATGCAATGGTTTAAGAAATATTATAAACTACAACTTGTAGTTATTTAGATTGATATTTAATTTTAACTGAGTTTAATTAAAATCATATTTTTGAACGTAAATAGAATTTAAAATATAGTCAATAATCAAATAACATGTTTGTAATGGAAAGATTTTGTTTAAAATTGTTATAAAGTATTTTTTTCTTTTCAAGCACCGTAGTTAAAAAATAGTAAAAAATAATTTATAATTATTCTAGTACTGTATAATTACCTGGAAATACTCCTTCAACACCATTCAATTTTCCGACCCACCAATCCTAATATATATTAAAATTTTAAAATTATCATATATATAATATATACATTTGTATTCTCTGTTCTTTTTATAATTTCAATTTTATCTCCTGCACTAAAAGAAAGATCCCCTTCTTCCTAAAAAAATTAAATAGTGAAAAAAACGTTTATAGCAAATTCACTTGTGCCTTATAATCATACAATGCTACTGCATATTTTTTTGTTTTAAATGCATTTGGTTTACTTGGAAGAGATGGAGGTATTACTTTTTCAATAGTATTGTTTCTATAATTTGTTTCAAAAGCACGTGAATCAAGTATCTCAGAGTAAGGAGGTAATCCATCAGAATGTGTATTTGATTCTGTTTGAGATATTGTAGGAGCTGATTTATATATTTTAGAGCTTTCAGAATCAGAAATACATCGAGCTAAAAACGTTAACTAAATCAATAATTTTATATTACTAACATCTTCTATTCAGTGTAAATCTTACAATACCAAGATTTTCTGTTATTTCTTGAATATTGCCGCGTTTTGCTTCAAACCCTTCAATAATTTCTTTATCAAAATCAAAATAGCTAATGTTAATATGTTTCATTTTCTCATAAAGGGTATAATATATATTAAGCTGCATGTAATAAAAATTTTGAAACACTGGCCGAATAAAACTACTCTCTAAATCAAAAAGCATCGGAAGTTCTTCTTTCAATAAATTATTGTAATATTCATATTCTTGAGTACTCTGCTCGAGCATGTTTTCTGCATTATAAAGAGCTCTTTCATCTTTTAGAGTTTTTTCTTTTTTATCTTGAAGTTTTTTTAAGTTAGCTCTGTGACGATCATAATCCAAGCGTTTCCTTTCTCGCTTTTCTGTTATTTTATATATTGAATTAACAATCGATAATAATTCATTGGTAGGCTTAATTATTCGTAGTTCTATCATTTCTAGTTCTGGAGTAAGCGTTTCTTGAAGCTCTTTAACAATAATTTGATATCCTTCAGTGGCCTTGATCGCTGAAAATTGTTATTAATAAATGTATAGTGAAATTTATGTATTTTACCATCATTATATTCTTCAGAAAATGGATTTTCTGTCTCTGCTACTTTTCCTGTAATTGGTTTATAAATTTCTTCAATGACCTCTGAAAATTGAAGCTGGTAATTTAAAACATCTATTTATCACTAAACATGTGAAGTATTTATATAAGGCATACCAGAAACAGCTTCAATATACCTTTTAGCATTATTAGATAATTTTCTCAATTTCTGCTCAAGTCCTCTAAATTGAGACTCTATTTCCATATAAACCTGATCTACAGTGTTTTCCCCAATGTTCAGCTTTCCTTTAACTTGCTGAGGTGCCTATTTATTCGTTTATTAATTAAATAATATATTTATAAGATAATTACTCTTGCTACGGCTTTTTGAAATCCTTTCCTGTGTTGTGTTAACTTCCATTCATTTAATAAAGCATTTTATTACCAACTCATATTTAAATCAAGTATGCACTTTTTTTAAAAAAAAGTATATTTTTTTCAATATTTAAATATAAAAATAAGTTTCTTGACGGTCAACTAGGTGAACTTAGATGAAAATTGATAAAAATATTAAATAAAAATAAATAAATAAATCATATATAAAGAAAAACTATGAATAGAAGACTTTTGTACTATGTTTTTAACATGCTTTTGATTTTAACTTGAATACTGTAAAATACGTAAATTTTTGAAAAATATTTATCTAATAAATAAATAAAATAAGCAATAAGTAAATTTAGTTTTTATTTTAATAAAATTAATATATATCTGTAAAATAATAGAAAAAAGTATTTATAAATTTATGTTATATAAATATTTTAAATAGAAAATTTTTATATTTTTTTAACGGTTTTTAATTCTATCAATTGATAAAGTTAAAACAATCATTTCAGAAAATATTAGTTTAGAAAATGGAACTTATTAATGAATTCAAAAAAGCAGCAGAAAGTGTATTTTATATTTTGTTTTTTTATCTATTTAAGAACAGTATTTCTTAGGTTAAAAATTTATCGTCAAAACCCTCTGATACAGAACTTCTAAAGGTAAATTTTTAAGGTGGTAAATGTTTATCTAATTGTGTTTAAGCTTTATGCACTGTAAGTATATATTAGCATAAAAATATTAATTGATTATTAATTTTTCTGACTATACTTTTATATAATCTAGGTATAAACAGGGTAATATATAAATATAAGGTAATGTTTCTTTTTATTTATTTATTCTAGCTACTGAAGGAGATAATAATAAAAAAAAGCCGAGTATTTTTAACCCTAAGGTAATATTCTTTGTTTAATATAATATTCTGATAAATTTAGGAAAAATATAAATGGTAATTAATTTAATTTTTCTTTTTTCAATGTTAACTTTTTTCAAAGGGATGCATGGAATGAAGAAAAAGGTGAAAATATGTTTTTATACTATAACTTCCTAAATTTATTGTGAAGGAAAATCCAACGAAGATGCTATGAAAGAATATATAGATTTTGTTTTTATTTTAAAAACAAAATATTCTTAAAGAATATTTTTTAATATTAATATTCTGAATTATACAAATTAAATAATTGGCTTTGGATTTTTATATGATTATTGTTTGATGTATAATTTTACGGTTTAAAATTGTTAATAACGAATATTTCAAGACTATTTTATAATTCAAGTTAGAATATAAATTGCATTTCTTATTTTAAAAATAACTAAATTTTAACAATATATCCAAGTGTTAAAAATGGTACTTGATAAACTTATTGTAAAATATCTTTTCAACTTTATTAATTATATATTTATTTTACAAATGTCTCTATTTAATGGTTATATTAAGCTATTTGCAGTTTTATATATACACTTTTTATTAATTTTAATGATTCTTTATAATATTTTAGCATTTAAATATTTTTAATTTTTATAAATTTTTTACAAATTTTTATAATAATTTAAAATCTATTTTAATAGATATTTAAGGGCAACTTAAAATAATGCCTTCTTAGTTTAGGGGTTATAATATTCGCCTAGTAAGCGAAAGGTCGGTGGTTCGAGTCCGCCAGAAGGCATTAGTTTTCTTAGTATGGTTTTTTTCTGTAACTTATTTTAAGTTACTATTTAACTTACTAGTATTATTTGTATGCTTGGAATAGTTTTTTTAAAGAATATAAATAAAAAAGTTTTCTATAAGTTTCAAAATTTAGCTAAAATTGTATTTATAATAAATATTTTAAATAAGTTTTATCTTTTAAATATATATTTATATATATTTAATAACTAAAAGATTAATTTCTAAAAATATTAGTCGTTCTTATAATTATATGATTATATAATTTATATGAGTTAAATATTTTATTGAATTTTAAAAATATAAAATTTATACTTTAAATTATAAAAGTTAAAAAAATATTTTTTAAGTTTTTTCAAAAAAATATTTATTATAAATTTATATTTTTAAAGTTTATTAATTTAATTTATTATATATTTACTATTTTAAAAATATTAACATAAAGATAAAATATAAAATAAATTATAAAAAAAATTAAGATAAAATATAAAACTAAAAAATAAAAATAAATTTAATCTTAATTTATTCTTTATAAAATTTCTAACATTTTAAATTAAAATTAGAATTAATACATTTTATTACTATTAAATAATATATATAATACATATACATATATAATCATTAAAACGGCTACTTATTTAATATAAAACTCATATCATTTTCTCTTTTATAAATAAAAAACATTATTAATTATATACTTTTTCACTTATCTTTTTAATTTAAATACATATTGTATAATTTAAATTATTATGTAACTATATATTATTATGTAACTATATATTTATAATAATTCATTATATATAATAACAATAACAATTTTATTTATTTTTCTATTAATATATTATTGAATTTAACCATATTTTTTATCCTAAGTTTTTAAATTAAAAAATTAATCACTTTTAGATCTTTAAAAAACTAAAAAAAAACAAAACAGCAGACTAATATTAAAAAAAGTCAAAACATTTACCATACTTATAAAAAATATCTTTTTCATTTCAAAATCCATGAAAGAAGTATCATCTGAAAACTTATTACAATATTCTACAAGACTTAAAGCACGGTCTAGAAAATCATACGACGAAATGATTGATTATAACATTGAAGGAAAGCATCCAACGGAAAATAGTTCAGAAGAAAATAAATCTTTTATAAACTCACAGAAGTTATCTACTACTAGACGAAAAAGAAGAAATACAGATAAAGTAAATCATATTGCTAGGATTCATAAAATAAATTATATGCAAAAAAATGGCCAAAAAGAACTTACTTGTACGTTGACGGATGGATCAATTCTTTATCGCAATGGTATTTTTAATAAGCTTTCAAGTTTTTATTTAATTAATTTAGATACTATTTATTTAGTTTCAGAGCCACCTGGGGAACCATATTATCTTGCAAGAATTATGGAATTTACTTCAATGAATAATGATCCTAATGGTTCTATTAATGCGATTCGTGTAAATTGGTTTTATAGACCCAGAGATGTTCAGAAAAAAATGAATGATTCTCGCCAGTTATTTGCTTCCATGCACTCTGATATATGTCCTTTATCGGCTTATAGAGGGAAATGTAAAATATTTCATAAAGATGAAATAGAGGACCATGATGAATATCGAAAAACACCAAATTCTTTTTATTATGATAGACTTTTTGATCGTTATATACATCGTTATTATGAGGTTATACCTACTCATAAAGTAACAAACGTTCCAGATAGAGTAAAAGAAGTTCTTAAGCAACAGTGGAAATATGTGATTGTAGAAAGTGGGCGAGGGAAAGAATTAGCAATGCAGCACAGAGGTTGTAAACGTTGTGGAAACTGGTGTTTAAGGTATTTCTAGTCATTTTATAGCTAAAATTAACATATAAAAAGTACAAAATCCATTAGATGTGCTGTTTGTCATGATGACTATCATATGTATTGTGTTAAACCTCCATTACTTAAAAAACCCTCAAAAGGATTTGCATGGACTTGTACTCCTTGTTCTAGAGCTGAACGTCGTCGCATAGAAGCTAATAAAAATCCAAAAATTTTCCCAGAAAGACTGTCAAAAAGTATTAATTCAAAAAATATAGAAAACGATAATAATAATGAAACCGAAGATAATCCTGATTTATCTGACGTGACATCATCAACATCGTCCAATACTTTAGAGTCCATTGATTGTAGTCAAATGGATGAAAAAAAGATTTATAAACAGCCAACTGAACAACAAAAGGCAATTACTAAATTATGGCCATATAGATATTTAGGAATACATTGTAATGTGGAAGATGTATTAGATTATGATGACAGAATTTATCCTAGAGCTGCATCTAGAATTGGTAGTAAACATCAGGCAGTTATTCCAGAACAAAATGGGACCTTAATAGATAAACTACGAACTCCAACAGATACACGAAAAAGGAAAAAAGGCAAACACATTTATAAATATTCTAGTATTTCAGAAGACGAAATATCAGAACAGATCGATTCACTAACTAAACCTGATAATAATACAAAAACAAGTAATTCTACTCATTCTTTTGAATCATCTAATTCAAAATCAGTATTTAATAAAAACTGTTCATTTTCTATTAAGAAGAGTAGTAAATATGGTTATTCTTTATATTTATATATATATTAATTCTAACTTTTTTTAGTTTTAAGAGGAAATGATGACACAAGTATAAAGTTATTTTCAAAACCAGAAAATATTCCAGATAATTTAATAGATACTTATCTTGATAAAGTAAGACATATAGCCGAAAAACTTTCTTTACCTCCTTTTTCTACAGATTTTCAAGATATGGTATTAACTACTCTTTATAAAAATCACTTTGATATAACTGCTGCTATTTCAAGTTTATCATCTTTAACTAGAGGACACCTTAATATACCTGAATTTAATACTCTTGAATTACAACAGTTTGAGAATGCTGTTTCTCAGTATGGCAGTGAATTATATTTAGTTGCTAATGAAATTCCAACAAAGTCTTTGTCACAAGTAATTAGATTTTATTATTTCTGGAAAAAAACAGCATCAGGAAGGAATATATGGGGAAATTATTCGGGTCGTCGTAAGAAAGAAGAGAAGCTATTCTCATCAAATCACAATAGATCAGTATTAGACTCTTCTTTATATTTGACAGAAGATATAGCAGACAGCAGTGATGATAGTGCATATAGTTCTGAAAAAGCTATATTAAGACAAAAGAGCTTTATTTGTAAATTTTGTTCTATAACTGAAAGTCGACTTTGGAAACGTGCTCCAGGTGGCTCTGTTATTTCCGATAAAAATGTAGTTACTGCACTTTGTCAAAGATGCGGGGAATTATGGAGGAAATATAGTGTACGCTGGGAGCCACCTGAGGAAATTGCTAGGAAATTATCAGAACCTGGTGCACGTTGGAGAAAAAAAAAGTTTGAAGAAGAACTTTTAAAAGAACAAGTTGTTTTTGAAGAAAAAGAAAAAACAGAAGAAAATAATGACAAGAGTGGTTTAGGGAAAAGACGTCGTTTAAAAAATGAAGTAAAATATTCAAAAAAAGATATGGATGATACATTGATTTCAAAAGAAAATTTTACTACATTATGCCGTGTTTGCAAACTTTTTGAACCAAAATCCATGCTCTATAGATGTAGAACATGTGAACTTATAGTTCATAAAAGTATATAATTTTTTAAAACTACTATTACTGACATTTTTAGCTTGTTATGGAGTTTCAGTCGATTCTAATTCATGGAATTGTGATATGTGTATTAATGATAAAGCTCCTGTAGTTTCTACTGTATCATTTTCCTTAAAAAGATATAATACTAATTTTTTTAGAATTATAAATGTGTACTTTGTTCAGTTCATAATAATTCATCATCTGATTCAAATTCTTTATTTAGAGAAGCTCTTAAACAAACATCAGGAAATAACTGGGCGCATGTTGTTTGCGCTGTTTGGATCCCAGAACTTAAATTTACTTATCCATCTACTTTTCAGCCTATAGAGGGAATTGGTGCTATTTCATTAGCTAGATGGCAACAAGTAAGTTTTATACATATCAAATGATTTTATAATATTATTTAGGTATGTTCTATATGTAAAAAAAATCAAGGAGCATGTGCATTATGTCATATCTGTCATATTCCAGTACATGTGACATGCGCAATCAATGCAGGATATATTATTGGATTTGATATAGCTTTAGTAAAGGGTTCAAGGAAAGATAATGCTATAACCATAAAATTTTGTGGAGAATATGGAGTTATGACCGCTGCTATATGGTGTCCTAACCATAACATGAAAAAAACAGTAGTTCATAACATTAATGAATATGATTATGAATTGAATAAAGTAATTTCCTCATATTTTGCATACTTGTTAACAGAGGTATAGTATGCGATCAAAGTTTATGTTGAGAACTATAAAACATCTATGATTCCTACAAAAATCGGAAATAAGCGAAGTGATACAGATGTTTATTTTGGACATACTACTCCCTTGACTATTGCAATTAAATTAGAAGAACTAAAAAATCTTAGAATTAAAGAGCAATATTTAACTATAAAAAAATTAACAAAATCATGTCATATATGCAAAACTGTTATATCTCCTATATGGTGGCCAATGAATAATATAGTATCAGAATCAACAGATATTTCACATAACATAACATCTCTATATATATGTCATTTATGCTATTTTACTCAAAAAAAAAAAATTAATGATTTTATATCTAATGACTAAAATTACAACAGAATCTTTGAATTTATTCTAAACATTATTTTGAATGAGTTAAGATTGTATACAAAAATATTTAGTTTCAAATTCGTGACTTCATTGTAAATTATAAAGAAAAAAATCATTAGATCATGATTTTATTAAAAATTAAATCCATATTAAAAATTTAAATATAGTAAAATTTAATGTTTAAATAAAAGCACTTATGCTTATTTATGTAGTCAAAAATAAAATACGGTTTCTGTTCATGATTTTAGTTATTAATAAATATTAAATAATAATACAAACATAATTTACAACTATGATTTTTAATATAATCATTAAGCTCTTTCGGACCTTTGCTACCATACGGATAAAGAATAGGTATAATATCATTATTGTTATCTAAATAATGTAAAAGTGGTGTAAATATTCTCCATGATTCCTCTAATTCATCATTACATACAAAATTTGTTTGATCACTATAAATAATTAAATATAAAAAAATCTAAAGAAATTTTAGTTACCCTTTTATAACATCTAATAGTAATGTCTCATATGCTTCAGAGATTCTCACATTTGGAAATTTATTTTTATATATAAAATCTAGTTCAGCGGGAACAGAATGCATATCTAATCCAGGATACTTAGAATTGATTTTCATATGAACACTAATAAGTATTAATACTTGTTTAATATTAGGAAAATATATATACCCTTCATTTGGTTGTATAGATATAATTAGTTCATTTCGTAAAATATCTTTAAATATTTTACTATTAATATCCTTATATTGAATACGAACTTCAACCTTTTGTTCATCTAATGCTAAAACTATGTCAATATATAACTTTTCAAACATTAATTCAAATAAAAAATACCTTTACCAGCAATTAAGATAAACGGGATAGAATCCCAAACCTCATTATTAATGAATAGAGTTAGCGCAGCGAACGTAGGACAACGAGAATCCTTAGGTACGCCGTCTTCATCAATATAACCAGGTTTAGATCCATCCTCTGATTTTGTATATTGACCAATAATAACATTTCTAGGATCAATAACAAATATATCTTGAAGAATTTTTATTTTTTTATAGCGAATATCAGAGGGTAAAAAAGAAAAAGGTTCTTCCATTGTTAAAATAACCAATATTTGCAATAAGTCTATAATATTAAGAAAATTTTAAAAAATTCTAAAATTCATACGATTTTGCATTACGTCTCTAATAATTCCAAATTCATTAAAATATCCTCCACGTCCCTCTGCTCCAAACGGTTCTTTAAATATAATCTATATTTAATTAATCAAATAAAACACTATTTTACTTTTATACTTGAATATTTGATATATAATGTTTATTCCACAATCTACTCAAAAAAAGATTTGTAAACCGCATTATAAAAAGATTTTTAACCATTTCTTTGCCAAGATAATGATCAATTCGAAAAATTTCATTTTCAGCCCATAAACATGCAAGAGCTTTTTGGAGTTTTTTGCTACTTTCAAAATCTTTTCCAAATGGCTTCTCAACTATTAACCTAGCAACACCTGATCCTGGATAAAGAAGATCCTTTATATAGTAAGAAACTGAATTAAAAACATTAGGAGGGAGAGCCATATAAAAAATCCTATTTTGTTTTTGGCATTTATCTATAAAATTTATTAAATCAAATAATTAATCATAAAATTTACCTTCAATTTCTTTAATATGTAACAAAAGTTTTTTAAATCCATCACAACTATCATATTTCCCACTGATATACGTACATATACTTTTAAATTCTTTAAAAACTATATCGCTTTTTAAAGTTGAAGTTTTTATATATTGAGAAAATCTAGAATGAAATTCATGATTGCTCATTTCGGTCCTAGCATATCCGACTATACGAATATTTTTAGGTATAAGGTTATTTTGATACTATTATTGTTAAAAAAAAATACCAAGTATATTATTTACAAGTTCAAATAAAGCAGGAAACTTAAAAAAGGATTAATATATAAATAAGTAATTAATTGAAGGATTTATACAATTTTTTTGTTTGCTAAATCTCCTGAAGCTCCAAAAACAATAAATGTAATATTTTCTTTTAACCTAGTTCTAAAAAATGTTAATATTAATTCTAAATAAGTAAATTTTTATAAAAAAATTTACAATATCAAAAAGGATAAGCCTTAATGAAATAAAATTTTCTTAATTAAAACATAATAATCTATAGAATTAATCATGAAACTTGTTAAGTATCAATTAAATATATATTGAAATTATAAAATTAAATAAAAAAATATTATACTACTTCTTACCCTATATCAGAGTCATTAGACATCCTAAGAATAGACTCAACCATGTTTTATAAATAAAATTTTAATTTTTAATGTTGCGATTAAGAGTTTCCAAAAGATCTAAATTTGAGCGGAAAAATTACATTTGAATAATAAAAAGTAATAATATTTTACAATATATTCAACTATTTATAATAAATAATCTATTATATATAAAAACTAGGTAACTATACTTAAGTTAATATAATTACTCCAATAGTAACACTATATTTACATTAATAAAAAATATGCTAATATGTAATTTTTAAAAAACTAATGAAAATATTTTAAAACTTTACCAAAAAACTATAATAAAAACATTTCTAAACTTAAATATTTAAAACCATTTATGCACATTTATTCTTCCATTTCATTATCTTTTTTTCTTTCAGCAACAACTATATCCACTTTTATATCTTGATCTACTCCAACATAAGAATCACTAAAACATGATAAAGTATATTCGTATTTCCCTGCATTTGGGGGAACAAATTCAAGTTTAACTGATAAAGTCTTTTGTAAGGTAACCTTTTTAATAGCTAATAAAGATATTCCATCACCAATTACAATCCACCAATGTTCATTTTTTGATGTAGGAAAAAATGGGGCATAAACTAAAGTATTAATTTCTTCCATTTCTCTTGTAAGAGTAATATTAATAGCTGTTTGACACCCAGCAGTAATGGATTCTGGGTTATCTAATTCAAATACAATATCTATTGATGGATAACTATTAATAAAGTTAGCTACATCACGCATTTCTTTTGCTCCCATTTCTAAAAGTTTGTTTCTAGAATCATCAGAAGCATCAGCTAAAAATTCACCTAAATCATATATAGATTCCAATCTAATAAGGAATAAATTTAATATATTTAAGAATTTTCAATTTACCCTGCATCCATACATCTTTTAATTACATCTTCAGTAAAATGTGGTACTTGTTTTAATGGACTATCACGGTCCCATACAGCTTGTACACACCTAAAAATTTAGAAAAATAATTTTAAAAAAAGTAATATAAATAAATGCCTTACATTTGTGATAATTCCATTGGATAGCTAGAATTCAAATAACCTTCTGATGACATAACATCAACACACGCACTAAGAAGATTCATAATTTTCTGCAATACTAATACTTGATCCGCTACCAAGTCAATAGGGAGTTGGAAACGGGAAAAATGTGCTAATATATATCAGAAAATACATATACATATACACATATATATTAAATACCTTGTAATAATATAAATGCCTTAAAAGAAGGAGAATCGAAATCTTGATTTTGAAGCTTTACGGGAACTCTTTCATAAATACGCCGTAATACTACATCTTCATGTCTACGAATAGGTATTGTTTCAAATTCTGCAGCAGCAGTAACAACTTCTAATAAACCTTTCATTTTAGTTTTAGATGTTAAACTTAAAGCCATAGTTTCGACAGTAACATATGTAAGATTATAATAGCTCGCAATCATTGCTAGATTTAAAGGTGTAACATAGAAGTCATCTTCAATCAAAATAATTTTCTTTTCCATTAAATCATTTAAAGTAGTTTCTACTAAATCAGATAAATAACTACTAAGTGATTCGTGAGAAATATCCTGAAGTCCATAAAATCCTGGATTAGCAACTAAACGACGGTACATATATGACCAAGTAAGCCAATCTACTGCTTCTTGCTTATTCTCAATTGTGGATGTAGCTATTTCTGTAACAAATGCGTCATGTGTAAATATTTGAAGATGACTTTCAATTGGCAATGCTTCACTTAAAAATTTTTTATAATATTCTTTTTTTACAGCAGGAACCATTATAACTGCTTTACTAATTCCATCTTGATTTGGCTGGTATGCATATCCTAACATCTGTAATATTTCACTAATTGGATAATCAATATATCTATGTTCTCTTCCTTCAAAATACTGTGTACCCATTACAACAACCATATGTGCAGTAACTCCCACTGAATATGCTACATCTCTTGAAACAAAAAGAATTTGAATAGCTTTAAACCTGTAAAGCGATATGACAATATCTTTATCTGATTTGCTAAGTGCTTCATGATAATATCCTATTCCATGAGATAAACAGTTTGCTAATACTTCATCTTTAACTTTTCCAATATGTGTCATGATATCATCAGATGTTGACAATAAAAATCTATTTTCATTACCACTGGAATTACAATACGTTAAAATATCAAGAGATATGTTAAGACATTGTTTTCGACTTGGAACAAATATTATAGCTGAAAAATCATGTGACAATGTTAATAGGATTAAATATAATGGTTTTGTCATTGCTATCATTAACGATGCAAAATGAGGAATTGTAAATGACTGCATAGTTACTTCAAGGGGCCTAGGTCGATCTTTTGGATTAAAGTTATATATGCAATGCTGATTTATGCCTATCCATTCTCCTAGTTCTCTAGCATTAGCTAACGAAAGCCCCAAGGCAATAATCCGAATTTTATTTTCAGTTTGAGCAGCAATATATCGCATTCGCGATACAATAACTTCATAAACAGGTCCTAAATGGCCGCCAACAGCATGAATTTCATCCGCAATAAACAATTCAATTGTTTGAATATTTTTACGCTGTTTCCATCTACGGGACAAAACATCCCATTGAACTGGGGTTGCAAGAACTAAATCAGCCTTTTGTAATAATTTAAGATCTTCACTAGTTTCTCCTGTCAATTTAATTATTTCTTTATGATTATCCATAATCTTGAATTTGATACTCCAATCATTATATCTTTCATCAACAAGTTCTTGAAACGGAGCAATATATACAGCTCTTCCAGAATTTTCTTTTAACCAATGCCTTATTAAAGCAAATTCAGCACATGTTGTTTTTCCACTGCCTGTAGGTGCACCTACAAAAACATTCTCGTCAGTAGTAAATAATGTATTAAACACTTGAGTTTGAATTTTATTAAAATGTTGGAAATATGATGAATAAAGTTTAATAAACTCTGGTTTACGAACAGCAGCAATAGGAAGTGGCTGTAAATCAAGTAAAGGCGTATACGGAGGTATTTTTTCTGGAAGAATTAAATGTTTAAATGCTACAGAAAGTTTTGTTTCAGAATGCATCCATCGATCTGAAATTATAGTAATAAAATAATTTGGCGGTATTGGCTCAGATATTGGAACTGTGAATTCAACATAATGTTCATCTTTTGAATATTTTTCCTTCAATATAAACTGGTCATGAAAAAGAATCTGTTCTCCATTTACATCTTCAGCTATAATCCAAAAAAGTTCACTAAAACTGTGTATTTCATGATCCCATTCAAACTGAGGAATAATTGTTAAATTCACTCTTAACAAAGATCGTACAATCGGTTGAACATGTACTTGTAGTTCTAGTCTTGGAAAATGCTGAATAAGTTTATGAACCAATTTCCCAGCTTTCGGTACACTTATTAACTCACCAAGTTCATGAGGATCTAAATCAAAATATCTACTCCACGGCAGATCCTTCCGTTCAACTTTACGGATAACTTCTAAAGGACATACTTTAAACTGCCTTAAAGGCGTCATAGTTGGCCACATGCATTTTTCAACCATTTTACACATATCAAGAGCTAATTTAGCAACTTGTGCCCACCCCCTTTTTAAACAAATATCAAAAATGGCCCTTAAAATTCTTTTTGCTGATTGAGTAACATAAATCATGTCAGAAATTAAAGCAAAACCTTCAAGTTTTAATCTAGATATATAAGCTTGCAACAGTGTATTAATTTTTGCAGATGCTTCCTCAACACCTTCTTTAATAGGAATGGGAACCCTACTAAGTAATTTCTGAAGCTCTAACTTTTCTTCTTCTCTCACTGGAATATACTTAAATTCATCTGAAAGACAAAATAGACGAAAAAGCTCAATATACGATAATGTGGGTCTAAGATACTGATTATATGTAGCCATAGATTCATATGTGATATAATAATGAGAAGCGATTCTTCCTATTTCGGTTGTTTGAAAATCTCCTGTTTTTTTATCATATTTTATTAAATTGTGTTTATCTAACAATAATGCAGCTGAATGAATAAGGTCAATCCGTTTTTGTTCTAAATCCAAATCGTCTGCATAGTCTGCACCAACATTATATATTACGGGTGATCGCAACATTCGAATATATCTATATAATATTAAATAAAAATTATAACTAAGGACTTACAAATAAGTATATCCGAGCCACTGAGCAGCTTCGTCTCTATTCCTTACGGTTCCAAGGACAATTTCTGCATTTAAATTATCAACAATTTTACTAATAAATTGACTTTCTATTGGTAACTGTTGATTAAGCAAACTCAAATAATATTGAAGCTCTGGGTGTGATGTAATAATTATACCTTCACCATAGGAGTCATATTGTGGTCTTCCAGCCCTACCTAACATTTGAAGAACATCTTGAGGTGATAATTCTACCCAACGACCTTTTTCTGGGGAATAAACTTGAGTTCCTTTAATAATAACAGCATGTGCAGGAAGGTTAACACCCCACGCTAAAGTAGATGTACTAACTAAAACTTTAATATGACCTGCTGCAAAAAGTTCTTCAGCAGATTTCCGATCAGCACGAGTCATGCCAGCATGATGAATACCAAGTCCATAAGGAAGGATATCTTTTAAATTCGTGTCGCTAACTTCCTTTGCTTCTGATTGAAGAATTTCTCTTGTTGCTGCATCTGGATGCAAAATTTGCCCAATAGTTTCTTCTTCTAAACATTTATCTCGAATAAATTTCGCAGTTTTAGCAGTTTCTTTGCGTGAATGAACAAAAATTAAGACTTGGAATTTTCTAGCTTGCTCCATCACTTTTTCATACGTAATATCATTCATAAGCTGCAATCTTTTTATTGCTTTTTTTTCAGTAATTCCAATAAACTCTTGCTTTAGCGGGCACGGACGATATGAGTTATCAAAATAAAACAAACCATGTTCCAAATCTACCTTCAAAAACGTAGCTACATCCATATAATTAGGGAGAGTAGCTGAAAGTCCAATTAAACGAATAGATTCAAATGTTTGTTCTGTTTTTCGAATTGTTCGAGCAACAATGGCTTCTAAAACAGGTCCTCTATCATCATGAAGTAAATGAATTTCATCAATAATTATTAAACGAACCAAATTAGTATATGACACTTCAGTAGCTTTTCTAGTAATGACATCCCATTTTTCTGGCGTAGTTACAATTACTTGAACTTGGGATATTTGGGCTTTAGTAAGTTGTGCATCTCCTGTTAGTTCTTCCACTTGAATACCATAATGAGACAATCTAGAACTAAAATTTCCAGCCATTTCCTGTACAAGAGCTTTTAATGGTGCAATATAAACAATTTTAAAATTATTCTTATTGAATTCTCCTGTAGATTCATTACGATGCTTTTTTAACTCATTTAAAATACAAAGCATAGCTACATTTGTTTTTCCTGCACCTGTTGGTGCACAAATAAGTAAATTGTCGTCTTTTCCAAATGCCATAGGATAAAGCTTACTTTGAATAGGATTCAGTTTTTCAGTGTTTCCGAATACAGGATGAACCCACTCAGGCATATCAGATATCAAAACGGTTTTTATATCTTTAGTTGCCGCTTTTTTTGGAGGAGGGACATGGACTTCTTCATAGCCCTTTTTGGATCGCTTAAAAGACCCTTCTGGCAACTTACATTTTTTATTTGACATCAAATGTGCTCCTTGAGAGAATTTAAGTGAATCTAAATCAAGAACTTTTTTAGGTATAGTTTCAGAAATTTGAGAAATAGAAATATCTTTAAATGACTGTTTTTCTATATTTTCTGGTAGACTATGGTCCACCATATTGTGATCATATTTTTCTGAATGCTTCAAAGATAATGCTTCTCTGTCTTCTTTGAGTTCTCGCAAAATCCATTCATAACCTTTTGATTTCATTTCAATTTCAATTTTTTTTTTAGCTTCAGGATCAGTTGCCTGTAAAAGACGCATACACCATACAATTGTATCACGATTCCTAGTTAATATTTTTACAAGTTCAAATTTATCATAATCAAATAACTCCATAAGTTCATTTTCAAGCTGTCCAAATGAAATATTTGATTCTAAAAAAGAAATAGCTGATGAAGTTTTTTCATGAATAATATACGGGTCATTATAATGTGCAGATATAATTCTTTGTAACCAAAATGAATCAATCTGATGAGCAAAAACTTTTTCTTTATTTTCTTCATTTATGGAATATTTATTCGTTTTCCCATTGACAATAGTTATGTAGCTCTCTTTATTTTCCGCATCACTATCTATGTCAGATTCTTCTTGATCATCATCATCCATTTCGTTATCCATATTTTCATTTTCATCATCATCAAAAATAACAGCAACCCTTTGTTCATCAAGTTCTTGATAATCATCATCAGCAATATCCTTGAAGTCTTCAGAAGAATAATCTGTTATTTTTTTTCCAATTGCAATTAATTGAGAAAATCTCTCACTTGATATATTTACTCCGAGTAATTTATCAATCTCTTTTTTTCTATCATAGTCTTTTAAATTTTCATCTTTTAAAAATTCCAGAACGGTATCACTAGCGCTCCTTACTATATCATGACTTTGATCCCCAATAAACTCATAAACGTAGGCTAAAAGTGCTTCATAAGTTTCTCGAGTTTCTTTAGTTTTCGGATGGTATATAAGACCTTCTAAATCTTCTGTGGTATCCAATATAGAAGAATACATATTTTTTTTTCTTAATAATACTTTTTTTTTATATTTCTGATCAAATTCATCATCTACTACTACAGTATCTTTTTTTTTAATATCTTCTGGCTGAGTATTTTTAGAAGCACGAGAACCCATATCTTTTACACTAATTCGTCCTGCGAGAGATTCAGGTTCTCCTGTTGCTTCATGATCTCGACGAGTAACAAATCTTTGATCTGCTTTGCTAACTTTGTTAGATATTTCAGAGTATTTATATTGGTCCATATTTGGAGCCTGTGAGTGATATCTAGACGACATGGTTTATTTAAAATATTAATAAAAATAACTTAAAAATTGCAATAAATGTATTCAAAATTTTAATCCCCAACTCAATTATGAAAATTATTTTAATTCTTTCACCAACTTTAATTTGTTTTTTCGAAGACTAGAATCTTTCGCTGTACAAAAAAATTCGGTTTTAAAAATATAAATAATCTATTATATAACATTGCTGTATCTTTTTATTTTATATTAGTATTATGTCCTAATAGCTAAGTTCTTTTTAATATAATAATTACTTTAACAAACGTAAGGTTAAAAGGCTTCAATAGACTAAATGTTATTTTTACAAGAAAAATATTTAAATAAATGTTGCAATTTTACTGTCAGATTTTTGATAATATTATTAAGAAATTACATATTGCATCAAATGTTGTGTAATTTAGTATTTTTATAATTCAAATACGAATTAATTAATCATTTTATTGTAATTAGTGTATCCAATGCCTTTACAACTTACTATTATTTCGTTTTTATCTGGAACAAATCGCATTTCTACTTTAAAAAATAATTTAATATCTCTTAAAAATACTACTAAATGTTCATCAATTTTATTACTTATTCGTATACGTCCAACATCCTCTGATCCTAGCACCATTCCAAGAAGAGCATATTTGCATGCTACATTGTCAACACTACCTCCATTTTGGATTTGTGACAATAAAGCTCTAGCACAATTAATACCTATATCTTCAGGAATATCTCCTGACTCTCCTAATAATTCGCTTGTATATAAAGATCCTGTATTTGATTCTGCAACAAGTGATAAAAAAAACCCAGGAGATTTCCCACATTCGTTTCCTCTTCGAACATCTGTATAAATATATATATCAGGAATAAATCTATTTAGAACACTCCTTGCAGATTCGACAAGTCTATTGGCCATAGCAGGTGATACACGCGTAGATGATGCAATCCCACGAATGCGTTTTATTCTTCCTGGTGATAAAAGATGAATGGTAGAAAGTGTACGAATAGATGGGCATGTAAAATGAATTTCGCCTCCTCCAAGTGGCGGAGAACCTCGTTTTAAAATCTAAATAACATGAGAATATGAAGAAAAAAACTAAACAAATTACTCGAAGCTCAAGTCCATCATTTATTCCAAATTTTTGCATAACTGGGAGAATATTTGTCCGAATAATATCAACACTGACATCATAGTTATCAACAGTTAATCCAGTAAAAGTTAAATCAAATGGAATTTTTGAAAATGGTGCAATATTAATTAATGGCAAAAGAAAATATCCTATTGACCTCGATGTTCCGCAATCATGAGTAAATTTTCCTCCATAAATCTGACCCGGTTTAAATATAATGATTGTGCCTTATAAAAGTTAATTCTTATATAATTGTATAATAAATAATCAATTTCCTAATAACTTACCTGTATATGAAATATTAATTTGTGAACCATTTGTAATCCCTTCTAATAAACGAAGAAATGAAATTTCATAATCTAAAAATTTAAAGTTAATCTTAAATTAGGATAGAAAATATATACCTCGAAGACCAGGATTCGGATCATTAGAACGAATTTTTTCAATCCGTATAGTTTTTCCACTTAATAAAGATAATATTAATCTTTGTGTAAAATAATTATGACCTTGAAATTGAAGGATTTGTGTAATCATATTTTTTTAAAAAAAATTATTAAATCATTCATCTTTTTTTAATATAAATTATGTTTTTGGTTTCTTTCTGATATTAAAAGCCAATAAGTATTTTTTATATAAAGTTTAATAGAATATACATATATTTTCAATATTTGTTTCGTGGTTAATAAGATTTTAACTTAAATTAATTACTCGTTTTTATGATATTTTTTGTAAAAAGATATACTTTTTTCAATATATAAAAATATATAAAGAAAAAATATATCATTAATGGGATATTTTATAAATACATAATTTAAAAATATTTATAATACATTATATATCATTACCTTTATATTTTTAACTTAAAATATCGAATTTTAATAGTACAGTATTGAACAGTTATTAATCATAAATAAACCTTATTTTTCTTATGTCCTTATGTTTTATAATAAAATATAAAATAGTATATGTTTTAATGAAAACTTGATATTTTTTCAAAAGCAACCCAAAGTTTGTTTCTTAGTTCATTTTTATATTTTTAATTCTTGACCTAAAAAACTATACAATCTTTATTTCATAGCTTGTTTTTTTTATTTCTTTTAAATTTATACTAAATTCATTTTTTTTCCTTTTATTATTTCATTAATATTTCAATTATATACTTGAAAACGAAATTCGTTTTCTTCATAAAAACTACAATTTCAATCTCTATTACTAAATAGACATTTTATTAATAATTTAACTACAGTTTCTTCTTTATGTTCATAAAATATGCAGTTTTAGATTAAAGTACATATGAAAGTTGTATCTTCATTATATTTACTCAATTTTATACCTAACCCCCCCTTTTATGAAACTAGAGAAACGGGTAATTATTAGACAAAAACTAGGTATTAAAAATATAAAAAGTAAATATTTAAGAAGAATATTCTAATAATAGAATAATAGGAACGTTAGAATGAGTGACAATGAAATGTCTACAGAGGTTGTTGAAGAGCCAGAAGTTTTAACAGTGAAAAATCAGGAATCGGAAATTCTAAATAATAAAATTGATAAAAAGGAATTATTAAAGACAAAAGGACAAAATAAAGATGATTTAGGGTACAGTGTAGGAGATTTGGTTTTAGCAAAGATTTCTGGATACCCCTGGTGGCCTGGGATGGTATTTCTGCTTTGCAGATGAATCAGTAATATGTAACACAAATTAATCTATATACATAGATTTTCCCGGAGGATGTTGTGCCTAAGGATGTTAAGGATGCTCGACCGGTTTCTAAGAAACGCAAAAATGGTACTGAGGTCAAATACTGGCTTGTAAGATTTTTTCCAGCGCCTGAATAGTAAGTATCAATTATTTTTTTGCTATAATATCTATGGTATACTTATAATCAATTAGTATATGGGCAACCAAGAGTGATATTAGGCCTCTAACGTCAGAAATGATTGATGATTTCCTTTCGAAAAAAACAACGAAAAGAGATATACGAGAAAGTTATGAAATTGCAAAAACAAATCCTACTGTTGAAGACTTACTTGCTCAACAATCATTTAAAACAAATGATAAAGCATTGGAGGAAGATGAAGAGGAAGATGAAGATGAAGTAGAAGATGATGAGGAAGAGGTTAATGACGATGATTCTAATGATTTAAAAAACGGAGATATTGATGATATTAAAAAAAAGGATATGTTAAAAAGAAAATCAGATTCTAGGAAAGGTGAAAATAAAAAAAAGAAACTTGAAGGTAGTTTACATAAAATAAAGCCAAACGATCAGGTATTATTTAATATTATTAAAAAACCATATTTAACTAATTAATAGGAAAAAACACTCTCTTCTAAATCTCGAAAAGCGTTGAATAGAATCTCAGATGGGAATTCTAATTCAGGGGAATATCCTATTTATTCTGAACAGTCATCACAAGTAAAATGGGAGCAGAAAAAACAACAAGTTTTATTCTTGAGACATAAATTACAAAGAATAATGCTTGCTACGGGGAAGGTGCCTTCTGAAGCTGTATAGGTTTTATCTATTATGTTACGTTAAATTAATGTTTATAGGATATGCCTATAGTAAGTGAGCAATTAGAAAAATTAGAAACATTTAAAGGAATTGATATTGCAATTTTACGAGTAAGTTTTTTAGATGTTTAGCTTGCATATAGTTGATTTTTATTAAGACTACAAAAATAGGGAAAGTTTTAAAAAGAATTATTCAACTTCCTGATATACCTGCTAATGAAAAATATTCTATTAAAGAAAGAAGTGAGAAATTGCTTATTTTTTGGAAGGATCTACTAGAAAAACCTAACGATGATACTGAAAATGGTCAGGAAAAAAAAAGTAAATCATCTTCCAAAAAAGATCTACCTGAATTATATATAATAAATGGTAATGCTTGATGATTGGATAAAATGAAAATTTCATTAATAAAATCGTTTTCGAATTTGTATTTGAATATAATTAAAAACGGTTTTTGTTTATATTAAATATTAGCGGTTTTAAGAATCTATGTTTGTAAAAGTTTATAATTCGATTACATATAGCATAAATATATGCATATATCTTTATTATTGATATCTAAAGTTTTATGTTAAAACCTAGTTATGAGTTTTATTATATATATTATTTCAGAAAAATACTTGAAACATTTATCGTTATTTTTAATTAAATTTTAGAATCAAATAAATATGAAAGCAATAAAATCACTATATTTTCTATTTTTCTCCTTAAATATAATATAATTATTATTTATGTTGACTTATAATTTACATTACTAAATAAATGCAGTAATCCATTTTTTAATAAAAATATGTTTATTTAGAATTTTCAATTAAAAAATCAATTTCAGATTTTAAATTATTAAATATTTCAATGTTTTTCAGTTATATAAAACAGATGAAATACTTTTATTATTATATATTAAAATATTTCCATAAAAACAGTTAAATTAAAAAACTTTAATATTTAATAATCAAAAATGTTTTATAAAATATATATAGATTAAATTTTTTAGAAAAAAAAAAAACGAAACTTTAAAAATACATATTTATAAATCTATTCTAAAATAGCTCCTTCTATTAATGCTCGTATACTACTTCCCCAGCGGGCAATTCCTCCATCATGACTATGCATCATGGTATCTACAATTTTTTTTCTAGCCAATTCTTTATTTCGTGCTTTAAAAAGATATTCCATTGCAGTCAAAAGACATAGTGTTTGTTTTTTATCCAGTGTTTTTAAATAAGGTATCAAATAAAGATTTATACGACTAATTAACATATTATGCAAGTGTAAAGAATGCGTTGATGGCATATGCATTAAACGCTCTATATAACTACAAAGCACTTCAGAAGAACATAATGATGTGTTAGATAAAACAGATGTGGGTATATTTTCAAATGATGTATCGCATGATATATTTTGCATAACAGAAATATTTTCGAAAACTTTTGATGATGGATCATTCCAATGATGCTCAATTTTTCCTATCTGGTGTGACATCATATAACTTATGAAAAACTTCCAATTAACTTGTTAAAACCATTCTTTTAAAGTTGAATACTATTTATATTTTTTCATGTTCGATAACGAATTTTCATAAAATTTTTACAATAGAAAATAATTTATTTACTAATATTTTAAAATTTATTAATATCCAATATATAATTAAATTTTATTAATTTTTAAGTTAAAAAATGTATCTAAGTAATATAAAAATCAGTATTTATATTCAATATTAACCTATAAATACAAATAATAGTAATATAAATAAACATGTACAGTTTAAATCTATAAATAATGAATAACTTGTTTATATGTATTTTAAGAATCAATCTTTTAACATAAATGAAATTAAATATTAAATTTTAAGTACAGAAGTAAAATTTTTATACCCAAATCTGCATCTCATGACGAAAAAACCGGCTAAATTCATCATCATCGATATTTGGATAATATGGGACCATTGAATCTGCTTGTTGAACATACATATTATTATAAAGACGCCAATAAACATCACGAACTTTTCTACTTGGATGAAATAAACCTTGTAAAATATACATCATTAAAATACCAGGACCAATAGCAGTTCGAATACCATCGATAGCATTAATAACTATACATATTAATATTTTTATAAAACATTAAAAAAAGTACCTGCATTAATAAGATGAGGAGATTGTTCAAAAATATTTGGCCATACAGTATTTAATAAATGAATCATAGCATCTTCACAGCCAAGTCCAACAACACCAAGAGATAAATGAGAAACAGTAGTGGCAGCCGTTTGTCGATGAACCTGATCTCTATCTGTTAATGCATCACATAATAAAGGTACAACTGCATATATGTAATCTTTGCCCATTTCACCAATATATTCAAATAAGAAGGAAAGAGACTTCAAAACACCATTCTGAACATTAAGTTCTAAAATATTGTTAATTTCTATACTAAAAGATCTAATTTATTACCAGGGACCCTGTATTCATTCATTACAGCAGGCAAAACAGTAAAGGGTGCACATGTTTCAGCAACAATAGCAATCGCTACAGTTGTACAAACACGATTTTGTCGTTCTTGAACTTTTAAGTTATTAAGTAAAGTAGCTAACACATCCTGAGGACCAATAGCTTTTGCAATAAAACCGAAAGTATTTACAGCAGCTCGACGAATACCTTTTTTATGCGCTTTAAGCATATCTAATAGTTCGAAACATATCCTCATCCATTCACGGGCTGAAACAAATTCTGAACCACGATCTGCAATACGACCAACAAGGTCAATAGTATTTTCTTGAACCTTTTCATGACGATTACGAAGAATAGGTGTTAATCTAGGTAACAAATCTTTAATTGGTGGTGTCATCGAGGTCATACCAACAACATTTACAATCGACTTTAAAGCACCAAGAATAGATCCTAAAACTTCAGGGTATTCTTCTCCTAAATACTCATAAAGCACAAGACCAAGTTTACCCATAAGTTGCTCTTCCCCACATGTTTTCATAACAACAGAAATACGAGAAACAAGATCTGCTGACTGTTGTCTTACTTTTGCTGACTTGTTATTTAATCTCCATAAAATTGTAGAAACAATTTGTGGAAGATATGGTTTGCATCTCATACCCAATGCATTAACTACTGTCCCAAAACCATTTAACATAACAACATCTTCCATGGATTGCTCTTGAAAAGCATACAAAACACCATCAATTAAACGTTCCTCAAGACGACTATTAATGTCAGCAGCACCTAGTCCAGCAATAATCTTCTCAATGGTCTCAACTGCCATTTTCCTGTATGGCTCACTTTCATCTTTTAAATGGTCTACAATCTTCTCTATAATTTCAGTAACACCAACTTTTTGAGCAAGCTCAACAGTTGTTTCAACAACTTGACGATAATTTCTTCTATCGAGGGCCATTCTTCGCACCCAAAAATTTTTAAAAAATTCAGGTATAACTTCTATTCTTAAGTACGTAGCGTCTACTCCATCTGTAGCAGCAGATTGACTCACAACTTTTAAAACAATTTTTTTCATTTCTTCATCTGGAGATTGAAATTCTCGTATCAAAATTTTCATAATCTGAGTTGTATAATGATTTGCATATTCTGCATCCATTAAAGGAATTATATACCCTGTTGCTTTTAAAAATGCAGCAAGTCCTTTACCTCTATATTTTTGAACTCCTTTCCATAATGGTCGCAAAACAATATCAAAAGATTCAAAACCATATGGAGCAGCAGCCTCAGCAAGTGCTGCAATGGCTAATGCAGTAATAATTCTAACCTTTTGTTGTTCATCTTCCAACCCACTTCCAATGGCATCCACCAAATTAGTTAAGTGAGGCAAGATTGCACATCCCATAAGAATAGCTATTTGTTGGACAATTTTGACACCTGTATGTCTTGCTTGCCAACTTTTTTTACTACGGCAAACAGCTTTCAAAAAAGGAAGTAAAGCAGGAATCCCAAGAGCAGATGCCACTACAGAAAAAGCTCGTGCAGTAGTATTTCGGACATATTCATCAACATGATCAATATCTGGACGCATAGTAGAAATCATATGAGCTAATCCAGCTGCTTTTGATAAATTTGATATAATTTCACGACCTTCAACACGTGCATAGTAATCCTCATCAATTAACAAAGGTTCAATAACAACAAGAATTTTATGTACGTATGGGCGTACAAGATCATCAAGTTTATATAAAATTCTATCAATAACTTTTACAAGAAGATGTCTCTCTTGATCCTCAAGAGTACGCTCCATTAGCAAAGGAAGAATTTGATTAAATAATGAGCCTGCTCCAAACTCTCTTGCTTTATCTGTAATTTGTCGTAAAGCTGACTTTCTCATTGAAGGTGTTCCATTTTTAATCTTAAGTAATAACCGCATAATTTTTCTTTCTTTTAGTTCCTCAACAGAAAGCTCAGATTCATCAGTAGAATCCATAAGTTTACCAAAATATTTCATATCTTCTTGTTTAAAAAAAGCAAGATCCCCAACACCAGGAATATCAGTTGGAAGACCTGCATTAAGTTGTTTATTAGCTGCGTTATCTATCTCCTGCATCGTAAACCCCCCATCACCAGCAAGCGGAGTCGCTACAAGTTTTCTAACAGGAGTTCGTATAGGAGCGTATCCTGGAGGAGGATCGAGAACTTTAAATCCTTTTACAGGTAATATTTCATCAAGCTCTTCATCAGAAAAATCATAAAAACGTTGTGAAACATCTGTCCCAAATGATATAGGCATTTGAGGTATCATATTGGGTAAGGGTGTTTGTAAACCTAAAAAACTAAATATTTATAAAGATAGAAAACATATTTTACCTTGAGAAGCAATAGGTGTAATACCAATAACAGGAGTTTGATCCCATCGCGAACGTTTAGGTGTAGGGATATCAGATACTTGCCCTGGAATTATAGGAACAGGAGTTTGATCCCATCTTGATCGTCTCTTTGTAATTGGCGTATCCTGTGTGCTACTCCAATCTGACTTATTTTCAGAGTCATTAGATGATTCAGAAGTATCCCAGCGTCTTTTTCTATGTTTTATTTCTATATTCTCTTTATCAACATTATCTTCAATCTTTTCTTTTTTCTTTTCAGCAATTGCACGATGAACCCGAACTTCTTCTCTTTCGAGTTCTCTTTCACGCATTATATCAGCATATGAACGACCATCATCAGAGCTTCCTTTTTTTTTATTTGCAGAAAATGCATCTTGCCGAGCAGGTGTAAGTATTTGATCAAAACGTCGTTTTTGATAATCAGATTCTCTACTTATAATTTGTTTCTTATTTGTGTCTTTATTAATAGGACTAGGATCATCCTCATTAGAAAAATCATTTAAAAGATACTTTGGTGCTGTATATTGACCTATATAAATTACATCATATTAGTAATAAAAACATAACTTTTAAAGATTGTAACACACCTACTAGCCTATGTGGTTGTTCCTGAAAATTTGCCTCAGCATTTTCTGCATTAAAAGAAATGCTTGAATCATATTCAACAGGACGTTCATTAATATATAAATCATCATCATATTTTTTATTAGAATCTATTACCACTGACACTTTTTCTGGAATATTTGTCTCATTAGAATCTGGATTTTTTAAAGGAAAATTTTCTTCTTTCTTTAAATTCCTTTCTAATTGAAGACGACGAATTTCTTCAAATTCTGCATCAGACATAATTTTTAAACTTTTTTCGTGTAAAAACTTTGATAATTTTAATATTAAAAATCCAAAAATTTATCCCTAACTCTATATTCCTTAAAACAATAACAATACTTATGTTAAAATTAAATTATTTTAATAAGTTAATTTATATTTTTTATTAATTTTCTTGTTTTTACATTTATAAACGTGTCATTACCGTAACTTTTTAACACTACAATAACTACAATATAATATATACTGAACAGATAAAAACATAAATACATAATTTAGAAATTTATAATATATTTATTTTTTACTTTAGAATTAATTTATTTCTAAAAATTGAAATTATTAAAATAACATGTTTGCAAAAAATGCTTTTAAAAATAGACTTTTTATTAAAACAACCCTTTATACTAAATAAAGATAAATATTGTAAATTATTTGCTTGTTTTTATTTTATTTTATAATTTATGACCATGATTTTAAAATTATCAAAAATCTGGTAACAATTTTTCGAAGTTAAAAATTCTAAATATTAAGACATTTATATGAATTTCAAAATATTAATTCAAATAAAAATACTAATTTAAATAAAAATATTAATTTTCAAATAACCCTTATAAAAAAAAAAGAATATTTTTCTGTTTTAATAAAAATTAAGTCTAATGACTCGGCGTATTGGTTTTCGCCGTTTTGATGCATTTTCAAAAACAATAGAAGATGCACAGATCAAAACTACGAATGGAGGACTTATTACAATTATATCTATTATTATAATTTTTATTTTAGTATCTTTTGAATGGCATGATTATCGACGAGTTGTTGTATTACCAGAGCTTACAATAGATCGTACTAGGAGTAAGTTTAAGATATTTATATTTTTACTAACATTTACTAACATCTTTTTTTTTCTTTTAGGTGAAAAATTGCAAATTAATTTAAATTTAACTTTTCCAAAAATACCATGTTCTAGTATATACTAATAATTTATTTTTATCTATTAAAAATTACTAGTACTTTCTCTTGACATTATGGATGTTTCTGGAGAACTTCAAACAGATGTTTCGCATAATGTAGTTAAAAATAGACTTGATAAAAATGGCATTTTTATTAATTCAACATCTATTAATACACTTAACTTTCAACAACCAATTAAAGTATTACCTTCTGATTATTGTGGATCTTGTTATGGAGCAAAAGAAGGATGTTGTAATACGTGTGAAGATGTGATAAATGCATATATTGCTAATAATTGGCCTATACCAAATAAGAGAACTTTTGAACAGGTATTTTTAATTAAGTTTTATATGTTATTGATAAGGAAAATTAGTGTAAAGACTCAAACAATATGGATGGTCCTGATGAGGGCTGTAATTTTGTTGGAAGAATAGAAGTTAACAAAGGTTTATTAAAAATGCTATTGATTTATTGTAATTATAAATAGTTATTGGTAATTTTCATTTTGCACCTGGCCATTCATCACAAACAATTACGGGAGGCCACGTTCATGATATTTATGATTATCTTACTGATTCGTTGCCTCATGATTTTTCTCATATGATTAATAAACTTAGCTTTGGCCCCGAAATTGAAGGGAGTTTACAAAATCCTTTAGATAACGTAAAAAAAGATACAGATGACCGTTAAGATTACATAACTAATTTATTTAAAATTTCTTACAGGAATTAGCTACTTTAAAATATTCTTATTTTATTAAATGTGTTGCATATCGCTTCGAATATTTGTCAAAACCCTCTTTAGATACTAATAAATATTCAGTAACTGTACATGAACGATCAATATCAGGTGATAGTGATCCTGAGCATCCTACTCATATTGGACCAAGAGGAGGAATACCTGGAGTATTTTTTTCTTATGATATTAGTCCTATAAAAGTTATTGAAAGAGAAACTCGGGGAAGTCTTAGCACTTTCTTGACGAGTACTGTTATTATTATTAGTGGTGTTCTTACAATTGCAGGGATTCTTGACCGTATTCTATATGAAACAGAACGTAGAATGGAAAAGAAATTATTAGAAGGAAAATTTTTATAAATTTTGTATAAATTATTTTTTAATATGCATTTTAATTTTATAATAAAAATTATAAAAAATATCCTGAATTTTCCTTTCAAAATTACTTTTATTTTAAATATAAATTTATATAATTTTTGACTATCTTTAATAAATTAAATTTTTAATTCATTTATTTAAATTATTATTCAAATAACAATTTGAAATATAGATATTTTTTAATTAAATTATTAAATATTTTTTATATAAATTTTTATATAAAAATAATTAAAATGCTTAATATTAAATAATAAAAATTAAATATTTTTATTTTTGTATATAAAAAATTTTATAAAAAAACACATATTTTCTTTTCTAAGATGATATTGACTATTTTATTTAGATTTATAAAATATTAAAATATAATCTTATGAAATTAATATTATATTCACTTAAAGATATAGAAATATAGAAAAAATCGAATTAATATGAATTATACATACATAAAAATCACTTATAAATTTTCTTTGATTTTATTTAAATATAAAAATTATACTAAATGCTTAAATAATTTTATTAAAAAATATTTTTGTCTTTTAATAAATAATATTTTTAAAAATTCAAATTTTTAATTTATAAAGAATTAAATATTATTTTCTTCTAAAAATCAATAAAAAATTAATTTTTCAAAAATTTAATCTTTATTTTTATCGAATTAAATTTTTTTATTACTAATTACAAAATTTCTTTTTATCATAAAATATTTCCAAATATTTTTCAAGAAAATATCTTAAGAGTATTTTAAAAATTTAATAATTTTTTAAAACAATTAAAATACTTTCAGATCCTTATAATATAAAAATTTAATCTAAATTTTAAATAAAATGTTAATAAAGTACTCTAACTATATTTAAGTATGGAGAAATATTATGCTAAAAAAATTAAAATTTAAATAGAAAAACTATAAAAATTATAAACATATTACTAAAACAGATTAAATTTTATTAAATAATAATACATTTTACCATATATGTATCTGAAAAAAATAATGGAAATATTTAAAATAAAACTAGAATGAAAGTTATAAATTCTTAATATAAAAAAGTTATCTAACTTAAAAACTTAAAAATATACAAACAAAAAAGCTAAACTCTTTCTTTAAAAATTATAACTAAGAAAAAATATCAGAATTTATTATTTTTAATATTTTTACATTAATTTTATAAAGATTTTGAATTCAAACTAATATAGAAAAGAGTTAAAAAAATTAAAATAATAAAAAGTAATATTTATTGCTTTTATACTTTTTAAATTTCAAAAATAAGATTCAGTAAATACTACTTTTAAACAAAATATTTCTAAAAAGATCTTATATATTAATATAATTAGATAAAAGTTTTTAAGTTTATTATTATTGGAGATAAAAAATATATAATTTCAAAAGATATTTTTATTCTAACTACTTTTTTACATTTTTATATTAAGACTAAGAATTAAGTTCTAAAAATCAAAAAAAAAATATTATTATTATATTTTATTAAAAATTTTTATAAACATGTTTAATTTTAAAGTGATAAAATAAAAAATGAATATAAAAAAATGAAAATATATTAAAAAACGTAAAAAATCAATTTCAAAATAAATTCTAAACTAAAAAAATCCCTAAAAGCAATCTAATAGCAAAAACAAAATACAAAATTATAAAGTATAATTAACAAAAAAACCTAACTTTTAAAAAAAACCAAAAAATAAACAAAAATAACTATTTTTAGAATGATTGTGTTCAACATATTTTAAAAATACTTGCAATAAGTTAAAGTTAATTTTTGTTAAATATTATTAATTAGTAGATTTTTTTTTTTAAAGTATTAAAAAAAAAAAAATTAAAAATATTATCAAGAATGCTAAAAATTAACAACACATAAATAAAGTATTTCTTATCAAATAAAATGTATAAAATATTTATAAAAATAAATAAAAGTTATTTCAAGTCTTAAAACAATAATCTGAATAACAATTCGTAGTTATCAGAGGATATTGATACAAAATCATTTTCTCTTCGAATAATATTATTTTTACAATTTAATTCTATTAAAAAGATTTAAAGAAAATTATAAAAAATTGGAAAACAAATATAAAATGATGCTAATTATTTATATACGATTAACTTCATAAATTGTTTTCATTATTAAACTCAATCATTACTAACATTAAAAAAGTAAAAATAATTTTAAGAGTAGATCTCAGTATTTTGGAAAACATAAGATTTGAAAAATTTACAATAATAGTATAACTAGATATAAAAAAAAACTATTAAGAATTAAAGAGCTAATTATATTGCAAGATTTCTTTTTAAAAATAAAAAATAAACAATTTTTTCTATAAATTTAAAAATAATCATCTAATAAAAATTACCAACATTAACAAGAAACTATGTAAAATATTAAGTTGTTTTTATTTGCAATAATAAATTTCTCTTAAAAAAGAATATAAGATAAACATATAAAAACTATAATAAATTTGAAAATATTTTTCTTAGAAATCAAAGCTTATTGATTATTTTATTCTTCAGGCAAAAGATGACTTAAAATATTATACAAAGAATGAATAAATTTCTAAAGACTTAAAAGCTAGATCAACAAATTCCTTTTTTATGTAAACAAAACCTTTAAAAAATCTAATTATGATAAAATTTAAAGAGTTTTACGTTTATTGTACAAATAAATACTTAACAAATATCATATATACTAATAAATAGAAATATATCCGTAAGTTTCTGTGATAATAAAAACAAAACTGATATTTAAACGTCTACCATAAAAGAATACAAATATTAATCCTATATAAATAAAAATAAAGCTTTTGGTACCATGGAAAAAATCTTTAAAACATATTATAAAACAAAAAATAAAACACAAAAATTTAGAATTTCAAAATAAATTTGAATATCTAAAATATCGTTATATCTAAAAAGATTGAAGAAAATAGATAATACTAAGCTTATATTATTTGTATTAAACTTACTACTAAAAAAAAATAGAATAGCTAAAAAATTAATGATTATGTTTATAACTTTAAATTAAAAATATATGCTAAAAATAAAAACAAAATTATATTTTCGAGAAAAATACAAAAAAAAGTTTAATGACGATTAAAAACAAAAGATTAGGAAAAGACAAACTAAAAAGAAAAGACAGTATTTTGATTTGCATAAATATACCAGAAAATAAAAAAGAAATTCCTTTCATTAAAATACAATGAATAAAAATAAAAAATATCTAAAACATAAAATTCAAGATAATAAAAGATTAATCATATTACTTAAATTAAACCTAATATTAACTAGTTAATTTTGGACTAAGTAATTTTTTTACCTAAAATCTATAAAAAAGACTATTAATTAAAAATAAATCAACATTAAAAGAACAAAAATATGTTTAAGACACTATTTTGAACTTTATTTTAAAGATGATTTTATATAAAAATCTCAATAAACTTATAAGTTTACTACGAAAGATCAATGGATAAAAAAGATTAAAAAAGGGTACGTATATTTAAAAGAAACGAACAAGCAAAATAGAGGAAAAAACTAGAAAATAAAGAGTAATATCTTTTCATTAATTTACAATAGATTTTTCTATAATTCATGTTTTCTTATCAGTCTGTTTATCGCTACTTTTATAATCCACTAATAAATTTACTTCTCTATTTACTCCACAGTTACCCCATATTATTGCGGGGCTTACTCAGACGCAATTCAAAGGCATATCGGACACCCTCATACTTGTAAGAGATTACAATTTTTCATTTTTAGTAATTCTTTTAATATCATATTTAAGATAAAATGAAATAATACAATATAAAACAATAAATTTAAGAAATAAACAAAAATAAAAGAGTAATTTTCCATAAATATAATCATTTATAAGAATTTAAAGATAAATTAACAATTTTGCTAAAACAATAAACGAAAAAATAAAATAATTGAAATTAAAGAATATATAAAATACATAAAAATGATACTATTATTTGAAACGAAATACAGTTTAAATTATATTTAATGCCATATTTTTCATACTATAACTTTTGTAAAAAATCAAATTTTTTTATATTTTTATAAAAATATTGTAACTAATTAGGAAACTAAAATTAAAGATAATACCAATAATTTAACATCCAATAATCTGTATTTTTATTCTAAAATCTGAAACCAAATTTAATAATATTAATACTAAATTCATAATGAAAACAACTGAAGCATATCATCTCTCTAAATGAAGACTTTTGTTTTTGTTATCTTTGTGATTTTAAGCACAATATCGTATGCTTTTTCAAAAGGCATTAATACTTATGGTATTTTTATTCTTTTTCGTTTTTTTTTTTTTTTTAATTTTTATCTTTTAGAACCAAAGAAAACTTAAATTTATTTACTTCAAAGAAAATTAGGAGTTATAGCTCATCAACCTATTCTGAATTAACTAATTTCTTATCAAAACGCTCATTAACTTCATCCGCATGGTTTATTGTTTTAGACGATGATACTTCTATGTATAGTCTTATTTTAGATGATTCTACCACAACTGAAGAAGGATGTAAATCATATTTAGAATATTTATGTAAAGAATTCGTGAAAAAGCTACCAAGAGGAAATTTTACTAATATACTAGAAAAACTATGCGACTTGAGTAAAAGAAATAATTATTGTAAAGGTCTCTTTACTCAGGGTCCTATTAAAAAAGACTTAGATAAAAAATGTAATGGTATAAAGGAAAAACTCATTTATTACTATTATTTAGGTGAAGATTTATTTTTGGGAACAAAAAATACAAAAATAGAAACAGAGCATTGTGAAAATTATGGAACATTGTGTGTAATTTTTCAAAGAATTTGTAATAATTTGATTGGCGATTTATGTGCTAGATTTAATGGGCTTTGTTATAAAAAATATACAAAAGATAATGAAAATAACATATTATTGAAATTTATAGGTGAAAAAATAATAACTAGTGAACTAACACGTAATAATCTAAAACATGATGAATCTGAAGAATATAGTCAATGTGTTGACAGTCTTCTTGACAAATGTCATTGTGTAACCTCTTTCGGGCCTATTATGGTAAAATCTTGTTTTGAAATACAGGATACATGTAAACACTTTTCTCAACGTATTACCTTTACTTGTCGATGTTTTGACTATTATATTAAGGAATTTTTCTTAGAAAAGCTCCATATTACAGGCTATACGAAAGAAGTAACGAGAAATAATTGCTCATTGCTTGACGTTTGCGAGCAGTATTTGTTATTACATTGTCATAATCAGGCAACAAAGACTCTTTGTAAATCAATAATAGAAGAATGCACTAGAAATATTGATCCAGATATGCTGTTTATAAAGAATATTTCTTTAGGGGAATGCAGTTCAACATTTAAAGACGTAAATTTGACTTTGTCTTTTCTTAATGAAAGAGAAAATAGTGTTTCACTGCCTTATAAAAATCCATATCTTACTCTTCTTATAATATTCGGGATTTCCTTAATGAGGCGTGGTTCTAGTTTAAACGAAAAATGTATGAACTTTCTTAAACATGATTGTACTAATCATCAACGTGTATTTCCTAATCTTGATGCATATTGTCAAAGTGGACGAACTGATGAGTGCGATAATCTGAATGAAAGCATCAATAAAACATGTGTCAATTTAAACAGAACATTTGATGATTTAGGTCTTGTTTCTGCAAATGGTGTTTGGACTATACTATGGAACAGCACTGCAAACATTATCACTACACCTCAATGTCAAATGTTAATAGAAGAATGCACTTATTTTGAACATGCATGTCTTGGTATTAAAAGTCCATGTGAAAATGTAAAAGCTCTATGTTATACGCTGGGTATAAAAAGATCTCACTTGAATAATGTTTGGAAAAAACTCAAAGAAAAAATACCATCTACTGATTTTAGCATTTTTAATCAATCTCATCTATCTCTGTCCTCTGATATTTCTAATTTATACAAGCCTATTTTAGATATATGTGCTGAGTTTGGAGGAACTAACGAGGTCTTATTTAGATGGTGTTTGTACCCTACTCCTAATGACCCCCCCCCCCGGTAACTTCCCCAGGTGACTTACTTGATAGATTATTTCATGATTTTTCAGCAAGACACGAGGATTTAAAAAGAGGCTTACTATATGTATCAGAACCTCCTACTTTAACGGAATGTGCATCTTATCTTTATGAATGTCACAGCTTATCAAACATTTTTAAAGATCTTACCAATTGTACAATGTTGGAAGAAGCATGTTATAGTAGTCACAAAAACTATGGTAGACCTAAAGATTCTAAATTTAGTAAGTCGGCTTGATGTTAAAATTAAACCCGTTTTATTTTTAACTCACAAATTGCATCTTCTAAACATAATGTAATTTGGGTTATTACTTTTCAACTTAATATAATTTCGATTTTGATAATAATGTTATTATAAAAGTTGTTGATTATTTTTCAAGAATATATTAATAAGGATATAAACAATATTAAAAGCTAAATAACTATGGAAAATAAAACAGTAAAACTAAAATTTAATTATTAGGAACTGGGTCAAATCATAAGGCATTATCATTAAATTATGTAGAGTATTGATTTTTGTCATAAATATAATCTAGAAAATAAATAATGAAAATAATTTTATAGGTTAGTTTTTTCATAAAAGAATTTCTTTATAAACAAAAATATACATATTAAAACTAAAAATTATAATTTTTTTAAAAATAATAAATAAAAAATAAAATCTTATTTTTAATATTTTTGCATTAAACTAGTTATTCAATATTAGTTTTTAAAAAAGTCTTTAAAAACAAATTATATATTTATATAATAAATAGAGATTTTTATGCTTGCTCTCATTATTTACATAAAATGTATTATAAAATATGTTGTATTAGAAAATATGTTTTAAATATTTTTTATTTTTTTTAAATTTTTATTTTCTAAAAATATTAACTCAATAAAATTTTAAATATCAAGTAAAAAATTTTTAAATTAAAACTTATTTTTAATTCTAATTTAAAAAATTATACTTACACTGATAAATAAAAAACACATCTTAATAAACGTTTAAGAAATGTATAAGCACAATTTAGAAGAGAGCATGTATGTTTAGATAAGCAAGTAAAATGGCAAGAATTGCAAAATAAATTAAAAATAGTCTCTTCTGTGTTAATTTAGATTGAATTTTTTTCAAAAACTCTGTCTTCTCTATAATTAACCTATATTTTTCACTAAGCCATTTTTTTACTAACCATGCTTTTTATATTATATTTTCTATTCATTTTTGCGTTATCTATATTTACTCCTGATTTACCCCATACTACCTAGAGACATTTGAACATAAATAAAACTATAATGCATATTCTAAAATTAACTATTATTATATACTTTACTCCTAATTTTACTTATTTTAAAATGTATACTTTTAATTCTAAGAAAAATTCAAATGAATGAATTCTATATAGTCGTTATCATTTCTAAAAAGAATATTTAAAAAGAATATTTAGAATAATAACTTGTAGAATAGAATAATCTATATTACAGCAATATTTAAAAATTTAATTGTATGAGAAGCCAAAAATATAAAACACAAAATGATTTATGAAAAATATAAAAAATATGAACTAAAAATCGATCATCATAAAAACAAATGTTTAAGATATTTATAAATTTAAAATATTATAAATGTTTTTTAAAAAAATATGTCTTATACATCAAAGACTAAAAAGAATTAAGTTTTTTAAAGTTGATTAACATAAAATTCTTTTAAAATTCCAAAAAAGTTAATGAACAAGAGAATCTAAAGCAAAAATTAAAAAACTTAAAATCAATAAAACAATATACTGGAATTTATTAATGTTAGAAGTGTGTAAAAAATTTATACAAAGTAAAAAAAAAATAAAAATCCTAAAACCAAAAATTGAAACAAAGGTATAAATAAATTTTAAAAGTCATAATAATTATTATTTAAAAAGCATTTTTGCAACTTGAATTACTCTAGAATAGGAAAAATCAACAAAAATTTTAAAAAAATAAAAAATGTCATATAAATAATCTAAAACTTGTGTTTCGATTCTAAAACCAAAAGCAAAAAAATAAAAATGAATAAATTTATGAAATAGCTTTTTAAATAAAAAATAGAAAGTGAAAATCTTGACTATATTTTCAAGTTTTTTAAAAACCCATAGAAAATTAAATTCAAAAAATAGAACAGATATAAAAAGAATCAAGACAATACTATTTATATCTATAAAAATGAAGTAAAAGATAATGAATATTAATAAAAAGAATATTAGAAAGCAAAAATCCACAAAAAGTAAAAATATCTAAGTATAATACAAAATAATACACATTTACCTATTTATTTATTGTATTTTATTATTATCGTTTATCGCTATTTTTTAGGGAGAACGATATTTTTCGATGTCAAATGTGAAGCACTTTTTATAAAAATTATTATTTGTTATCATGATAAATGAAACCATTCGTATTAGCCAGTTTTCTTAGCATAGCACATGCTTCCTCAAAAAACATTGGTATTATATTTTATTTTTTCAGGTTTTTAATTTTTTTTAGAATCTATTTATAAAGAATCTTTAAATCTATTGCAAAATCCATCACAAAATCCACCGCAGAATCCATCTCAAAATCCATTATTGTATATAACGTACAAAAACCTTTAAATAATACTAGAACTTGTAAAATTAACAAATTATTTATTTAGTGAAGGAAATATTTTTGCTTTAATTCTAAAAAATGCAATGAATACTGAATGTAAAGCAAGGCTAAGAAAATACTGTGAAAATTTAAGAAATATGACTCAAATGCTAAAAAGCTCCTTCAAAGCATTAGAAGAACTATGCCAAGAAACGAAACTAGATGAAAAGTGCAATGATTTAAAAGAAAATATTATGAGAAGATGTGCTGCACTTGAACGAAGTTTGCAAGATATCCAGACTAAACCATCTCCAAGTACTTTTGAATGTCTGTATCAAAATGAATGTATGCGTATAGAAGAAGCATGTTCAATAAAAGTTAATGAAAAATGCAATTATTTAAGAGCATTTTGTAGAGAAAAAAGACGAGATGATTTGAAAACAGAATTTCTTTTAAGAGCCTTATCTGGAAATTTAAAAACTCAAGAAGAATGTGAGAAAATAATCGACAAAAAGTGTCTTGCGTTCATGGGAGAAAGCGATGAACTGATGAAGTTTTGTTTAATCCCCTTAAATAGATGTAACGAACTCGTGAAATTAATGGAGACAAAATGTAATAGTTTAGAATTTGAGGCAAAACTTTTTATCGAAAAGACTAAAATATCAAAAGAAGAATGCATTTCATTATTTGAGAAATGCTATTTTCATAAATCAAATTGCAATAACACTTTTCATGATAAATGTGGAAAAATAAAAAAAAAGTGTGAAAATGAAGTAGAATACAAACATTTTTCTTTACCATTTAACCCAATAGGAAAAGAAATTATATTAATAGAAAAAATTGGAAAAGAAGAATTATTCAAAGGTGAAATTGGAAAACCAAGGATAAAAGATACAATTGATCTTTTAATATTATTATCAAATAATTATTTAGATCATTGCAGAACTAATATTGAAAGATGTCATAAACTTTGCAGCCTTTTACCTCAATTAGAGGATTTATATGATGATACTAAGGAAAAAATGAATAAAAGCAAAGAAATATGTAATACCTTAAAAGAAAAATTGAGATCTAAATGCAAGCTTTTTAAATCAAAATTATATGATTTATTACTATCAGATACTAACGAAGATAATAAAGATGCTATACTTATAGAATGGGCCAAGCAATCTACTGAGTTTAGTGAAGAGCTTTGTATAGATTTGGAATCAAAGTGTTTTTATTTAAAGAAATCATGTAATAGCGTGAATATTAAAATGTTTAGTGCATGCATCAATGTAGAATCAACATGTTTAAAAACACGGCTTTTCGGAAGAGAATATCAACTATTTCAAAGCACATTAAAAGGAAAACTGCATAATTTAACAAATAATTCGCTTAAAACGTGTATGGATGAATTATGGATTCTATGTAAGAAAATAATTAGCAGTAATAATCCTATATTAATAGATCTTTGTCTACACCCATGGGATACTTGTAAGGAGCTTGCAAATGATATCGAAAGGCAGAGTAGGTGGCTTAGAAATGATCTGGATTGGAAAAGGGATTTTCCAGATGAAGAGGACTGTAAAAAACTAAAAGAGAAATGTGAAGTGTTAGGACATGATTCAAAAACGAACGACTTACCATGTTTTACACTGAAAGGGCGATGTGATCATTTGGAAAATGCTAAGGAATTAGAGGAAATTTTGTTAGAAGAAAAAGTAGAAAATTTAGGCAATTTAGATATATGTATAAAAAAAGTTTCAGAAAAATGTAATAAATGGTCTAAAAAAAAGAGAACAAGATTTATTTTTTCGTGTATACAATTAGTCACTACTTGTCAAATCATTACTAGAGACATTAAATCTAAATGTTCTGTATTAGAAAGGAACATAGATATTGAAGACGTTCTAGATCAAGTGAAGAATGGTGATGCAGACATGAAGGGCCATACATGTGATTTATGGGAACCCTATTGTGATAAGTTTATGTTGAACTGTGAAAAACTTGTACAAAATAATGGAAAGAATGGAAAATGCGAAGAACTAAAAGAGAGCTGTAAATCGTATCGTGAAATACAAGAACAAGAAGTGAGACTTATGTATGAATTAAGAGGAAGTCTCAATAGCGAAAATAAATGTAAATCAACCCTTA